CGTCAACTCCAAATTTTCTCCTGGAAGATTACCACCTGGAATACCAGATGGACTAGTCATCACTAAAATTTGTGTAACATACTCTGATGATGTTGATGAATACTTTATAAACATATATAGAAAAACATTACTACGTACTGATTCATCAAGTCTAATTGTATTCTTCACATAATTATATTCACATAAATATTTTTTGCACATATACTTGAATTATTTGAAAACCTGATCAGGTTAAAGTGCCACTCTCAGAATCATAGTAGCAATGGTAGGTACAATTTTTCGAAAAGTCAGAAGACAAATTTATTTAGATTTATCATCCAAGACTACTGATGTACGTGACAGAGGAAGATTTATTCCGATGTTAATATTATTTTTACTTTTTAACTTCATTAAAAGTTTTTTCTGACAGGGTCAAAATTTCTGTTGGTAGAGAATTACTCCACTATAGAATCATTTTTGTTCTGTTTTGGAAAATGGATTTTATTCAACAATTTTCTCTATATGTGTAGAGTCCATTCAAAAGATCTGAAATGTGTAGTAATAGCATAACAATTATGTAGATAATACATTTTTATTTACCTTAACAAGATTATACAATGGACCCATGATTGAAATAATTGAATAATAACACCAACCCAGTATTTCGCTCAAGGCTATTATAAATGTAAACGGATTTTACCTATTCTACTCAGAGTCAATACACGAAAAAAACTGCAAATTTCAACCTTTAAACATTGATAATCTTAACTAGGATCCATTCAGGTTACCAACTTTGATCCTCAATAGAAATAGGAAAGTCGAATGCTGACCAATATCTAGTTTCAATTTCTATACAAAAGACTGTAATCTAGCAAAAGCTAATCCCTCAATGTAATATTAATAGGAGATTAAAACAATTCTATTGTCAGCTAACAGTTCTAAGACAAAATTCTATCCACTAAGGTAACAGTGATAATTGAGTTTTCACTTATGATAAATAAATCATTCCATTAAGTAAATAGTTTACTAGTAGAAAACAGTTTATCTGCTATACCCTATGTTAGGTCTTATGAAAGAGTTTTCTTAATGTATCACCTTAAAAAATTACTTAGTAATTCATAGCTTCTTTCCTGGATAAACAACAAGTTTTCTTCATCAAGATATTTTGAAATTCAAATTTAAGAATTAAAATAATATAATAACATTAATTACTATTAGAATGGTGTTATCCAAGTGTTTGAATGTGTCCATGTAGACTTAATTCTGAAGAGAATGATCATAGAATGATCAGTTTTTAGCTTTGGTCTTAGAAAAAGTAAATATATGAATACATTTCTAAACCAGTCAAAGAAAGACCTTATAAAGTACTTTTACTATCAAAGTTCAAATTGGAATCACTTATCTTCAAGAGGTTCTCTTTTGTTCGTATGCTAATTTTCTCTTTTCCTCTCTTTTAGGCAACACACCAAAAGTCATGGTCTTTTAGAAATATGAACAACACTTTCAATGTCTCAGTGATCATTAGTACAGTTTCAGTACTTCATTTTCCACATGATCTTATGTTGGTACTTAATGCTGGAGCAAAGTAGACAGAGAATCTCATACAAAAACTGAATTCAAAATAACAATTATAATAATAATCATTATCATCTTTCAGTCGATTAGACAGGGTCATTATTTATTTCAAAGTAATCTTTAACTACACTTAAATAATTTATATTAATAAGTCATGAAGGTTTTTTAATAGACATGATATTGAATATAATCAAAACATATTATCAAATTTTTAATATTACCTGTATTCATTTTAGATTCAACTTATATTACATTATTATTAATATAAGCGTTAAGAATTTATGCGGCTATATTTTTTGTTCATTTGAATTTTTCTTTAATATATTTTCTAACGTACATATAAATAATGTACCAAAACCTAGGGCAAGATGGTGTATGTTCAACATTTTAAGGAGCATTGACTGCATCATTTTATACCCTTATGCATAACGTATACATCCAATTTGAAATTATTACGATGCATAAAATTTCTAATATATTATTTAAAAAACGTAAACTGAATCTCTAGCATTCATATTTTAAGGTTGATCCATATAGATACTATAAAAACACACTATCATACATATAACTATTATTCTAAAGGTCTATATTATCAACTGTCCAGTAATGTTGAATGGTGATAAGTAATATTCAATTGTTGTTAACAGTATTGAATTGATATCAACGATTGCCAATACTGAATAATACCAAAAAAATGAGGAAATCATAAACTGGCATGGTTTTCCAATTATATTAATACATTAACAATTTGTCATTCAACATTTATCACTAGATAGTATTCAATTTTATTCTTCAATTGAATGTGAAATCACTCGTGGCTTGAGTGATTTCAATTAGATTACATTATACTTTTTATTTCATAAAATTGAAGAGACAAACATACAATGAAGTGTCTACATTTCCGTTTAATATATGAGAAAGAAATGGATAAAGAATTGATATCCTCCAATAACTCCAGTTCATATGATTCGTGGAGGTCAAATCTATCAATAACTCTAGACTATACGACTCCTAGACGTTATAGCCATTAATAACTGCAAACCACACTATTCCTGGTGATCATATTTACTAATAACATCAACTGTAGAGCTTGTAGAGGTCACATTAAATGGTTATCATCAATATATATATATTTTTTTGTTATTCTATAATGAATTACTCAACGGATTAACAGATTAACGTCAAATTCTTATCAATGATACTTGATAACAGAATGAATCGTTCTGTTAACCAGACGTTAATTGTATTAAAACTTCTCAATTTTTTTATTTCATTTTTTTAAACCAAGTGAAGGAGAAATTTTTTACTTTTGAACAAAAATACAATGTTTAATTCAACAAAAGGAATTTTTTTCTTGAGATAAGTTATTTTTTACTTTATGTAGAAATAAATTTTAATTGATAACAGCATTTTTCTTTTTATTTAAGACAAACTTTTAATAAATTCCTAGCAAGCATAATTGTTTATAATAAGTTTGAATTTATTTACCTTAAGGCTTTTTTAAACTTTTGGGAAGGAATGGAGATTTGTTATTTCGTGTCTAAGTTTAGGGGTAGTGATAAGTTTTTTGGAGTACATGCCAATGACATCAAGTAACAATTTTTTAACTTTGATCAAATCGAATTAGACCAGCATTGTGACATTTAAAGTCTTATGAGATTTAATTAGATCTGATAATAAAATTTATTTAAGTTTAATCAGTTGAATTATAATATTAGTCCAGATCCATTTAGGACTTATTGAATCTGGTTACAAAATAATGATATTTATTCTATTAAATGATTACTGCCAGTATCAAATATAAGATTTGTTCAACGTTGATAGATTTATCAAAATATTTACAAGTTTTTATTTTATATCAATTAATATGAATGATTATCGAAAATACGTAATTAATCAACTTTAAAATCACTTATTGAAAAAAAAACAGTTTAAATTTGACAAATAATCATTTAAACTTTTCGAATATATTTATTAATTAATAAATTTACTTGATCAACATCATAATACTTCTATAACGCTTTCATACTGGAATTAAAAAGGTTAAAAGCAACACGATAAATCAAAGTTTATTCAGATATTAAATATTCATGTATACATTTCTTTAATCATCTAATAATTACTCAATTTATATACCTATCGTCAATATCAATATTACTATTTAGCTTGTTCGAGTTTGTTCTGTTATTAATCCATTAGTTGAAGGTAGTTTAGTATTCATTATCTCTGATATCACCAATACCCAAACCTAGATCTCAACAAATCGTTTTTAGCACTGAAAATAAATGGCACCATTTGATCTCTGTTGATTCATTGTTGCATTCTTTACCATAGGGATCTTCTTGACTTGTAGAAAAATTTATTTCAGTAGAGGTACGTATTATTAGCAAAACATAAAGTATTTCTTTTTCAAGCTAATAGTACACTTTCGAGTATCTGATACTCGACAGAAAAATATTATCATTTTTAACAAGAAGATACATCTTGTCAGAGATTTATTTTAAATTTATAAGTATTATCTTATTGAAAAAATATAATGACCTACACTTGTGAAATATGAGCAATGTTTTACTTTAAATCCCATAGACAACTCACCTCTCTAACTGGATCACAAAAAAGTTGTTTTATTACAAAAAAAAAAAAAAAAATATATTGGTGCATGCAGTACGAGAATTTCATGATGTATAAATCAAGCTTTCATTCAATCAATTTAGAATATGCATTGAAAATGATTCTACATGTTTCAACCTACCTATCTATGATTGTTTGATTTATTGTAACAACATCAATGCTTCATCTGGTCATAAAGGAATCTACGTCTAGTAGGGAAAAATAGGAATCCCACAACATTATTACTGACTGTCGTATCAAAGCGTTTGTGTTAAATTCTTTTTCAATTTAAAATGTGATATTTTATACAACACTTATTGAAATTAATATTATCATTTCATTATGGTGTAACAGAATTAGATAACTCTAGATAATGTAATGAAAAATCATGAATGTTCTTTCTTGAAATACAAAGGTCTAAAGTTCTGTTGGGACGAACATTACCCTATCGATTTTCAGTGGTTGAATACCAATGTGTATTTTAAACCATATCAGCTTCGTAAATTCTTGTCCTATTGTACTTTCGTACAATTTCCAACCACGTTCAACAATTATGTCATTACCATATGCAGTCTTATCTAATCAAAAAATCTAAATTACACCGAATTTCATAAAAAATAAGACTATTGTATTGAACATCAATATTTATTTATAAATTCATCGACAATTGATAACAATAACAAAAATTCGTTGATTTTCCTTAAGAAAAATGAAGATATGTAATATTTTATCCAGTAATGTTTTAAACTTATTGTAAATAACATACATATATATATACATCCTTTCACGTTAACAATAAACAGTTAGGAATAATAAATTACTTTATTATTGTCTTATTATATTCTAAACTACTAATTACTTTTCAGATTAATTAACATTCCATCCACATATTTGTACAGATATGTATTACATTTATCTAATAATAACGATTCGTTAATTTTTTTTTTTATGTAGAAGAAATAGATTATATATATCTTAAAATATCTTATTAAAAATACTGTTTTTCAATCGTACATAAATAAAATATCTATTATTTGATAAATAAATATGAATCGCTGATTATAATATAATATATTTCCAGCTTTCATGTAAATGTATATAGAATAGTTCCAAATGTATTTTTCAGTTGTTCTCTATTATTGTCTGTGAATGATAATTTCACTCCAAAAAATGATGAACTATATTAATACTAGTATTCTGAAGAGCTACAATACTTTTATAAAAATATTCCATTACTGCTATGTAAAGAATAACAATGAGACCTCTATGATTTATTTGCATTATTGTAATCGATGGTCCCTAAAAATATATATCTTTAAAATATTTAAAAACTATTCCAGCTATAATTTGTCTTTTATCAACTATATGTAGATATTAATTTTGTTGATATATATATATATATTTTTTCTTTGCAAAGCTTCGCAAAAAACTACTAAAACTCTTGTTCACAATTACAGTTTTGTAAATGATTAAACTAGTTTTTGGCAAAATAAATCACAAAACAATGATTCAAGCATATAGCTTGCTATGCATTTTACATTTTTAAATCTATTTATAGGAGATTTTAATAGACGGCATTTCTAAAGGTCAGTTTACTTTTTCTAAAATCTGATATTTTCTAGTTAATAATTAACTGTTAATCGATACTGGAGTATTATACTTTGGCACTTTGTCTCCTTAAATCGTTTGGAATGATTGCTGTTATTATTGCACCGAGTACCAGCATACTACACATAACAATGTTGGCCCAAAAGTCATCCCATGCTTCAAATAAATAACCATACAACATTGTAAATGCTATCCCAAAAACTTGAGTCATGGCATTCAAAAGTCCAGCTGATGTACCTTCAGGTTCTGGATATGTAAGCTCTGCTGCAAATTCAAAGCCTACTGGTAGGTATCCAGTCATGAAAAACCTAAAAAAAATAACATTAATATTGAACATTATACATATATTTTATTGTTGTTGATATAGATTTAGATCATATAAATAAACTGCGTTATAGGAATTGTGTATTTAATAAAAAATTGATGATGTTTTTCAAAGTTTTGTCCAAAATATTGTGTTTATAAAAATATAATCAAAATTTCATTTCAACAAGACTGAAGTATGATTCAAAAGCAATAAAATTAAAAAAAAATAGAGGACATCAAATAAATAATTCTTTGAATCGAATAAATATGCTATTAATTCAATATTAAATAGATGTTTATTCAATTAAAAAATATCAAATAAAAATATTATAAGGGCTTATTTATTTCAAATTTTTAAATGATTCATTAAAATAGTAATTTATCTTCTATTGAGTAGTTACAATAAAATTATTTGCTTGATAGAATTGTTTCCAACGTTAAAACAAAAACAATGTATCATATAATTGAATCAAATTACGTACCCTAGTAATGAAGATGTTATGTAGATCACACTTATATATCCTGAATTCACGGTAAATGTAAATATAATTAATCCCACTAATGAAAAAAGATAAACAACTAAAGTCGTTTCCCTGAAAAAGTAAATAAAATGTAAAATATTGATTATTTGTCAATTATTGATGACTTTTTCTTACTTGAATCTTCGAGTCTTATCTAAAACTACTCCACATACAACAGATCCTAACATCCCTGCACAAATGATGGCAAGTCCAATCCTGCCTGCATGTACTTCAGCACCCTGTGTGTCAGAATTTCATCAATAAAACAAACGTCTCCCCAGCAATTGTTTCACTTTGGCAGTGAATAATGTTTTATACATACCGGAAAGTACTTAAGAACTATCTGATTCAGAAGGGTGCTAATGGCATAAAATATTCCCACATTCACTGCATAACTTAGCAGCAGCATGATATATCCAAAGTTAAGGACTAGTCTTTTTAATGACTGAAAAAAGTCTTCAGATTTATCAATGTCATGTAATGCAGCTTGAGCTGGACTTGGTGGTAAAGGTGGTTTAGCTTTGAAAACTAATTGAAAGATTTAATATTTTATTAACATTAATTTAATCTCAAACTAAATTATATCATCAATTTAACTTACAAATAAGAATTAATAGAAAGGCTATTGAAGTGATTGCAGCATTGGTATAATTCATAGCCCGGAAGCCTTGTTCTATAATTCTAGTGTCATTGCTGTTGGATACCAGCATAGGAGGAAACAAAAAGCCGACAGCTATCCCCAACTAAAATATAAAGAGACATAGTTAGGTACAATCATACTCAATTTATGCTGAGGTGGTATAAATATAATATAACAATATTATATCCATCTATACTAACGCCAGTCTAGACATCAGGAAATGATAAGTTATGATAGGGTCTTGAAGCAAATAACTCCTGCAGGGACAGGAGCTCTAACTTATACTCTCACATGACTTTTATCATCATTTATGGCTATATTTAACACTCATTTATATAAAATTCTTCACAATTTGAAGTATTTCATGATAAGATAATATCATGAAAGTTGCATACAGAATTTGTTCAATAATCAGTTGAGCTAATAATAATCAAATAATTTTTTTTTATCAAGTTTAAACTTTAAATAGACTTTAAAATTACTCTGTTAATTAACTACAGAACTAATATATTTCCAATATTTTCATTCTGCTCAACTATAGAACTTGATAATTCATATCGAAATAAAACTTTCAAAATTACGAAGCAATACTATAAATATCCTCTTGGGTCGAATGATTTAAGCTTTCGTGATAACATCAGAAATCGATGAGCATCAAAGAAAAGTTTTAATTAGATAAAAACAAATTAACTGAAAGTTTCTAACATAATTAATTACTTTCATAAAATTAAATTCAATAAATTATAATATTTCTATTATTATGCATGTGCTTTATAACTGTCCATTAGGAAGTTATTGTCATAGAGTAGATTTCTAAAATTATGCCAGGTTATTTTGTTAAAAACATTACAACAATTGCACTTTGTTATAAACAGTTCAAAATAGTTTTTATCGATTAAGAAATTATAATATTAAGTGGTTTTTAATTGATGACATCATTTCTAAAAGGTTGATTAAAGATTCCATTCTAAAGAATAAGTGTTATATGTGAGGATTATTTTTTGTTGAAACTTTCTAGAGGGAAGTTTTTCATGTGAACACAAAGTACACCCAGACCTATTTTTTTTCTTTGACTTTGTTCACTTTTCTCTGGTGTTTAATTTGACGGATGAACTGTAAATCAGTCTTCATAAAAGCTATTTAAATGTCCATGGCTATTTCCGGTGCTATTATGTGGACAATAGCATAAATGATTGTACAGCATACCTTGAGCAAAGAGAATAATTCACTGTGGGAATGTTGATATAAATTTCACTGACGTATATTAAAAAGGGTTCGACCCTACGTAGCTGACTGGCTTAATATCAATAAAGATCACTCCTTTTATAATAACAGAACTTCCCACTAATTTCACAATCATGCCCGCAATCTGCCCCCTAACTCAGCTAAATAATTTATTTAAGTACTAGCTCGATTAATTTCATTATTTTATATCATTTCATCCTAGTTAATTGAACAATTATTTGAGTAAGTATTAATTAGTTAGCGTTTGTTTCAACTTCATGATTATTTAATGGATATTTAACTTACTTGGTTACCAAAAACCCCAATGCTACAAGCACTGCTCACTTGATCCGGTCCAAACCATACTGCGGCAAGTCTCGCGGGAACTGATAATACGAAAGTTTGACTAGAAGCAACTATTGTATGTCCAATAAAAGCCAGCCAAAATTTATCCGGTGCAACACTGAATACTTTGACCCATGTACCTAGAGCTGTACCGAATCCACCGGCTATCGCTGCCCATCGAAGACCCTTGAAACATTTTATGATAAATTTTCAATTAGTCAATTAAATAATAATCAGAACCAGTAAGTGACTTGGTGATGATATTTTTTACACTGAGCAAAAAAATGTTTTAGAAGTTATATATTACTGTGGTGTGACAGTAAATGTTTTATTATCGAATAGAAAAAATATTCTTTCAACGATGACATTCTCTTATTAAAGTGTTTTAGTTTTAGAAATATAAAATATAAAAAAATAATTTGATTGGTTATTAATAGATAAATGAACTCTATGAAATGTCGATTAAGTCATTATTAATTGGAATATGAATAATGAATTTAAAACATCTACATAATTTATTCATGCTTAGGACTAAAGATAATCCTTTCCTTCTAAACATAGTGTTTTAATTGATTGGTTTATTGACTAAAGATGAGTCAGTGAAAATCATTGAAAGATAGTAAATATCTGTTAATTTGTATTTATATATGAAAGAAAAAATTAATAAAAATGTCTGTACCAGAACTTAATTTTTTTTTAATTAAAAGAATATAAATTTAGCTGATTTTTCTGGGAAACATATAACTTTAATGGATGAGCAAGAGTGATTTATTTCTGGCCCAGTACGGGATCATGATTGAAGATTTTGGCCCAATGTTAGGCTAGTAATTTTGTCATTCAACAATATTTCATTGATCTACAAGTTTAGTAGTACTAGTACATTAACATTTCACTGATGTATCAATGAATTAAAAAGCTTGATACATTTCTAGCGATTGTCCACTGATTGACAGTAGGATACTGAACACTATATCGATTAGTTGATGACTATTGATTTAGTATTAGCAGGTAAACTATTGTATATTTTGATTCTGATTAACTTAAGGTGTTAAATAAAATTATGGATCAAATATTACATATTCACTTTTACAATTCCAGCATAGCAAGATTTGCTGGAGGAACAGTAGTAACATTTTGTCAGGATATACCTATCAATATTTAAATAAATTATTATGGCAAATCGTTCGTGTTTATTGTTTTGTAATAATTTTCAGTAATCCATGAATAAGAAATAGGCGTTTTCTAACTCTATCAATGACAGTCAATGTTCTCTTGAAGAATATGAAAAATATTTATTGATAAAACGTAACATTTTTTTTCTCAGTGAATTAAATAATTTAATACAATTATTAAATACTACTTACAAATCTATCTAGAACGTAACTAGCTGGAAATATAAATGGAATATAAGTGATCATATAAATCATACTCGTCATATTGACAGCAAATGTTCCACAATGGTAATATTTGTCGACGATGTTTGTGATAATACTGTATTGAATCCATTGCATAGCATTTGATGCACTGTATACTACAAATATCGCTAGCATCAGCCATCTTATTTTATAAATCTTTGTTTCAACCACCTGAAAAGGTAAATATTACCTAACATTTAATAAGTTTTATCCAACTGATAAATTAAAAATAAAATAAAATAAAAATATTCATCAAGAAAAAGGAAAGCTTTCTTTTGATGTTGATCATGCTGGAGAATCCAAGGAAGAGCATACAATGAATAACACAGTAAAAAAAAATAAAACTTTTCCATCTGCGAATGAATATTATATTTTAATATGAAAAATTGCTAAAAATGATGAAATATTATTTACAATGATTCAATACTATAATCATCTGACTTTGTAAATATCCTTTTAGAATTCCGGATTACCTGTGTTGACTGAACAGCACTCTCTGCATCTTTACCACAATCTGTTGATGATCTACCCATTTTTTTAGTTAACTCGCATGTAGAAAAAAAATGATGTAAAATCTTGTTTGTATATTAAATATTCAGACAAGTCATTAAATTTGATAAACCTAACAATATCGTCTCACTTAGGCCCTACAAAGAAACAGAAGATTTTTAATTATACATCAACTAAGATAATAAATCTTATGATGACGAAATATTAATCTTAATGAAATATTAATGATAAGTGAAGTAGTGACAAATATGCCATGAACGATATGATATATGATTTCTAGAAAAAAAAACCTTATTAAAAATCTTGCAGCTTCTGTGTTTTTTAATTTTATATTTTTTCTTCCAAGCTTCTAATAATAGGGTTCAAAATTTAGGCCAAGTGTTCTGAAGGACATGAACTATCATCAAGTTTTAGAAGAATACAAAAGTACCTTACGGCATCTTTGAATTAGACTAATTGTAAGATCCTATATGCCATGAGCTGTTATAAGCTTTAAATATTGAAAGCTTTTGATTGAATTAATATTCATAAGGATTATGAACTTGCATTAATTATTTTTTGATATAAATAACAATATATAGATTTTCTGAAATTAATTATTAAAGTGATCCTCTCTTAGGCATCTTAGATGAATATATGAGAGATCCATTTCATTAATAAATTGAAATAAATTCAAGAGTTTTATTTCCCTCGAGAGAAGACGAAGGGTTAGTAATAAATTAATATTTTTGACCTAAATTTATTAATAAAAATAAATTTATCTACACTTTGTTTTTCATCAGGAAAAAATATGAGGTGGATATTTTTTTATTTTTACGATTGTATGTTTAAACATAAAAAACACAATATTTCACTTCTCACAAACAATAATTCTTTTTTTATTTCTTTGAAAGTTAAAATAAACTAAATAAAGTCAATGCAGCAAAAATGTAGCCAATTCAAATGAATAAAAACTATTTAACTGAATTAAAAAGTATTCAATTGTATTTGAAATAAAATTACGCTCATTTGAATTCATTTATAGTTCCTTTAATCTATTTACCAATAGTGATATATATAGTGGATTATATTTTGACTAATATTTATTTTGAATAATTAATGTGATGGCTTATGATTTCTATTTTGATGGATCAATTACTGACCAACTTGTAATGTCAGTGTTGAAAAGGTCAATTTAAAAATCGAAAAATAACTATGATCAAAACTTCAATATTTACAATGTTAATCAATCAATAAAATCAATGACTTACCTCAGGACGTATTTGTTTTTTTTTTAATCAAATTTTTTCCTCTGAGTAATGAGTCAAGTATCTTGTAATTACCAGTGATTGTATCGTTTTAATCACAAATTTCATAATACTTGGTTAATTAACATATAATCAGATTAAAAAAAATCAAGTGTCCGTTGTTGTACTTTTTAATAAAAGAAAGAAAAAAACAAAAAAAAAAACTTATCTTGAGATAAAAGGACAAGTATCAATAGTCTTGTCTGTTAATGCACATTGTTATTGTCGAATTATAAACGGTTATCAGGTACACTTATAATTTATTTGTCTTGTTCACTTTGTTGTAATAAAAATATTTCTGAGTTCAATATTTTTATGTCAATAAATTTGTCAATTTTACCAATGAGTCTGTGTGTTTGAAATTATCAAAACTACCTATAAATTGAATTTGAATAAACTTCTGCTCATGCGTATCCACATGTGGGAATGTATCACTTGGGAAATAATACAAGTGGCTGAAATGTGTTTAAAACTTCTAAAAACTTGAAGTATTTATTAAACTCTTTAAAAATAATGACAATCAAGGGAGATAAAGAAGATTAAAAGTAAAATATTACAATAAAAATATTTGTTTGTAAAATAAAAAATTGACGAAATAAATAAATCACAATTTTATTGGTGTATCAAAATATTTCGTGATTGCATTTTCAGCCTGTTGAATCACAATATAATATTCCGGTATGTATATTTGTCAGAGATATATCAATATATGTATATTGGTATTGGTATTAAACCATATTCTATTGTTTATTTATTCCTTCGTGTGTTTATCTCTGTTAAATTACTTGGATTTCCCTTATTACGTTGTGCTAGCGTCACATAACCGCATGCTCGGAGCGTTAAAAATCAACTGGAATAACGACAAGAGAAGCCGAGATTCGTCAACAGCAAATTATCAGATGGTTTAAGCATCGTTAGTAAGCATTGGTATTGCTTCTGCGCATACTACACTGTTTTATAACAGAAGAAGACGTGCGCACTGATATCATACGATGGATCATTACATTCTCTATACTTGTTGTATTGCACCGGCATTTTGGAGTCCATTTGACCTTATATTGTCCATAAAACACTCCAGGTTTAAATTACTTAAACCACATTTCACTTAATCATTTAACTAAGTCATTGTGGTGCTTCGGATACATCTGAATAAATAAATTTGCAACATTGTCGTGTGAGGTTGTTGACTGAAGTCATCTCTAGAGACTCAAGAAAATTATGTGTTCAAATTTGGAAATTTTTTTTTGATAATCAAGGCAAAACAATAATAACAATGATTGGAAAATCAATAATATTGATAGTATTAATGATGACAAAAAGTCCTGAGATACCCTGGCCATGGCAATTTGGACAAATAAATAAACGCAAATAATAATAATAATATTAATAATATTAAAGTCTGAAGGCTATGCTGATCAAATGTTATTCACTCTTTTTAAATCGGAGTAAATTTAAGTAGAAAATTTAATAAATTCATAATTTTACTATTTTTTATTGCATAAAATAAATTTTTTTATTTAATAAGAAATATAAATATATTTAAACATATTCATCACAAACAATCAAAATTAATTATTCAGTAATTGATGAAGTAATATTTCGTGTAAAATATATTTATACTTGTAATCTTATGTAAATTCAAAATTATACAAATATTTAAAAGAATATGTGACATTTTTTTTATTAAGAATAATTACAAAAATATTGAATGATTAAATCATGTTTAATTAAATCTTCAAATATTGCGATTTCTCAAAGATAATTTTGCTGTAATTCATTCGAAATATTCAAAAAAAAAATAATAATTCCTTTTTTAGAATAATATAAAATATTTACTCGGTAGACAAGTAAGAATGTACGTACAATTATCAATTAAATTACAGTCTTAAAAATATGATAAGATATTTCAGCAGCAAGCACAAATATTTAGTTGAAGAAAATTCTAGAAAAATCACGTGATCAAACTTTTTTCGATATTTAAAAATTCCAATTATTATCTATTAAACTACTATCTGTATATTACCTGCACTAAACTTTATGATACTATTGTAATATACACGATCGTTGTCTGATTATTTTAAGGTCACCCGGATGAAATTTATCATCCTTGATGTATAGAACGAATGCTGTCGAGTTACTTATAGTACTATATTAAGATATATCATTTTAAATTAGTTATTGAATATTCACTGAATTTAAGCAAGCAAACAATCAAATACAGAATATCATCTAAAAGTTTTATTCGACTGCTTAATTTTATTTTATATCGATTAAAGTAGGCAGTAGTTAAGGAGAAAAAAAATAAAAATTAAAAAATAATTAGAAAATCTGATAACATCGAAGGGAATTTTTTTTATTTATCTAGATTACATAGTTACGTTTGAATTACGATATGCATTATTTCTGCTTCGAGTGTATTACATAATTCTTAGATTCCAAACCAATTATGTTAAATACAGTAAATAACAACTTTAATCATCTTCAAGAAAGTGCCAAGTATTTCTAGAAGATAATTATCTAGTAATTTTAGGATTAATTTTTATGAGCTTTTATTTACAATAATTCTTACTATTTATTAATCTTTTCAAAATGTCGTAAAAAAAATTTATTTAATCTACGCCGTCTGTCTGTAATATTTTTTAATCCCCAAAATGTGAGTAATAGATTATTTTTCCTGAATAAAAGTTAATTACAAATCTTTGGAAAGATATTAGAGAAATGAATCAACTATTGATAGCAATCTTAGAACATATATATTTTTTTTTTTATACGTGGATGAAAACAATCGAAAAAAACGTCGTTCTTAGAATGTAGATAAGGCGACATACGTCAATTAAGCAAATAATTTACTTACTTATCCAATTATAAAAGAATGGAATGTGAAAAATATTTTATTAGAAGGTAGTTTGATAATTCAAGTAGATCAATAATTTTACAACGTAAGAAATTAAACTAGAAGCTTATTAGGGTCTGACCTATTGTAGATTACATCCCCTAAATTAATTTAAAATAGAAATTCATCAATAGAAAATAACAATAAAAAAATTAATTAATCTTCATATTTCAGTAGATTCCCCGTCGTAATTTTAATTCGAATCACGAGAAATAAATTTATAAAAAGATCGTAGTGTGTTGATTACGAACTATAGAAAACTAGTAGAAGGGTCACTTTAAGGTCAGACCAGAAATCACACCGAAAAGCTTGCATTTTTCAAGAAAGCTAATATTTGTTCAAAAATTCCATTTTTATAATCCGATTGAAAAGGATTTTTAGATTTAACTGATATTCATATGAAGTCACAAGGTTGAATGTATCAGTATCTACTGCATCAATTCAGAAATTCCATTTATCGAGTCAGAAAGAACTACCATTGGATTGGAGATAAAAATGTTCTTACTGAATGCCGGTAAATAATCTTCCTTTTAAAAAGAAGATTAGATAAGAATTTTCAACAAATCGTTTTATTTAAAAAAATAAATCTCAACTTTACACAGCTTATCAACTCAATCGATAATAAATTTAACACTAAATCAAAATGAAAGTCCTTGACCCTCTTCCTTGATCCTCAACACCGTAAAAATTTCCATAAAGCTCAATGGGAATCGCATAAAATTCATGTAAAGCTGATTTCAGTGTTTTACAATCAACTGATAATCATCTACAAGGGATTAAAACTTTAGGTCATCATTCAGGTTACCATTTATCATGATATAGTACATTATTTATGGTCCTCTTATGATATACGCACACTTCTATTCGTGCCGTTTTGATAAGGTGAAAGCAAAGTGGCATATCTCAAGAATTAAAGTATGCCACTTATAAGGTAAGGTGTTTATTGAGCCTGCTAACAGCTTTCTTTATTAAATTCTTTCTGAATGAAGACTTACAACCACCAAGACTCATGTTTCCAATCAATTTGATTGGATTGATGTCAAAAGTATTTAATAGTGTAACTGAAATGTTGACTGATCTCTCAGTGCATCTCTAACTCTGAGTATTACACTTGCTAGTTTCATTTTAAAAAAAATTGTATACTTTTATCTCTTAGCTTAAACAATTATAAAATAATAAAAGACGTCAATAAGTATATCCTTGAGTCTTTGTGTCTCATATCATTGCTTTGAATAATCACTTCTCAATCAGTTTTCGTTAAGAGTTTTTTTAAATATTGTGAAGAAGGTAACAAGGAAAATATTTCATAGCAAACATTCTTGTTAAGTCTTGAGACATAAATGTATGTCATAAGTCAAGTTGGATCATAAATATATTATTCACAAGATAATGCAGCATCTTATGATTTTAAGAGAAATAATTAATTGCGTGCATGTACAATGTACCGGGAAGTAATTCATGTCCACGATATGCAGCAATTTGGCTCTCAGTAAATTGCAAGCAGAATGAAAGTGTGTTGGAATGAACCTGGTGAAGTCTAACTTAAACTCCAGTTGAATCTTATCGTGGTAACGACACACATCTTGAGTACTGTGATCTCCACCTGTAGTAAACAGTTGTTTATTCAATCATTAACTATTTACTTAATGAAAAATATTACTTAAAGAGAATCATTCATCTGATAGTTCAAAAGTCCAGTCCTTGCCACTTGGTTGGTTTCAAGCATTACAACTCTGTGTTATTGTGCAAAAAATTTTACGTCATCAAGTCGTAATCATCATATCTAGTACAAAATCAAACATTACTTTGTAAAATATGGACTTTTTTTTTGATAATTAATTCTAAAGAATCATAATAATGTTGGCTATATTAAATTCTTGTGATTTCTAAATTAATAACTTGAGTGAAGTCATACTTCATGAGCGCGTATTTATCACTGTGTTATTAAAATCAATGTCTAGCTTAAAAATAAATTAAACAGTCTATAATTAACAAAGACACTTTTTGATATTTAATCATTTCTGCCGGCGGCTATCTTAATTGATAATAGTTGATATCTTGAAGGAATCATAGGCTGCCTTCATCAAACTAAGAAAACGTCCTCAGTTGTAAAAAGTTGAAGCCTCGACCAGCTTCAACTGGTCAGAACGACATTTGCATCTAATGTGAATTCAGTTTCCACTAGTGTTTCTGTGTGAATACGCAAGCATGTGCAGCACCTGAGCATTTATAACTGTGCATTTTAATTAAAAAAATAAAAACGTACCAGATATAGATGATCGTTACACCGTGTTATTTTTATTGTATAAAAGTTGTCGTGTTTGGAATATTTTTTGGGCGTCAGAAACAACATCTGTCATGAAGCCAAACGAGTTGTGTTTGAAATTGATCAAACCATCAACAGCAGGAGTATTAATTGCGGCTTCGGGCATTTGTTTTCTTTTATTGAAGGCATACAGTAGAGGGTAAATATCCATTTTATATCAATATCAATAACTAAGTGATATTGACGACATTTAATAATTGTGTGGAATAAATGGTTTGTAATAAAAATATCAATATTAATTAAAACAATTCATTTTGATAAATTATTCCAATTTTTAATTATAATCTATAAGTGTAGTTGTTTATATTTTCATATTAAATATCAGTTAAGTTATTAAGAATTGAATAAATATAATTTATTGATAATTCAATTGGAACATTAACTCATCAAATTCGGTCAACGTGAATTTAATGACAGTTTAAAATATAAATAAATATGAATAGAAATCATAATCAATAATCAGTGATAATGAAAGAATTGGAGTATGTGCTTGATATAACAAAAAAATTATTTATCTCGAGACGGAGGAATTTAATTCAACTTTCCACTGTCACTTAATTACCAGAGCGAAAATATCAATTTTTAGAATAATAAATCGTCGTGCAACGATCAACATTAGTTTTAAAGATTAAAAGCATTAGTTTTGTTCTTTAATCATGTTCACATATAGATAAAAGTAGAAACTGAATCTATATTTTACGTTTGATAAAAACTTTAACCTTATCCTCGTCATGCATTGTTGAATTTCTTATCAGATTAAATACGATTGAATATAAAAAAAAGCAGGAAAACAAACCAAACAAAAACAAACGGTGGTGGAATATAGGTTACAAAAGGAATAAAATTACTGAATCAATGAGACTCAGCATGAAGTCTGTATAAAAATGCACTCATCAGTCTAATTAAATTTATATCTTGCTGATTACAAAATACTAGAAGAGATAAATGAAATTTTTTGATATAATTTTTTTTATTTAGCTCTGATGATTAATAATTGATAAACGATGATATTGGTTGACGTGAATTCTATGATAAGTGCAAAAAGATTCTGATGAGTAGTCCAGTTATTGACGACAGTGTGATAATTTACATCTTAAATAAGAGACCTGATGAATTAAAATTGATTGATTTTAATAATTATTGGAATTATAAGTTAATAAAGAATTATATAAAATGATAAATATTCATTGAAGTCTAATGAAATATAATATAAAGAAAACGTATCAGCGGAATGGATTAATGACAGGTTTTATCAGATTGTTATATTTATCACTTATTTAATCGAATAAATAAGCTATCCATCCAAAGAAAGGTCTGAAAATTTCTCAATAGAGATCTGAATAAATTGATTATGAAAAGTTCTGCGCAATTATGCATGCTTCGGACTCCACCCTAATTTCTATTTTAAACATTTTTTAGCATCAAAGTTGGGGTGAAATCCTACTGTTATATAAATATTATATTATTGATTTTGAGATTAAATAAAACTATTCCGAGGCTTTAAAAAATATATATATTTATATTTAAAAATATTTGAACCTTTTGACCAATTTGAATTTAATCATTTGTTCATATTCATTCAAATCACTTTTATTTTTATATCTTCAAGTTAGTCTAACATGAATTAATTACTTGACTCGAGTGAAGTTCAAAAGATTCTGCTTAGTTTTAAATTGAGAACTATGAACACTCAATTTCTTCAAAACTTTTTCTCTATATGAATGACAAAACTAGAGAATCAAGTTCCAGTCAACTGGACAATGTACTTACAATATTATTAATTAACAAGATTCATCATTTATCAAACATGTCATTTGAAATTATGCTAGAATTGATGAGAGATAAAGAAGCATGTTCTATCCACAAAATGATAATTACTTTCTGTAAGATACAGCTTCCTTTAAGTGATGGTATTCGATTAGACTGAAATCATCTAAACTCCACCCAGAAGTCAACACCCTAATAGGAAACAAGCCACTGATCTATTCCTGGTCTAACACTGGACCAAGACTGGTCAGATTACTTTAGACTTGGACCAGTCTTGATTCCTACTAGAGTACCTAGATACAAACATTGGTTTTGGTTGGACAGAATAATTGATTAAACAACATCCAGCATGTAAGAAGCATGAGATATTCCATGTATGATGCACCCATTTCACTAGCATTGTATATTTGTCATCATAATTTTTGTTGGTTCATGAACAAATGTGCACATAAATCGATTCTCGATAAAACAACTGTTCTCTCTTACAAATTTAGTTTATTGCTACAACAGTTCCCCATTGTTATCCTTGCTGCCTCGACCTGGAGTCGATTTTTTCTGTTGCTACAGATTCAATTCGTTACAGCTATAGATTTTCCTGTAGACACAACAAAAATTACGACTATTGCAAGACCTGATCTCTAATCTGTTGCGCCAGCAGTATATTTTTTTCGTGTTAAGAACAAGAGTACGCTCACATCATTAACATAGATCCAGAGGGTTCATAAGCCAGTGCAGATTTGTATCTACCCACAGATTATAGATAGTATGAGTTCTGAGCATTGTTTTTAGTCTTATATCGAAATTTACGCGCCAACAAAAAATCATCTAGTTCTCGCAAATTAGGATAATGTTACAACGGACGAAAGTTAATGAGTGAGAAACAAGTGACACGACAATGGAATTTTTCTCTCTATATTCACACATTGACATACTGATTTTTTCGTGTGTGACTTTTTCATTCATTTTTTATCGTTTTCTTCTTTTCACTCTTTTGAGAATTAATCTACTTCCTGATAACAATTAACACAGATGACTACATGAAATCACATCTACCCAGAGTACATTTACATTGTATTAAATAACTTTGATTAATAGAGTTATCCCACTCGATAGACCGGAAACTACTGAATTAGTCATGCGTAGTGCGATTCAGGGTTCAATAACTCAATCTTGAAATATTAGGATGCACTACGATACTCGAAGAGTTCCTTTAATAGCTAAAGTATCATTACACAATCATTTCCATCAAACCATATTGAACAATAGTGTCCGGAGGATGGTAGACAGCTGATGGGGACCGGAAATACAGGTGCCATTGAGGATTCACCCACGCAAGCTTTTATTGTTGAAGTGACTGCTATCGTTGATAGTTGACCAGCAGTCAGACATTTATTTATCTTATATATTTTTCTAAATTATAATTAAATATACATTTTTTTTTATCTGACATTCGTGATTTTTTTTTCAATTAAAATAATCTTTTTATCTATCAAAACAATGTGCTTATAATCCTGAGGTTTTAATAAAATTATAAATCAATTTATTTAGAGTAATTAATTGAAATTTGTCGACTATTTTATTCATGAAATCAAGTGAAGTGCGAAATGCATTAAAAATATTTTTCCTTCAAACACTTTTATGCAGAAAACGAGAAAAAAGGCAAGTGATTAATTTTGAAGGTCTATTTTTTCAGCTTTACCTTTTTATCAGTGTAGTTAGAACATGTTAAGTATTTACCAAGACGTGATAATTTTGTGAGTTAGTTGCTAAAAATTATTTTTATCCGGAAAAATTGTTTTTATCATTAATAGAAATAATAATTTCTCATACATGTTCTTATTTAATTATCAAATAAAGTATTTAAAATATGTAATAAATAATAAAATAACAGTCATACTAATAAAAAAAGCATGCAGGATAAATTAGATAGGTGTTGCAATTTAAAGTTGTTGGAATTTTAAAGAATAAAACTACAATAATTATTATTCTATCACTCTTTCGTGATAAATGAACCGCATATTATTCATGAATAAACAAGAAACTCTTATCAGCGATACCGGTGGAGTTGTTAATGTCTCGTGTATTTAGTTCAGTTCATCAGGCACTCCGTTATCGTTTCAAAGTACTGTTGGTTCTTTCTACGTTTCAGGTATTATTACTTCTATCATTTTAATACTTTATAGCCTAAGTAATAATTTCTTCATGCTCTCGTTATATCAAAAATTAAAAATTAAAACAATACTATCATCAAGTTAATTATCACACACACACACATAAAGTTGCAAGAAAAAAAAAATAAAATAATTAAAGTATAAAAAATCAAATGATGTAATTATATAATGAAAAATTACATTTACTGGGAGGCCATTTGGTACATTAGAAGGTCGAAAGGCAGAAACTCTTGGTAAGAAAAAAAATAAAGCTGATGGCCTAATTGGAATAAAATAAAATTGAGTGTTTAAATAATTTATATAAAATGAAATATTTAATTTAGTCAAATGGATTTGTTATATAAAACTTATTGCATAATTAAAGTACACTACCGAAATGTTGGTTAAAAAATTAGACTTTTAAATAATAATAATAAAATCATGATTGAAATACATTAAATAGCTATTGTGATGGATATAAATATGTGCAAAAAATTATCATAACATTATTTTGTTGTGAATAATTAACGAGTTAAGGTAATAAAATATAATAAAGATGTTGTTGAGTTTTGTTAAATAGAGCAGTAAGTCAAAATTTTCCTCAAACATACTCGCAGTTGACGCTCCAAAAACCAGTGAAAGTTTGTATCATGTCCAGGCCGACCAACAGGGGCTCTCAAACTCCATTAGTTGGCCCGTGATATAAGACCCCTCGGTTAATATATCCGAGCTATATACTCAACAACTCCTACCATGGTATCGGGACCGTCTCCCGGAGTTTCCCTCTCGAACGCATGCACTGTCACTTTCAAACCGACGTCTCAACATAAAACAACGATTGTTTTATTCTCGCAAATTAATTTCCTCAATTATTCATTACCAAAACATGTTTTATTTATAATTGTTTTTATTTTTTTTACAACCACTGAAATCATTCATTATAACACCATGTGAGATTTTATTCATAAAAATAGAGTAATATTTGGTTTATCATTAAGCGTGGTTTGATTGTCATGTGCCTTTCTATCGACGAGTAATCGAGACCTTTGCTGAACTAAAGAACCGGAAAGTGGATATTACCTGACCGGAAATATGCACGAGTGAATAAACGTTGTGTTTACAAAATTTTTATAAATCAACTAGAACTACTCTGTATCAACTGAGTTTATTACTTGTCGCTCCAATTATTCTTAGTAATATGATCTATGAAAATGACATCTGGTCATTTGAATACCATCAATGGCATCAACACCAAGTCCATGTGAAAATAATCAAAGATACATTTCATCATTTCGTCACCAACTGCACCAAGTTTTGATCAAGGAATGGATATGGAACATGACCTAGTTCATGCAGGACCAGTTTTCTACACGAATCATTTGCTCAAGAAGTCATACCAGATGCCAGTGAGATTTATGGAGAATGTCAATAATTTGTGATAGTGCATAAATAATAGCTTTTCGTGTCACAATGATTGTTAATGCATGTAATTGTTGATAAACTTTATTGTTTGCTTGGATTGTTTTGTTGTTACTGTGATGGTAGTTTCAGAATAACTGTTGAAATAACTGATAGATCTTTGGTAGAATGATATAATCGAAAGTGTAATAAATATTTGAATTGACATTATGCGCATAAAACATTCGAATCGCATAGTGGATTAAGTAATCATTGGAATACGAGAAAGTTGTTTCACCAGTCAGTGAAGTTGCGATTCCAAGGCAGTTTTGGTGATTTCTTGTAAATATCAACAATATTCGCGATCTCTTCCCAACCAGAACATTCTGCAGATAATATTTCTAATGTTATTATATCCTATTAAATAACCTAGATCCTTTTTTTTATATATATATATGTTCTTTTAGTTTGATTAAAAATGATAATAATTTTATCCAATTTTATGTCTACCCTTCTGTTGGACGGTGCTGATAAGTCTGCTGATAAGTTTAATATGGCCACAATTATGATACTCTTCTTGTTAATTACTATTGAAGTTGTTGTGATTAAAGTTGTGATGTTCGAAATGGAACACAATGAAGACAATCAGTATGCGATACATTCACCTTCAGTGTTCTTTGATCGAGAAGACTAATTAGATAGATAATTGATGTATATGAAAAGGAATGTATAATTTGTAAAAAAAAATCTAGCATTTTACAACGAATTAATTTGATAAATAAAATTTCTTATGTGATTTATATTCAATATTTTTCCAACAATTGTATATATGAATGTTTGTAATATGTTTGATATAATGAATGAATAAAACAATTTTCAACCATTCATGGTTTTTTTATTTCTATTCATTCTTAATTATTTATTTTATTTTTATCTAATTAATGTAAGTTTGTAGATTATTTTTAAAAGTTTATTTTAATTTTAATTTTAATTTTAATTTTAAAAGAAGAAAAATGATGAAATATAAAATTGATGGGTTATTTTTTTTTTTGCAGAAAAAAGTCACCAGCTGTTAACACAAATGACAAAAAAGTTCCAGTGAATGAAAATAGATGTGTTTGTTGTCTGAAGGCATTTTTTATTACTCAAGGTGTGCAATGCAACGATTGTAAAGCAAGAAGCTGTAGGAAAAGTTGTGCTCATTGGAGTTCAGAAGACAATTGTTGGATTTGTCTCTTGTGTCATCATCGAAGGTTTTTAAATATTTATTTTCACTCGAGTTATCAATGTATCATTGAATTTAATAACAATAATAATTATCTTATTATCAGTAATTTAATATTAATTTCGCTAAAAATTTCAATTCATTGTTAAACCTACTCACAATTGTGAATGGCTCATTAGAATATTTTTACAATTAAATTGTTGAACGTAATGATACGTAGGTATAATAATATATTTATTGCTCATTGCTTCTTCTACAAACAATAGTTACGTTTCTTACGTACATACCATTTCCAATATTACATATGTTAAATAAGAAAATTTATTAATAAACCTTTCATTATTACTTCATAATTATCTAGACATTAATTAAAACTTTATCAGATAATCTTTATTTATTAATTGAAATTTCTTAATAAATTTTAGAACTTATGTAAAAAGAGGACAAAATTGGTGTAAAAAATTTAACGAAGAAACTAACGAAATTGATTCTGAATCGAATACGAATTCCAATACGGCGAAATATCAGACTTATGTTGCAGGTGAGTAGACTTTTGCCTTGACATTTAGTATTTGTTCAACCTAACTGATCTTGCATTCAGATGTTTACATCAACATTTACATTAAAAAGCTGAACCTTAGGAAGCTAACCTCCAGATATTTGAGCAATTAAATAACAAAAGCTGATAAATATTCAGTCAAATGAATACCTGATATTACAATACACTTTCAACGGTTACCAATCAATATTTTACCTCAAAAATAACTTCTGAAGGTTAAATATTTATTTGGTAAATACTAAATATGTATGAATATATTGCAATCATGTTATGTGTGCATACAATATCTAGAATAGGCTGAATAAAATAATATACATATACCGTATACTGCTTATACTATTCGGATTTCATAATACCGTTAGGCTGATCATGAAAAAATAATACCAACAATTCAAAACATCAACATAATATCTATAATATGTTTGATATCTTTCACTTTAACCGTTGTATATGTTCATTGTTTTAATGCGCACGTGTGCTATGAACCGTATCAAACACCGTAAATCGGCTTTCACATACAAAGAAAGTCTTGTGATTAAAGCTATCGTAATGCCAGTAACTGCCATTTATAATTATACAACGTTATTTAAAAAGACCTATGAATATGAAAGTTCCTCATATTTAATGTGTAATATATTTTCCAATGGATACAGTCTTTCCCACCATATATGTGTAATGTATTGTAATTCATACAAATTAATTCCAAGTATCAATCAACTGATGCTAAAATTAAGAATGGATCCAACTGCTTTGGTGCTTCTGAATGTACCTTGATTGTGTCGTATGAGTTTTATTGAATATTGGATTAGGAAATATAAAGAAATGATTGATTAAATTATTAGAAAAAAGAATCATTAGTGTTGGATTTCAACAAATATTGCAAGAGTTTCAAGTTTAAGTTAATATTTACTCAATAACTAAGTGTAATCTTTACCAGATAACGAAACTATTACAAAAAATAGGTAGAGTCTCTTTATCAGCTTACTATTCAAATCTAAAAGAAATGAAAAGTTGGATTTTGTTCAAAAAGAATCAAGGTTGGGAAAGAGGTTGGCTTTGAAGGAGTTGAAGAAAAGGGTTATTTTCATCAGGATTTTTCTAGAAGTGAAATCTTAGCTTTCTAAAAATATTTGATGTGTTTTTAAATAATACTAGCAATGAATGTCTACCAGTAATTGTTGAAGTATACAACAAAAGATTGGATTATTAGTCTCCATCAAAAATTCAATATATCCTACTTTGAGGTTCAAGATCAACTCATTGTCAACTGTTCCAAAGTTCTTTGTTCTAAGTTCAGTAACTGATTTAGCATAATGGCACCTTGATAGAAATAAAAATCGGCTGATTCTTATTCTAGAAATAACTTCATTGCTTGGACTAAAAATGGACCATACCAGTCTTTGCTTCATCAGGGTAACAGTTTTGATCCATAGCATAATCGCATGTTACTTATTTCTATACTTCTTTTCAGTTGAATTCTTTTTTACTTCCATTGCTTTTGTGAAAGATTTTTTTATTATATCCTTAAAAAAATATTGGAGAACAAAAAAAACCGCTGAAATCAGAATCTGTATGATATTTTGATAATTATTATTATCTCAATGGTTGTAAGAGAATAATGACGGAAAATAAGTTGCGGTTTACTTTCTTTTACAGTCTTTCGTGGATCAGTGGTTTCCGCAGCATAAGATTATTACGTGAACGTAAGAAACGCACGCTAGAAATAAAATAAAGTCATTTTATAGTCGTATTCGTGTCTAGGTTCATGTCTCTTTCAATCTTTTTTTTTCTCTACATCTTCTCGTCCGGGTAATTTAATATTACTCGCTCTAGCTAACGGGACTAGTTTACATTCACGTATACGAATTACTTCATCCTGAGAACTCTCAGACAAATTCATTGCGCAATTAGATAATTTTAATCACTCGTTGATCTATCAAGGCTGTATAGATTAACTACTACTGGATAGTTTTATTTGTCTTCTCTGAAGATTCATTGCTCCAAAAAGCTACCAAGTTGTTTTGTGAAGAAATATATTATGTCTAATTTCGTAATATGTCTTTTACAATTATAATTAATCAAGTTGTAAGAATATATGAATGATTGATTACTATCTTTAAAGACTGTTATTTAACATTTATGTAAATTCTACATCATTTGACATCATGTTTCTTGATTATTACTTTTCATTGATTACGTTAATAGACACAATACACTAATAATTTTGAACTATAATTTGTGATAGTCAAAAAGTCTTGAATAAATTTAAATACATTATAAAATATAATTATCAAATTTGCAATCAATTTTTTTTTGCAAACATTTTTAATAATAAAAAAAGTTTTACAACAATTTTGGTATTCATAAGAATACATTGAAACCATTTTTTAGAATGAGAATAATAAATAAATAAAAAAAATACAAAACAACTTGAAGGAAATAAGTGTAGACGTAATGAATGACAGTTTGAAATTTCAGTTGAGGTCTTTACACTATGAGACACGACACTCGCGTATATTTTTCTCTGGCTCATTGTCTTCTTTTGAAAGGTGGTGAACCTCAGTTCTGCTCCAGTACTCTCTCGAGTAACATCGCTGTCCCTCCGGCATTTCTGTGATTTAACTCTTCTGCTCCGTTATTCGCATCTCAAACGATCTTACACTATCATTCGTGAATCTGGGTATCGAGACCCAATATACCAATCGACCATCTTACATTCCTTATTTTTACGACTCATCGTTTCTCTCACAAGTGAACGGGAAATTTTTTTAAACCCACCTTCAATTTGATTAATGATAACACATATTACCAATTACGTCTTTACAATTCATTCATGATAATTATTATAAAAATAATTAATAATTAATATTAATGAATGAAAATTATTCATTATTAACACTTAAAAAATAAATGTTTAAATTGAATGAGTGAGTAATTTTAGTCTTTCTTATTTTTTTATTACCACCAATGAATAATATTCAATGGAATAAAACATAGAGGTGTGGTTAAGAGTGATAGATTTATGTGACAGCATAACAGAATCTTTGTAAAATTTCAAATAAAACGATAAGATTAGAAGCTAACTGAATATCACGACAGATATTCTCATGTTATTAATGTTTAAACAATGTAAACAAATGACATTTTTATATGGATTACAATTAATCTACTGTAGAACAAATACTAATGATATTAGTAATGTTGGAATGAGATGCTTGAGTAGATAATTAATGTAAATTAAATGATATATTGCAGGAGCCGAGCATGTTGCTATTAATTCCGAACTCGATCTGGCAACCGGTGGTTATGAAGACACGAACTCGATGGAAAATGTACGTGAGATTATCGAAAAAATAGTCGAGAATCTCGTCGGAAATGTCGATAACACTCCAATCGATCGGCTCTATCTTCACCCGGCATGTGAGTACAGTAAAAATTCATTTTTTATAACTGCTTTTTATGAAAAATCATTCAAACTTTATCACGATAAATATTAAATGGATATTTAACAGTTTTAATATCGATGTTTTTTTCATTTCAAAATGATTAGTTTGAATTTTTATTTTGCAAATCTTAAAATTGATGATAAGGGAATGAGTATACACTGCAAATCTCATTTTTAAAAGTGTTTAATCTCAATGTACTTAAAGTGTTTTAAACTGACGTCACCTATTTGATTAATATTTTAGTCACTTTATAAACACTTTCAAGTGCATTAAAAATTACTACAATGTTAATCAAAGGGATAACGTTATTTTAAGTTACACTTTAAGTGTTTTAAATTAAAATACTACGATTTGCAGAGTAGTGATTGATCACCCTACTTTTATTTAATAAATATAATAGAACTTATATTTTATTCCTTTAGAAATATGGAGCTGATGTTTTTCATCTTTTATGAAGGAATAAAGAAGAAAATTTATTATATTTATCAAGTAAAAGTAGGGTGGTCAATAATAGTTATGTGTTCAATGATTGTGCCTCTTGCCCTATTTGGGGTCTTCAATTAATTACTCGAAGTATTCTCAAAAAAAAAAATGTTGCTTCCAAGAAGAAAATATTTTACTCAAAACATTCTATTTACATAAAAATAGAAGGATGATCTGCGATAAAAAATTGTGAATATTGATGCAAATTTTAGACAGGAGAAAAAAACCCTAGTAGACATGAAAGCTTTAATTGTTTAGTGATAAATTAAATAGCTATTGAATAAACAATGACTTTGTATAAAATTTGAAATTAATAGATGCGTTGCTACTTGTAAGTATTTAATACATCAGAATGTAATTTATTTCTTGTTTTAACCAGAACTGCAATATCTGCTTTGCTCTATTTTCATGTTTGAGTTAAATACTATAATTTAAATCAAGAATTTTTTTTTTCAAAGTAGCATTTTTTTCTCATTTTTAATACAGTAGGATCCATATATTTTAAATCACTTAAAAGGGCTCATTTATTTTTAATTACAACCATTTTTAGCTGAATTACAATTAACGAAGTAATCATAAATAACAATTGTAATGATAATAATATTAATAATTGAATAAATAATGCTGATAATTTTAATATTATTTAACTAAATCAGTTGAAGGTGGATGAAGTTAAAAATAGATAGACTCTAATGTACATTAAAATTATAAATACGTTTAATAAAAAATAGAAATGATTTTTTTATTAATGTCTATCCATTTATTTTTATCTATTTTAAAGAGCTTTTAAATATAACTCATTTTTTATTCTGATTAATAATAAAAGTGTGACTAGAAATTAATCTTACTAATGTTTTAGTACCAAGAAAAAAAGTCCATATATTTTTCTAGATAATTTGAAAGAAAATTAAACAATTAGACTTCATTTCCGCTAAAAGAGTGAATTTTAATTGAAATTGAGAAAACATTAAATTTAGATGATTCTGTAAAAAATGAATGATAAAAATTTAAATTAAAGTGAGTACCGAATAAATTATAGACGAAGCTTGATTGTTCAGCATGAAATAAATTATAGGAGTAATTTTCTCAGTGAACCAGTTATCACATAAGTTAAGTGCGGTTATACGCATTCTTCACGATGAGCTCGAGGAGGAAAGTGCACTCATATATTCGCACGTGACAAACAACCTCTTGCTGGCAGCTACTGCCACCTGTCTGCTATATATTCATTCTGTTAAGATGATTACACTCAAGTAATACGAAGATAATTTACATTACTTGAAACACGCAATTATCGATCAGAGAAAACAAAAAATTTATTTTATTTATAAAAAAATTATTAAATTATTTAAAATAAAACAAAAAATTCGCAACTTCTCGTAATTAATGGCATACAAGTAGAATTAAAAAAATTGTGAATCAGTGTGACTTTAAAGATTCTCACTAACATCGTCTTGATGTTTGTTATTAATCATTTGTAATTATTACTTACAAATTATTATTTATTGTTATAACAAAAAAAATTTTTAATTACTTTCTTTAATTGAATTAGTGAATATTTAAGATCTTTTAGTGCCAGCCTGACCATTTGAAGTAAAATTGAATTAAATTTTAGTGAATTTATTTTCAAATGGTAGAATTGAAACAAAGAGTTAGTAAATATTTACTAATTGAATTTAAAAAATGTATATATTTTATTAAATAATGGTTATATAATTTTTCATATCTGTTGTTACTAACTACAAATGCAATCAATATTTCAAGGTATTTACAAATTATTACCAAGAAAAAATATACTGTGGTCTGACATTTAGTTTATAATTTAGTCTTTATAAACTAAAACAAGTTAAAAGTGTGACAAAACAATTATTCATTTAAGAATAAAATAAAATTACTCCAAAATTTTTTTAATGTCTAGCCATACATTTTGATAAAAATTATATTACTGATTATTCAGTAGCTTGGAATATAAAATTACATTGAAACATTGATAATGAAACTAATTATAATAATCATCCTATAAATTAAGGTGCAAATAATGAACAAATAGAAAATCATTTTATACATACTTGCATGTAGCCTATTAAACTTGAATGATATTCAAAAGTCTTACACTTGACACTTTAACATAAATTTAATTGATATATTTTACACTTCAGTGGATACTAACGAATACGTAATTAACAGATGATCAGCTTTTTGAGGAGTATGGTGTACTTTTGGCAAAAACAATCGCACATTTGGCTATGACTTTCCAGATGGAACACAAAAGTAAGTAAACTTGAAGGTTTAATTATCTCTATTTATCATTCCTCATAAGTTCTGTGACTTCTTCCATATTATTTCTATCCTATCCTGAACTAATTTCACCTAGGTCACCAGGAATTATTTAATCAATACATTGGCTTACAGTCAATACCAAGCTAATTAATAGTTAAAAATGAATTTTGAATCTATTCAACCTGTTTAACTTGTGGAACTTTTCTTATCAATTGAATAATGTACTTGTACATTTTCCTGAACTCTATTGTTCAAGTCTGATAAGCCGTATTAAAAATAATTGCATGCAGTATTTTAATTTTATGGATGATTTAACATATTTTTTTGATAACACTTGTTTCATCTGAAACCAAGCTTAATTATCCAAATGTTGTAATATTTTTATTCTTTATTTAAAATTTCTATCTAATAATTCATTCAACTGATTGGAAAGTTAATGACACAAAATGAAAGTGAAATGGAAATCTATAGATGAATTAATGATAAATATTTTAACATGAAGATTCTAAAGAACTTGGCATATACTCTTGGAGCAGCATCGAACTTCCTCATTCCTCCATCAACACCTTTTTCATTTTCGAATTAGAAAGAAACGGAATTTCGTACGTGAAGTGAATTTCTTGCTTTCAATTGATTTTCCAAGAAAGTTCCACGTTTGCATGTCAAGATTACTAAACAGTTAGATGACGATCACTACTATAAATATTTATAAAAATTCGGAAAAACCTTTTCTATTCTTTTCTCTGCTTTATACAGATGAGTAGATGAGTAAGCGTGTCTTGTGTAGATTTAGTCGTTTGCCAGCTGTATACTAAACAAATGGAGATGTACAAGTACTATTTGATGTACTTATTATTTTTATATTAATGTATTAAAAAATTCTGATGATTTCAATTTATTTATGTCGAGAAGATAATTGGAAAAATTCAATCAACACCAATTTTATATCATCATTTTTAACAAAACCTTTTTATTTATATATTTTTTTTTAAAAATGTATTTACCATTAAAGGTAAATAGTTGATCCATAACTTGAAGATATTTGTGAACTTTAGTTTCATAAAAATAAGTGTAAAAGAAAAAAAATATTCCAAAGATCAAATGAAGATTGACGTAAGACAAGGATTTTTTACTTATCTAGATGCAATTTTTACATCAGCATTCATCATTATTTCTCTACTCCATTGAAGGAAAAAAAAAATTAAAATTGATGTGATGTAAATCATAAAAATATGAAAAAATTTATATTCATTGGTATGGAAAGAAAAAATTGACATTTTGAAAAAAATAAGAAAAAAGAAATATGAAACCTATCGAATCAGATAGAATTCAATTTCATTCAAAATACCGATAGGTATCTAGTATTCATTTATTCATAAACGTAATCTAATCATGAGAAGTAGTTGAACAAGGTCAAGGCTGCCTACTATTACCTAGATGAAAAATCGCGTTCCTCGTTGCATAGCAGGAAAGCATAATTTTCACATAATAATATACCTCATGGTTTTTCCCTATATGTGTAAATACATACATATATATAATTTCTAACACATGAATACCGAATAAACTATTAGAAATGAACGTTATGTCTAAGGATCAACATATAAGTCCTTCGTGAAATCATGATTACACCTATTGTGTTCACTTAAGTCTAACAGTTCTATCTAGATAGATCAGTTGAACATTTTATCACGTGAGATTCAAATATTTATAGTGCATTCTGCAAGAAAAAGAACCTTGGCCATGAGTGTAATCAAATTCTCAGCATCAGAATAATCGAAATCTGAGTCGCAGGAAGGGAGAAGTATGATCTAATAGAGACAACAGGAAGAATGTCGTCATTTTTACCTGAGTATGTTCTGTGTATACACCAAAGTACTGAAATAGTGATGAACAAACATCCATGTAGGTCATCTTATCAAAATATAAATTCGATTTTACCATCAATATTATCAATGAACTAATTGCGTAAACTGCATTGCCTCATGACCCTGAAGCTAAGAAAAAACATGTCTGCATGTTTTCTTCTTTCTCTATTCTCGTTTTAATTCCATAAAAGCATAAAACGTGATGTACACGACGATTCTCATAAAAAGAAAAGTCGTACATGAAGGGGCTAGGCTCATTCAAGTACTCATAAAGCGACCGGCATGGAGCAATACTATTATATCCGTATATAAATACCTGTACCTTGAAAGTTCAAGTTGCCTGGAATTTTTTTTCGGCTCCACGCCGTCTCGAAAGGTCAACCATTCTCACGGTTGACCATTGATCTTCAGCCTAAGTAAGTCAAGTTCGTGATTTGTATCAAATTTTATAAAAATTGCTATCGTTTAATTTGCTACAATAAAATCATTTTAAATCTACGTTGAAGTTAATTGAATATTTATGTAAGAACTTGGAATCCTCTTACATTCATGAGAAATTATTGACCAAAAAGACAACAAATAATATGTTCTATTTTTCAATTAAATTATACTTAATGTAATTAAAAAGCAAACAAACTTCAACAAAAGCAAACATAATAATCTTAAATAAAAGATTGGCTTACAGAACTTGACATTGATGGATTCGTGTCGTTGATCTCCATTTTGGAGGTCGTCTGGAAATTTGATAATGACTGCATAGAAGTGATCCTGGAGGAGATGCAGACTTCCTTCCAAACACTCTCGTGCATCGAAGAATTTAGAAAATATAGGTCCACATAAAAGTATCCCCACTAAAGAGAAGCCGTAGAAAAGTATGTGGGGTACGTCACTAGCATATTGAGCTTGCCTTTACGACGCTCAGTCGAGACCTGAACCGCTTGCGATTACGTGCAACGTGCGATTCTGTTTGGCTCGTGACACCACAATACATTTTTTCATCTTCAATTATTTCCTTTTGTTTATCTACTTGCTATTTAATCTTTAATCATGTAACAAGTACTCAAAACGTGATTGTTTTTTTTTTTCGAGCTATTAATTACAGGATTCCCGCCATTCGACATAAAAAAAATACATTTCGGGTGTTGAGATAAAAATTTATTTGTGATATAATGTGTCATAGAATGATAAATATTTAAACTGCGATAGATCAGTTAAAGACAAGTAGATAGGTACAGACAGCTTTTTTAAATTTACAAATTACATTTATTATTACAATAGATTATTATAATTTTTTTCCAACTGATTAAATTATTCTATGGCCATGAGACTGATTATTTAATTAATGAAATATCAATATATCTTTTAAAATTTTATTTTTTGTTTATTAATACTTTTTACCGTCAATTATTTTATTTCTTACTGGTTATCATACATTATCAAAGACTTTGCTCAATGAGCATATGACAGATGTGCTTAAAATAAATTTTAAATGACAATGATAAAAAAAAAACATAAAACTGTAACAATCTCAGGCTATTCATTCTTAATTATCCACATTCGGCCTTGGATTTAATTGTTGTTTTAATTAAAAAAAGTGAGGAATATTAGTTGATTTAACATCATTTTTTTTTTATCAATCACATAACATAAAATTGGTTTTAAAGTAGTTTTATTGATCAATAGCCTAGATAAAATTAGAGTACAGTGAATAATAAATTTCCCAATCATTAATAAATATTACTGATAGCAGAGACTAATTTAAAAATAATTCGTAAAAAAAAATACATATTTATAATTAACGAGCAGTTTATTATTCAGTTTATAATTAGAAGTAGATATTCAGCAAAAAGGTCAGTCTGTAGCAAATCAAAGTGCATCACTTACATATGAATACCATTACCATTACTTCAATTATCTTGCCGCACTCTCACGGTTCAGATATTGGATAACTTGAAAATCAGGACCTTGAACTCCCAACAGCGTTAATTGAACGGGAACCTCGTGTGGAATCTTCCAAACTCCGTTATGTCGTTTCATTTTTACCAGTAAAACACGTGACAAAAATAAATAATAATCCAATAATTTTTTAAATCACTCAATTCTAGAATATTGATCAGAATTATTTAACATTTTATATCATTTATTTCAATTAAATCCAAATAAATAATGACATCAATAGATAATACTTTATTAATCTCTTGATATACGAAATAATATTTAGATTAATGCAATTGTTTTTCAGTTCTATTTTTTGTTAATATTTTTTTTCTCATCTTTTTTTTTTTGTACTTAACGTTTTAATAATTTTTATCATTACATGCAACTGTTCAAACAATTTATTTCGTCAGACGAGACGTTTTTATAAAATAATTATGCTGACTGATTTTTTTTTTTTTTTTTAAAGGTATTAAGTTAAATAGAAATAAAGTTCAAGTAATGTTTATTTAATATGAATATAATATTTATGAAATGAGAACGTAAAGTGACATGAACTATCATACCTAAATATATACATTTATATATATATTTTTTTTTAATTCTACTACAAAGTGCATTAATATCTTGGTCGCGCGATAATCTTTACTTTGGCTTCAATTTTCAAGAAAACGCAATAAAAAATTATTACGTCGCCAAGATAATAGTCTTGGTATATTCGATAAACCGCAAAATTAACTCTTGTAATTCCGGTCAAATTCCATTCTGTCGCCAATCACAATATTAATAAATTACTATTATACAAAAGTTGGAAAGAAATGATTTTTATAAGAAAAAGATTGATAAAATTTATCTTAATAGATATGGATTGTGATAGTCTTGACTACTATCTTAAGTTTTTCAGTCCAAATGAAGACACATTATAGTAGTTAATATAGTAAAAAAATTAATTAACTTTTTCAGAAGTGTGACATCATTATAAAAACGTATATAAGTGGTTCAACATCATCAAATATTTTAGTTTTTAAATATACCTTGGTATATATGTACGTACATATCAAGTTATGATCGAAAATAAAATAAAAACAAATCAGAATGAAGTGAAGTAAAGATAATGACAGTTCTTGAAATATTATTCTATGAAATAGAACGAGAGTGCATAAATATTAGTGTCCTGTGAGTGATGTAAAATAACGTGGGCTCAATGTTGATGCAATTTTTCAAGGAGATGCTGCAGTTAATAGGCGGCCTTATTTTTTTCTATTTCATTTACATATTTTTCACCAAGAAAAATGGTAATTTTTTATATATTATATTTTATTATTATAGCATATAAAATGACAGGTGTAGTACATCTTCTTTAATCAATGCTAATTCTGTATTTCGAATGACACTTTGATGAAGAAGACACTCTGAGAATACTAACAACTGAATATCAATATATTGATTATCTAACTTACATAAAAGACTCCATCATGAGCCAGTCATCAGAGTTGTAAGCAAATTTTTTAAAATTAAAGTTGATTCTATAATTGAAAATTAAATAAAAATAATAATTGTTATAAAAATTGGTCTTCTAGGCATAATAAGGTTTTCCTATCAGTACAAATTTCTTCATATCTGTACAGGTTCAGTCAGAAAGCTCATTTAAGCTATTAAAATATTTAGAATGAAAGCACTGATGATAATTTTATGATAATATAACAAATAGATTTAAGTAATACAGTTTGAAATCTATAAAACGAAGCCAGGATTCTTGAATCGATTTTAAATTCTTCAAAATTGATTACAACTCGTATGATTAGCTCATTAACGAATGATAGCTTATTTTTTTAATAATTATATCTTCGACTATTGAACAAAAAAAAAAAGGTGAAGATATATTCTGGCTTATTTTACTGATTCCAAAACATATTTCCACACATTTTTTTTATTAATGTTTACAATAATTTATTGACAATTAAAACTTTGATAAGCGATAAATAGACAGGTTCAATGACTGATTTCTTTTACAATAACAATTATATATAATTATTTATAAAACATTACCCTTTAGTTAAAAGTTTGCTGATGTTGGTAATTAATCATTTAATGTCTCGACATCTACCCAATGGAAAAGTATCAATTTTTTTTGTATAACAATTAAAAATGTTTCATTTAATGATCAGATGACTTTTAATAATTTGACAAATTTCACGAGATAAACGAGGCTAATTATTCTGAACGTTCAATTAATGATGGGAATATACTTGAAGAACATAATTACACATGTGGAATTCATGAAAGTCCGGAAGACAAAGTATGTAAAGAGGTAGATCCACAGTTACGTACAAAGTATTTAATACAATCTTCCGGTTGATAATCTTGTGAATAACTTTAGCACAAGAATGTGCAAGTAAAGCAACGATAAGTGTTGACAATAATCGTTCTACTGTTCACCATAAGCAAATAGAAGAGAAGATTTATTGAGGCTACCAAGATATTGAAACCTGGACAGGAAAGTGATGTATGTAAGATGAAACGACCTTCATTTGTTGTGAGACCAGGGCTAGAAAGTTTGTAGTAGCTTTACTGCAAGTTGACTATTGAATTGGTCAGTTACAATCGATACTCAGTGTGGTGAAAATTGCACAGTTAATCAAAGACGTGATGACAAAGTTTCTGTTCTTTCTCTTAAAAAAAAAAATTCCTGCTCATTAAAATCGTTTAGAAATTTTTTTCTATGAAATGAGGCATGGAATGATTAAGGAAAATCCACACCTTGATAGTTAATTAGAAGGCAAACAACTTGTAGGTGGATGACATCTACCTATTAATTTATTCCAATACGCAGTAAGTCTTAGAAAGTGCATTAGAGTCAAGAAAAACCTTCAGAACGACAACTAATGAAACGGAAGTTTGAGTTTCACTTGGAAAACTGGAAAAGATGATGTGTTGAATGAATTTTAGAAAAAGTGACTGGAACTATTTATCCAATTGATAAATCGTCCAATAAGTCTTTTATTTCCACGTAATTTGATGAGTAATAATTCACTTATCAATGTTACTTGAGTTCTAACTCCATTTATTGAGAGCTAGATATCAATAGAAACAGTGCAACAGGTTGCTTTTCTCCTCCACACAATCTCTCCAGTGTTGTCTGAAAAAAGTCGACAAGGTCGTCAAGGAGAAATTACATTTATACTGTCAATGGTTGTGAATAATTTTTGCCATTTACTCCAACGACTAAGCGAGCTCCGACCCATAACGGGGCAGGACTTTAAACTTGTTCACATGAAAGTGTAATTCTTGCTCACTGAACTTTGGATTTTTACCATTTGAAAATTGGAAAGACATTGCTATGGTTTATCATGTTATTTTCAGTCATTGTAGACTTTTTTTTCTCTGCTTTTTTCTTTTATTCCAACATTAAAATTCATTCATTTGCAAATTTTAAGCAAGGTTGTTACTTTCCCCTAAAATTATCAATAATTATGGAAATGTATTTTTTAAGAAATGAATAATTTTATCAGAAAGAAACTTGTATTCTTGGAACCTTAAGGCATTTAAGCAGAAAAGAATAAAACTGGTGTTTGTGATGTTTATAGAAAATCCACAGGAAACTGTATTTCCTTGAAAGTAAATGTGCTAACTTGATCGATTGTAAATTGATCTTTCTAATGTGAGGGTAGCTCTCACTCAATAGATTCCTAATGGAATACTTTCCGACTTGCAGACAAACCGGCTACAGATAGTCCAAGTATGGCACACACTGCACTACGGGAGCTTGTTGAACGTGCAGTTGACGAAGCCCGCAAACTACCGGGACTTGGTGATACAGTATCTTCACGAATACAAGAAAATACTAGTATATCTGAACAGAACTACGAGGATCTTCTTGCTGCCGCCATAATAAATAAAGTAAGAACACAATGTTTTTGAAAGAAAAAGTTAAAATAATTCATAAATTAAATTAATTTAAAAGTCTTAGATTTCATTTCCACTAATTATTCCTTTTTTTTTCTTCACCTTTCTACTAAAAGTTAATTTTATTCACAGGTTATTGAAAAATGCCAAAAAGAAAATATTGATGGTAATGGTAATGTCCTTGATGACAAATCTTGCAGGTTCATCAAAGGTAAGATAAAATTAAAACTTTCAATATATGGAAACACTAAATTTCAATTAATTTAATTAAAAATCATTAGTAAATGATGATGATGAAATTAGTGATTTCACAATGAATTATAAATTTAGATAAATCTAAAATGGACTTGGATGATGAAGTAGATGATGATAGCAGTAGTATTGAACCACCATCCCTAGAAGACAGTCTTGATGGAAGTGAAATGAAAATACACCGTCGTACACGTGTTCAGGACCCTTTATCTTATACGGTAATGAAAAGGATTCAGTATTAAGTTATAATCATTCTATCATCTGAATTGAAACGATTAACAATACTCACGATCATGGTACTTTATTTATAAAAAGATTCATGGTTATGAATTGAGTTGGGGAAACGAAATAACTTGATAGGTAGATTATTTTTTAACTTCAATGAGTACTGAGTACTTGCTATTAAGATTTAAAAAGTAGTGATCCTTGGAAGCTTTATGATGCGATCGTTAAAATAATACATATCATATAATTAACTTGATTATATAGCAGAGAAGTTCATGTGTGTATTTATTTAAAATTTTCACAGTTTTTCTGATAATAAAAAATTTTTTTTAGAGTTTAATATGGTTTAGCAAAACATACATTTTCTCTTTGAAAGCGTTTTATAAAATGAATATTCATAAATATGCACTTTTAAAATTCCAAACTAGCAAAAACATTGATGATGCAAATGGAAAAATTCTTTAATCGATTTATTGTGAAAGTGCATCGTTTACAAATATTTACTCACGCTTTAAAAAGCACTAAATGATTGTCAGTCTTGGCAGTATCGCGATTGGAAAGTTAACGTTTGGCTGACAGATTACTCAAGGATTTAATTTACGGATATTTATCAGCTTTTTAATAACCTAAAAAACGTAAAAAAAAAAACTATAAAAGATGACCATGTTCTGGAATTTTAAATATTTTAGTATTAAGGTTTTTATCGTAACTTCAATCTTTGTATTAAGAGCTATGGAATGTAGGTAACAAGTAATAATGATAATGGCTGTATTGAATTGCAGATTGAAGAACAAATTGAAGAAATCACAACAGTTTATACATCAGATGAAGATCCGGGAACGCTAAAGACAAATCTCCTTAATTTCCGGAATGCTAAGCGCGTGCCATTTCCGGAGTTTGGAATGGATATTGTTGACCGTGAGTATTATCGTTCATTAATCAACCTCCAGAAATAAATGAATTATTAATTTAAAAAAAAAACAAAAATTCTCAAGGTGAAGATGAAATATTTTTTAATGAAAAAATTGTATTTTTTAAAATTAATTAAAATATATTAAATAACTCAATTAATTAGTAATGATAAAAAGTAATGTTATTCAAAAAAATGAAGAAAGTTTTTTAAATTATTAGCTTCACAAGAGTCATCAGAAGAAAGCCAAGATGAGGTGGATGAAGCGGCGCATGTGGATCACATCACACCTGTTGAATCCTGGGAGGAAAACTGGCTCTTCCAAAAGAAAAAAATTCCAATTAAATCTGAACCAGTTGCCATGCTTGTACCAAACCCTAGTGCAGAATATCGAGCATTGATTGGTGACAAGGATGCTGAAGACACATCAGATTTATCCGAATTTTCTGCTCAGTCTGATGAAGAAGGGGATGATGAATTAATACAAGCCATAAATCAAGTTATACCAGAGTCATCGAATGCCAAAGAAGACCATCAAGATTTTCTCTCTGAACAGAAAAGCAAATCTGAACCTGTTAATATTAATGATGATTTCAATACTGCAACATTGCCAATAAAATCAAGTTCTGATGAAACTAAAAAAGACTTGAATGGTAAAGAAAGTCTTTCAGTCACAAAAAGTGTAAATGAAAAAGAAAGCATACAAGAAATTGATGCCGAAGGTAACAAGCAAGTGAATGATGATCATAAATTAATAAATAATCATGTAAAATCAATGAAAACAGAAAATCAACCGACTCGTGATGCTGAAGAAACAATGAAAACTGAAATATTACCTAAAACTCCAACACCAACTCCAGTGAGGAATTCATTATGTGATAATGATCAATCATCAACGTCTTGTGATTTTCAAAAACTAAATAAAAAACTTGGTTCAATTGATACTCATATAAACGAAGAAACGTCTGATATTGAAGAAGAATTTTTCTCAGCACCAGAGAACCAGTCAGAGAAGATTAAAAATAAGGAAATAGACATAGAAAAGTTTATAATCAATGAAAGACACGAGACAGAAGAAAATATGAAACCAATGATGCCTGATGACAGGTGATTTTTCATTTGTTATTTATATATTTTTCCTATGCGATCTTGTTTTGTTTTTTTAATTTTTAATCATTCATCAACAACACTTTTTGATAATCTTTTACTCATTATTTTGAAGTATTGAATTAAATATTGAACAAACTCATTACTGCATGCTGTTCACGTGAATTTAGCAGTATCTAAAAGTCATGGTTTTATGTAGAAGGTGCAAAGCAGCTAATGCACATGCTGCTGCTGCTGAAGGAATATCTAAATCGCTTAACCACAAAAATACACATGACGATAACCTTGGACTGTCAGCCCCGCCACGACCAGGTAAGAAAATTTTTATTATTTTTTTTTTCTCTCGAATGTAAAGCCATTATAATGAGTTTCGGAAGTCTTTGAGCCATTGAGTCTCTCATCTGAATGAAATATATTAAGAGTAGCATTGATTTATAGGTACCATTGCAGAACGTGAGCATAAAAAATGGGAAAATGCTCCTCCAATCCAAAATAATCCTTATAGTCAAGAAAATATACAAAAAAGACTTCTAGAACGTCAATATGCCAGCAGACCTGCTGATGTTGGGTAAATATTTTTTATTAAATATGGTATGCAATTAATTATCAGATTAATTAAAAACTTTATTCAATTATTTGATATATTTTTTATAGAAATCCGACTGTTCTACCGTCCAGTCCCAGTCCTCCATTGCAAATAGTTCTAGGAGCTAATCGGCCAGACATCAAAAGGTAAAATTATCAGGAAAATAAAGCAAAAGTTGACTTACGAGACTGTGTCTAGACTGAAATATGCATTTAAATGATTTGAAAATAATCTAAGATTTAAGAAATGTATTGATTCTATTTAGAAGTACAGAATTTATATTAAAAACAATATTATTATGAAGTAATTGATGGTGATAATTTTCGTTTTATTGTTTAGATTCGGAAGAGATTATTATATCAACGATTCAAAATCATCGAATGGTGAAAGGCAACTCCGATCTGGCGCATCGAATTCAAGCAGACCCAGCAGTTCTTTGTCTCATCGTTCAAGTTCGACTAGCAGTGATTTCGAACAGCAGGTGAGTCATGGCCTAGAAAAATTTGAAGAATCTTCTCTTCGTGGTAGTCTTCATAGGCGCACCTATCGTGGCACAAATGCCAGCTCGCATTTCGTTACGAATCCTCTTATTCACCTGGATCTTTGTGATGAAAGTGTTGAAAAAATTGACCAAGATTGCACCGATCACAATTGGAATGATTCCATTGATGAAACTGATGACTTTAATGAGCCAACATTTCATGAAAATTCATTTGAAAGTTCTCAATCTGATATTCACAAAATTAATCCTCTTTATGAAGAGGAAAATAAATTTATGCAACGATCTATAGAGTATTCTCAAAAGGATCGTGATTCTGGCATGTACTCAATTGATTCTACTGAATATGAATATTCAACATCTGATAATGCTCATCCAGGTATTACAAAAAAAAAAAATTTATTCAAATTAAATTGGGATTACAATCCTAATCAAACTGAAGAAAGTTGGATTGATTTAAATTCCAATGGTAAGAAATATTGGGTTTTTAATGCTCACAAATTCCATACATTTGGAGGAATAAAACGAAGAAAAAGTCACAGTTTGGTTGTCGAAGATGACTATGAAAGTGATGAACAAATTAATGAAACTAATTCAGAAGGAACGAATACTGATTTTTCAAAGTTGAAGTTTATGACCTTTGGTGGTATTAAATCAAAATCTCATAGCAAAAAGAAAAATTTTAGCAACAATGAAACTCATACACCTAGAAAATTAATCAAATTATTTAATTCTCCAAATTGTTTAACAAGATCTGAGTCAAAGCAACAGAGTATTAGACCAATCCAAAGCTCAACTTTAAAAGAGGCTGTTTTCGATGGTGATAATTTAAAACTTGAACCTCCAATAGTGCCACAGATTATAGATAGAAATTTTACGAGCTTAAGAAGTTTGAGAAAAATTAATTCCAACTTAACAATTCCTAAATCTCTTGAACATAGTTAAAAATAATTTTGTAAATATATAGTAGTATAGTAGTTAATGGAATAATGTTTATATTTAAAGTATAAAACATTTAGTAATGTATATTTTCAAGAAGAATCTCATAACTGTAGCTTATTTAAATATTAATTAAATTTAAAATAATTGATAGTGGGAACTAATTTATATATCATTTAATAAATTTAATTAAATAGTATTAATAAATCACAAAACTATAAAAATAAACATAATAATTTTTTCATATTAATTGTGATTTATAAATACTATTTATTATAATCTAATTAACAATGTCATTAGTTTATAATAATTGATAATATAAAAAATAATAATTAAAAATAGCACTAATTGATATTTTAAACTACCTCAGTGTTGTGAGTGAATACAATTAGTAAATGATTGCATATCTTTTAATTATTTGTCGCCAAAAATTTTCTATCTCGCTCTTGAATCTATAAAAATTCTAACGTGTACATAATAAACCACTTTTTAAAGTTTCCTAATAAATACTTGTTAATATAATTCTGTTAAAAATTTTAGTGACCTTAATTCTATTATTACAACTTATGCATGAGACGCACAAAGTATTTGTTTGGTAAGTACTGTAACCACAGTGGTTAAACCTCACCACCTACTAACATTCATGACTCAATGATGGTATCATTGAAGCAACTCTTGGGATCCACCGCAATATACATAGTATTTTAAGCACGCATGAATATTTTTATTTAACTAAATGCTTTTTATTATAAAGAGAAATAAATTTGTCATCTGTCATTATTATGGAATATATATTTTTAATCATTTTTTTAAATTTAAAAACTAGGTTCAGATAATATCAATTGATTTTATCTGTGAGGGCTTATTAATTTCATTGCCTTCAATTCAATAACAATGGGCTGAAAATGATTACTAGAACTTACACAGTTAATTTCAGTATCTTTTTTTGTCTGTTATAGGAGTCCTTCGAGCCTATCGAAGCAGCAACGAAATCACTGGAATTGATGCAGAATAATAAATTCCTGGAGCGTGAAAGGAAAAATAGCAAAAATGAAATTAATGCTAAACTCAATAAACAAGGGAATTTTGATAATATATCTACAATTATTGGGACAAAAAATTCTCTTACTGATGATAATCAACGTAAAATAAGACCTATTGACTTAAAGGCTTATGTGTTTGAGAATGAATTTAATAATAATAGAGATTTTAAAAAAAGTCATCAGCGAATTCCTAATAAATTAGATTTACGATTATTCGGCTATGACTCTGGACTAAGAAGAGCACAATCAAATAATCAATTAGATAGTAAAGTAAATAATAGTTTTGTAAATGTAAAAACGAATATTGAACAAATAGATGATAAGTCAAACTTATTGCAACGCTTTGAAAAAGTTGATGATTATAATTGGAATAAAAGTACAGAAAATTTAAGTGAAGAAAAGAAAAATATTTTTGACAAATTTAATCCAATTACGTCAGCCAAGTCTGTTCCAAACATTTCAAAAATTGGTGGCTACTGTTATGATAATGATAAGAAACTTTTATCACCACCAAGTGATGAAGGCGATAACAAACTAAAGCAAGATAATGACGAAATATACAATAAAAAAAATTCTAAAATGTCATGTGTAAATGAATTAATTAATGAAGAAATAAATAACTCTTCAAATAATGTTAATAATTATGAGTCAGATTCTCAAAGTTCTAAAGCAGAGTCTGAAGAGTTCTCGAAAAAATTTTCATCTTCAAAAGAATTTAAATACTCTCTAAAAACACCAGAAGAACCCAATAAATTTGCTGACAAACAATTACCGATGCCTTCAGTCAGAAAATTAGCTCAAGCATTTAATAATACACCAAAAGCTGCATCTCCACCAAGGGTAAGTTCCACTAATAACATATTAGAAATTGTTACAATCATGAGTCAATAATAATAATTATCATTATTATTCAATTTAAAATATTGATAGCTTATTTGTTATGCTTTATTGACTGTTGTAAAAATATTGGAATTTTTTAATGTGTTTAACTTGTCAATTGATTTTTAAGGTTTCTAAGACGATAAATATCAATAAAGATCGACCTAAAACTCCAGAAGTTCATATCATCAGAACTCCACGACAAATGCATAGTTTAACAGCTAGATCACTTTCTAAAGAATTTCGAGAAGGTTTACGACAAATTTCTAATAAGCCTAGTGCACCAGTGAGTACGATTATAGAACAAAGTAAAATACCAGCTGGTACGATAGAATCAAATACAATATATAGCGAAAAACCAAGTGACATTGGGGTAATTGCACCGGGCAAGCTGAAGAATGACATACAATTCTGGGAACAACTTCAGAAGAAACATTAAAAAACAAATCATTAGCATTAGTGGATATAAGTAGTGATAATAACAATCCTAATATTAATAATAAAAGATTGGCTCAATATCTAAGTAAACTTAACTTTTGTATAGTTCTGTGTAACAAATGCCTTATATATTATTTTATTAAATTAAATCCAATATATTCGATTTTTTATTGTATTAAATTAATCACAGTTAATATATCAAATTAATTTTAAAGTTATCTCAGCCATTATATTAATGTATATTTTTATTACAAGAAAGAAGCTTTAAAATCGATTTGATATCTATGATAGATTTAGGTGAATGACAAAAAAATGGATGCAGAAGATTCATAAGAAATTGCACACAATGAAAACTGCCATAAACTAGTATTAAATATAATAATAAATTATAAAAAATTCCTCTTATTAAATTCGAAGTTAAAATATTGGTAACAATGATAACTTAAAAAGGTCGTGCCAAAGGACATAAATGTGTTATTTTCCAAAGAAATTAATAAAATATTTTTAAATAAAAAACTTTTTTTGAAATATAAAATACAATAAATTATGTAAAATTTTTTATTTCCAAATATTGACATATAAAGTTCAAAAAATCGTGTAATAATTTTAATTTTTATATACATTATAATTATTCGAATGTTTCATTATAATATCATAAAATTAATTTTTATTATAATTTATAATTGAACTAACTTATATGAGCTTTGTTAAACTATTGGAATAATTTGTTATTTTTTGTGTTGTGTACGTAGTGACACGATAATTGTATATCAAATAAAGATTTCTCTAATATATTCATACATAATAACATTTGTTATAAACATCTTTATAATTGAATTTGTTACAAGTATTAAACAATCATTATATTTAAAGGAATATGGCCCCTTGAAATTTACGAATTTGAATTCGTACGAATTCGTACAAAGTTGAATTAGAAAATCCATCAAATTCATATTGAGTATTTAGATAAAAATAGTCGAATAATTTGTATAATTATAGTGATATTAATATCATAATAAATCAATAGTAAATTGTTCGAACTTTATGGAATGGTAAACTTTCCAGTTTTTCTGCATTTTTTCGTCTATAGTCCCACAGAAAGTGGTCAACGATTATTGAATTACAGCTAAATGGATTGATATTTAAATTGGGATATTGCTTGATCAAATTTCTCACTCTATCAACCACTCGTTCAACAACTTCTATTGAGCAACCACGAATTTCAATTTCTTCCACACTTCCTGCTGCCAACTCGGTACCTGTGGAAATAAAATTATTTTAATATAAAGTATCTTAAAAAAAAATAAAAAATCAATTTATTCATTATAATCATTAAGTGTTAATACTTAGTATATTTTCTTTTTAATCTGAAATGTTTTATAAAGTAAATAATTAGCATGTAGAAATTAATTACCTGTTTGAAGTGTGCTAAGAAGAGGATTACTATATCTCATTGCACCATAGTGCATCAGCACTTGCGGTACTCTATAATCAGCAAACATTGTAATTAAATCTATGTCATTAAATTCTCCCAGATCTTTTCCTCTGTAGCAAGCCCATATATCACCAATCAAGATTTGAGCTCGTTTGTAAAATGATACTAAAGTAAAATATTAACATTTAATTGAATAATAATTTTTCCAGATAATAAAAAGGTAATAATTACTATATATATATATATATCCATATATATTAATTTTATTACTAATTAATTAATTAACCATTTAATTCAATTACCTCGGTGACCGTAAAAGTCTGCTTCGTCTCGAAAACATTCAAATTCATTGACGATAAGCTTCAATAATTTGTCAGCCGAATGTTGTGCTGCTTTAACACATTCCATGAATGTACCATTATACTTATCGACAAGAATTTTACCCACTTGTTGAAGATTTTGAACACGTTCATCTAATAAAGGAACAGGTTCTGCGCCAGAGTCAGCTCTTAATATTCTTCCAAGCACATCTTTTTTTATATTAACATAATAAGTCGGATCAATTATTGGAATGCCTTCCTGCATCAATTTAAAAATTCACATAATGCAGCAATGATATGAAGTTATTATTTTATGCTAATGTTTCGTTGTAAAATAAGTGAATAAGAAATCAAGGATTGTATGTTAATAATAGTATAATCTTTCTAGTTAAACTCGTGATAATAAATTATTTCAGTATGGCTCGTCGAAAATATTTTGAAAAATCTTTTGGTGATTCTCTACGAACACTTAAAATGCCAACGTGAGATTCATAAATAGAATTTTTTAATTTCATTTAAGAAAAATGTTTGAGTGGTTATAGTTAATATTGGTTATGCATTTTTGAATAGGAAATTAGATAAATTGATGGAAAAATTGCCAAAACCAGAAGGGGCAGTACCAAATTTTGGATTACCGCGATGGCAAATTATGTCATTAGACGCAAAACTTCCTTCAGTTCCAGCACCAAAGGATGCTTATCATTTTTCACGAAGAAAAATTGGCCAAGAGCTATTTATTCAATTCAAAGATGCGCAATTTCATTTAGATGATCCGTATAATTATGAAATTGATGTTTCATATGATTCATTACATGATAAACATTTAGTCAACTATTTTTCTAAAAAAAATATATTAAAATATTTGATTCAACGTGGTTTTGTAACCAAAAATTTGGATGCTATTTGTACTGTGAAGGAATATAACATGCATAGAAAATATTTAAAAAAATTGTTTAGTGATAAAATTAAAAAGGAATTTAAACGTCAAGGAGATTTTTTCATTGATAATAAAATACTCAGAAATGCTGAGTCGCAAGCCCAAAAAGATATTGAAAGGTACAATCAGTTTCCCTTATGATGAATAAATTAAAAATTTGACTTAATTGCTAGGATAAAAATTCAAGAGCAAAAGCAATTACTGAGGGAAAAACTACTTCAAAATGTAATGCTCAGTGAGAAAGAAAAATTGAAAAAGCAAAAAATGAAAGCAAAAAAAGATAAGGAACGATTGGAAAAAATTGAAAGAAATAAGAGAGAACATTTGCAACAAATGAAGTTGAAATCAAAGCTACATACTGAAAATGTAAAGAAAAAACGATTGATGATGATCCGAAAGTATCAAAATAAATTAATAACTAATCTATTGAAACGCGCAAAACGAGAAAAAATTCGTGAAAAAACAATACGAGAAAAAGAATTCCAAGAAGCCGAGCGAAAAAGAAGGAACTTGGAGCAAAAGTAATAATGGCTTATCAATTGATAATGAGTAAAAATTTTAAGTCATTATATTCCAACATTATTATCTTTATTATGTATTATTTTTAGATGGCAAAAGAAACAACAATTTCAGCGACAGCAAATTGCAACAGAAAAATTTCTATCGGAATATGCTTTAGAACGTCGAAAAATTGCAATTAAAAAATATAATAAAAAAATGAGCAAAAATAAAAATCGTAAAAAAGGTATAAGAGCTATTTGAACTAAAATTACAGATTAGAATAATAGTATAATAATAGATAAGTTTAAATAATTATTCCATCATAACAAAAATGAATAGGTAATACAAATAGTTTCATCATCATTAAAATTAATTCATCATCATTTACTAGACCATTGATAATCATAAAAGTTAATTGAACTGAAATAATATGGCTCTTAGTTGATAATAACATTCTAGAAATAAGTCAAAGTTTCTACATAATAAAAAAATTCTTTGCAGAAAATGTTAGCAGAGAATTTAAGATCAAAGTGAGAAAATTTTCAAAGCGTAAGAAAAAAAGATCTCAGGTGGAAAAGAACTCCTTAAAAAGATTAAGGAATGCAAGGCTGGAGAGTAAAAAAAAGCCTGCCTTGAATAAATTAAAAAATGTTCATAATAAGGAAGAAAGATCATCAAAAGACGATTTATGTTTAATGACTGACAAATGTAAATGTGACAATCCTGAAAATGAGTTGTGTGAGGACCATCAATAAATAGTAAAGAAAAAAATGGTAAATAACAATTTCATTGAATACTTACATCAACTGCTCTCTTAATAGCTGCACATAATGCAAAATACCCAGTATGTCCATTAACTTTCCATTTATTATTACTTTTAGAACTCCAGAAACAGAAATTTAATGTATCCAACACAAATATCCAGTCTATAGCTTTGGCATGGCCTGGATTTGGATGAAATTCTGATTGCGAAAAATTGTCTATTGATATCGTTCGATCTTTTAGACCTTCCAAGACCTGTTGAAAATGGATTCAACATTAGAAAAGAAATTTAAAAGATTCAATCTTTCTTTGTAAATAAGATCAAATATACATGACAACTTGTCATTGCATAACATTAAAAGGTAAAAAGTAAACTAAAATATTTATCAAAAACATCCTTACCTCACATGCAAGGCTCTTGATGCCTTCTTCTTCAATAAAAACATTTTTAGACAATTTTGCTATTAATTTACCTGACTCTCTTGGCATAAGAACCATGTTTTCAAAGGATATTGACCAAGTTTATCTTAATCAACACGAAAATAAGTTAATATATTACTTATTATATAATTTCATACAAAATATTAACCGGCACCGAAATATTTTACTATCATTTCTCAATTAATGCGAATCAAGATTTCAGTATGCTACGATAGTTGCAGAGAATGGATCACTAAATGCTGATTGGTTTTTTCGTGTCGATAAGTCTGATCATGTGACAATAACTCCAATTAATCGGCGCTGCAATCGCGCGTATGGCAACGGTCTGAAAACGTAAACAAATATGGCTGTAAACGTCAAACACGTAATATTCATAAACTTTACACTTTTTTTGTAGTATGGAATTTTTTAAGTTTTTTTTTCACCAGTTTACATAAAAAATTTGATTTTTCATACTCGGCGATAATAAATTCTAAATTTACAAAAGTAAGTACTTTTTTTTATTATGATTTTACTCATTTATTCTCAATCTTAAGGTGATGATTCATCGGATTTAAGTAAATTTTTCATGAATAATTAGGGTATTTATTGACAGAAATTTTTAAAAATATTTATTTTAAATAAACAACAATAAAAAATATTAGAAAAAATTTATTATAAAACAATCCTTGAATCAATTGTTAACAAATGATTACAATTCATATTATAGATAATTAAACCATTTGTGTTTACAGCATTTTTTGATTAATATTTTTATTAATTTTCTATAAAGAAGTAAAAGAAAATCGTTGATTAAATTAATAAAAATATTTCAAGTACAAAGCAGTCAGTTAAAGTGTTATATCACTTTATTCGCTCAATAATTAACATTTAATAGTACATAAATCAACCAATAATTGTGATTTTTCATTTTTTACATGAGGACATGCGTTACTTATATTATGATATAATCGATTGTAAGACAGTACATTATCATCCCTATTATGCTTTCATTGTAGGCAACTATTCTCTGTAGAGTTTGATAAGACTCAAAACATTAACATCATGTTTGAAATTTAACCGTAATTCGATTTTCCTAGAAAAAAATACATACATTACTTGAATCGCATGTATTTTTTTTTGTTGCGATTGTACCACATGTAAATTAACTATTTAATTATTATGAATGAAACTTTTATAAATCGATTAATTTTTTATTTTATTTTTATTTGATAATGTTTTTCAAAGTAATCATAGATAATTCTCTTTAATTATATCTTTAAAAAATATATTAGTTAAAAAATAAATGCTGATTATCGCAACTATAAAGAATGATAAATAAAATTACGATATAAATTTCAAATCATAAATTATATAACACACACGATTTTAAATTTAAAGTGTGTGAAATATTGAATGCTAGAGTGTTTTACAGCATTCATTTATACATCCAAATAACATATGTACACAATTATTTTTTACGCAAAAATGTGAACAGATTAAGGCTCCAGCAGGCTATAGGCTATAATCTACAATGTACAATACATTATGTACCTTTTTTTAATTTTAATTTTTTTTTTTTTTTTAATATCATTACGTAGTGTCTGGCTGTGTAATGTGTGGTAAGCGTTAGCACCAAAAATTTCACCACTGTCTGCTTGGCACAAATAATTTCTCTATGGTATGATATAAAAAATTAATCAATTTATAAAGCAAAATACATTGAATATAATTATTTTTATTTATTAATTGCTTTCAATTGCAACAAATGAACTATAATATTATTATAAAATCATTAGCTTCAATAAAAATTTATTTATTAATTAATAATAAGATTTATTAGTCGTATTATTTTTTTATAAACTTATCTGGTCACTGAGACCATTTAAATTCTCAATAAACCACATTAATTTATATTTATTTTTTATAATAAAAATAGTGAAATGTCTTAGTGTTTACAAGTGGAAATTTGAACTCTCTCACAGTATTTGTGTAATAAAATGTTGAAAAATTTTTATCGAATAATCCACTGGAAAAACTTTATACAACTGATGTGATTTATATAAGGTATAAAAATTGAATTGTGCTAGCTAAATGACAATCACAAGTAACTAAATTTTCATAAAACTTAATTAAACTTATGATTACAATCAGATATTTTGTTTCTTTTGATAATTCAAATTAGTTAACATTATTTTCATTTACATATACTGAGCATTTGAGTCGATTTTGCGACAATAAATGCATTTAATAGTAATGTTTAATTAGTTATATGACCAATTCACATAAGCTTGATCGTATGCTTAATGATTTTCTTCTTACGCACTGTTTACATTTGCTTCCGGGCACATCACACTTCCAGACTTCTCTTTTCATTTTCAATTGCAGCAAAATGCACTTTATTTAATTATTTTTTTTATTATTCTTTATAGTTAATTCTCTTATTAATTTATAAAAAATCTATTTCTATTGACTTTTAAGCTCTTTGCCAATACTGTACGACACAATTTTATTCCAGTCAATTTTAGTTCGCATTACAGGCAATTGCCTTCGAAGAGCTTTGAAGGTTGTATCAGACATTGTTTGATAATTTTCTGATATCGCCGTTTGGTAGTCATTCTCTGATTCTTCAACAAGACGAATCAATTCCTTTGCTGTTTGTTTTTCGTTCGATATTGTCAAGTTTTCTTTTACCTCTTTAATGCTTACAAGCTGCACATTTCCATCTTCGTAATAATGAACTTGTACTTTGAGGTTTCCTTTTAATTCTGCATTACCGGAACTCGGGCTAAAATTCACTAACCAAACTGAACGCCAACGACCATTCCAAAAATTTTTCGGTTGAAATTGATGATCTTCTATGCAGGCAGCTAGCGTTATATTCCCTATTTAAATAAATTTGATTAGTGATTTCATTTAAATTCACATTTAGTCAACAATGATTAAACCATGATAAATTCTGATCATTTTTGATAGAAAAAATGTGATCAATTAAATTCTCATAATTTTTCATTTAATAACAAACCTGCTTTGCTTGTTCCAAACACTGCACAAACTCCATGTCTATAATGACTTTTAGTATAATTCGTCATTTCATCTTGAAGAACAGATCTCCATGGTTCTGCTGTCGCATCTGGCTCATAGGGTTCATAATCTACAGCCTCTTTTCTAAGATGATCATATTTGAAACTTTGTTTACTTCGAGTATCGTAAAATCTTTGATTTCCTAAGTCATTGTATTCTGTAATGAGGGCAGGATAATCACTTCCTTCTATCTGAAAATTTAAACAATTTACTACTATCTTTTGTTCATTATTGGAAAAATATTTTCTAAAAGTCACTAGACTTGAAAAAGTTTTATAAAAGATAAATGTACTTAATGGATATCTCATTGACTCTTGATTTCCAGTTATCAAAGATTATGATTCATACATTTCTCAGAAACATGGAGTACTGATGAGTAACTATTCACGTATTTTTAAAATTCAGAAACTAATAAAAAGTAATTCCAATATTAAAGTGATTTATAAAATATTTTGAAAGATTCATAAGCAATAGTAAGATATCGAGTAGCATAACCGTATAAGTATTTCTCTGCTCCAGTTACATTTGAGCTGAGAAACGTCACCTAACCCATTTATAAACATGCTTATAAATAAAAGTTATTTTATTGTTAAATAAATAATAAAAAACTATATACAATAAAATTGAACAAACAAATTCTCAAGAGCCAATGAGTGTTTTATAGATATAATATCAAAATAAAAATCATAAATCTTATCGTAATTGAAGATGTACCTTAACAGGCGTAAGTTGGTCCTTGTTGTATACAGCAAACGCTCCCGATGCGCCTTCTTTTAATAGATTATCGTTGTTCAATAGGACTCTTACGTCATTAAAAACTTCATTAAATTCACCTGGTGGTGAATGCACTATAAAATTCGAAACTATTCTTACTTTTTCTTGATCCGAAACCACGACAAATTCATCATCCGCCATCTTACCTACTCACTGCACGCATACGCTCAGCCGATGTGTCAAAAACGAAAGGTTCGAAGACCGCAGGTTGCTCCGCAAGGTACCGACACTGTGCTTTTATACCGGGTGCTCCATAAATATATATCGGTGGGAGTATTTAAACACATTAAAAAAGTTTTCTTCTAAATTGTTTCATGTTAAAAAATTGGTCAAAAAATTTGCCCATTTAAAAATAATCAGCTTTCAATGTCATGAATTATCGAAAGAATTATGCAAATATTAATTATTGCAAATATTTAAATAATACACAAAAGTAATATTTATTATAATGATTACACGTTTTTTTTAAGGACATTTATTGATCATGGCAGATGATCTCCATCGAGATCTCTTACCAGTGAGAGAAAATTCATATGTAGAAAGTTTTCGTGGGAGTATTATCGGTATGTAATTAACTTATGCATATATTATTAACTTAATTATTTATTAATAATTATGTTGTTAATTTTTTTTTTCATAGATCCTCGAGAACGGCTTATTGTTGGTAAGCTAAATCGAAGAGATTTAGAGGATAAGTATTTACGATTGTTTGAAGATTATCAAGAAATTAAAAAATTGTATAATTCTCAAGAAGATAAGATCAAACGACTTTCTACTAAATTAATGAGAGTATGTACAACTCCAAGATTAATGAATTACGGTACATATAATGGAAATAACGAAAGGGACAGAATTTCAAGTTTGATACTTGAAAATTCAAAGGTAAATAGTCTACTCTTTTGCTACATAATTTAAAAGCTATTCTGTTCAATGTTGACTTATAAAAATCAATATTTCAGCTAAAGGAAAAAGTAAATATCTTAAGGAATCAAATTCTAAGCCATAGAGTGTTAGCAAGACCATCTTCTCATAATAAAAGGTTACAAGTTTGTCACTCATCGGCAGTAACGTAGGTAGTTCAATATTTAATAATTAAAATATATATATTTGTACTTACATTCAATTATTTCTAGATCATACCGTAGTGATGGGCCCATTAAAGTTGGTACATGCCAGAATTTTATTGCTGAAAATAATGAAATCCAGCATTACATTACGAGAGTTAAGGTAAATATAGCACAAAAGTATTAATTAATTAACTAAATTAATAAATTTATTTAATATTTTATCAGGAGTTAGAGATTCAGAAGAAGAAAATGATGAATCGAATAACTGAATTAGAAAATAAGATAGAAATAAATGAAGCCGGGAATCAAAAGGAAAAAATTGCAGAAAATGTTGAATACATACGAGTATGGCGCCAAATGAAACTTCAGAATGAAAAATGTGTTGAGACTGAAGCCAAAAATAAAGCTTTGACTGAAGAAAATGAAACATTAAGGAATCTTTTGGATGAAACTTCAAGGTGTGTATTTATTGGTCTTAGGTTTATTATCAAATTATCAATGCTAGTAAAAATAATACTTTCTATTTGATGATTATTGACGTAGGAATCATGGAGAAATTACAGAAAAATTCCGTGCAGAAAAAGAATTAACATCTGAATTGAAAGAACAAGTTTCACGGACTCAAAGTATTGAAGCAGATTTACGTGAAAAAGATGAAAAAATTCGTATTCTCTCGAATGAACTGAAGATTCTTCAAGACCATAAAAATCAGATGGTTGAATTAAGTAAGAGAGATAGTTCAACGGAATTAGAAAATGGGCAACTAAAACAAAAATTATCAGATATAATGGCTGATAACATTAGTTTAAAAACTGCTTTTAATACTGAGCAAGCTAATATAGCTTCATTACAGTCTGTTAATGCTCAGTTGAGAGAAAAATTACAAGACTTACAAACAAGTGTAGATATCTTAACAGTTAAATTAAATGTAAGTAATAATTTATTTATATATATATATTAATATTCTTGAACTTATTAAATATCTAAAAATATTTATTTAGGCATTTGAAAAACAAACTGTACGTGATTACATTCCTAAATCTCCTGCAAGACCAAAGCCAGCTGAAAGAACTAGTCATCCAGTACTAATATGTGAATGTACTACAGACGAAAGTGAAGTACATCTTATTCACAGTTCACCCAAAGTACAAAAAGATAATGGAAAGAAAAAAACTAAACCTCAATCTCCTGTTAAAAAAGCTCATAATTATTCTGAATCGAGTATGCAAACAGAATTTAGATTGATCGATTGGAAAAATGGTAATCAAAAAGAAGATAAAGCTTGCTCTACAGAAGAATGTGTTGATAGTCCATTGAGAAGTTCAAACAGAATTTATGAAAATACTTTAACTCCAGAAAAAATGTTAAAACTACTAGATGATGCACAAATAAATTCGCCATTATCTAGTCAAAATGTATCAAAAATAGGACTCGAAGACATAGGTTCTACAAGTTATGGCAATCCAATTCGCAGACAGAGGCAAGTACTTGCGCTCGAAACACTATTATTCAGCGATACAGATTGCTTTTGATTAATGGTTATTTTGTAAAAAATATTAGGACAATTTATTAATTGCGCGTAAATGTGTTCATATAATGACTTGATAGGAATATGGATCACTTTGAAGCGCTTCCATTTAAAAAAATTCAACTATTTTCAATAAATAGATAGACCAAAGTATTTACGAAGGAGAAAGCCTTCGATCTATTTTAATAAACTCGTTTCTGCCAAGTTTAATTAATTATAGACTAAAGATTATTGATAAAAGTGGTACAAAGTATAACGCAAATAGTTATTTTTATTGATAACAATATTAATTCTAAAGTCATGTAATAAGCAATCAAGTTTCATAAGAGTTTATATAGTTTAGAATGTTAAAAAATAATTTAATTAGAATGATAAGTCTATATCAAAGTGCCACGTCGAAATCGTTTTTATATAATTATACAATAATAATTAATTGTAATTAACGGAAATGTAATAATGAATTTTTAATCATGTTTAATAATTAATGATAATAATAAGAATAATATTAATTAACGATGGTTTTATTTATTCTTTGGAATCCATCCGTCCAAGAAATTAATTATGTTACAGCTCTTCACGAGACAGTTCTATTTCAAAAGTAAATATTCTAGACCATTGTCAATTTATTGACACGGTCTGTGGGTTATTGAAGGATTACTGGCGAATCAACTGTAAGCAAACACACAAAGTCTCATCAGCTGGAGTTAATACTGATTTCCATCGAGACAAAAATAATAATGCATCTATGGATTTATGTAAATGTATTCCAATAAGCCCTAAAAAAGATTTTTCAACATTAATATGCACTGATGAAATTGATAAATATGTTACCAAACATTTAGATAAGTTAATACCACAGTATGTATTTGATACAATTGAAATAATTGTAATTAATTTAAGATAATCTATTCATTATTGATTATGAATTATTTAGAATCCCTTCAAATACTTCCAAAAATCAGAAAGTAAACTCCTGTGCTGTTGATTGCCCCCGAAGATTGAAAAAAGTAAGATTCTTTCATGAAATTATGAGTAGAACTTTGAATTATTTTTACAATTATTTTATTTAGATAATATGCCCTGCAATTTCCAAAAATCCACAATCAAAACTCATTGAAGTGATCCCCCTTCGTCAGAAAAACTTTGTATTGTGTCGAAAATTATGTGAAGAATGTAAAGAATTACTTAAGCCTTTACAGAATTTGAAAACTAATAACAATAATAATTCCATGACAATAAAAATTGATCGACTAAAATTGATAAAAAACTGTCCTCTTCTAAAAGATCCTGATGTTCATCAACTGTATGTTGAGTTTTCATTTCTAGGATATTCTGGCTTGGATTTGGAAACGATCTCTGTTGCCAAACCTCAGAACCATACAGAAGAAATAAACTTTAACTATGCCCGAAGTTAGTATAAATATAATATTATTAATAATTAAAGACTTACAATATAATAATTCATAAATTTATTTTGTATTACAGAATTCTTATTTGATGAAGAAACACACAAAACACAGAGAAATCATCTTTGCAGTATTTTAGCTGGTAATGGTAATTCAATTGTTCGATTCAATATCATCAGTGAACCATTGAGAGAGGAAATGAATGTTAAAGACTGTGTTGAAGTAGGGTGAGTCAACAACCTGATTTCCTTCATTTAAATTATTTTCATTGAATTAATTTAATTTTTCAATCTCAATCAATAATATCTTTTAATTAGCTATGCTGATTTAAATTTGAGGAAACAAATATTGTTTGAGAGTAAAGATAGAATTTCACTGCCAGCTATGAGTTCTGATAATAAAGAGATAATTGGTACTTTAGAGGTGAGTTTTACAACATAATTTTATTCTTTATTATTGATAATCTGAGATTGAAAACTCTAAATCTGTTACGATAGGTGACATTACTTGGTTTAGATGCTATTCGAGAAAATTTGGCCCAGTATGTATCAATCAATAGCTCATCATCATGAACTACAGATAGGCTATTGCATATCAAACAAGACTTTTTGGATATATTTTTTTAGTAATTACTTTTTTAACTGATATTTTTGATCCATATTTTTTGATAAAATTTTGTAAGATATAAAAAAAAAATAATTAACAATTCTTTATGCACGTTGAAAATAGTGAATGTGAATTTTTATTTGTTTTTAGATTTTTATAATTATTATAAAATTTATTCTGTACTGTATTATTAAAGTGATCAACTTGTCGAGTTGCTCTAGATCGACCTAACTCCAGGTATGTAAAATCTTCATTAGGTATTAGCAAATAATTTCCCAAAAATTTAAATATCCTCAATCTATCTATGATGCAATCCATGTCGTTTTGCTTTACATTTTTCTTTTTCCTCCTGAAAAGTTGTAAAAAGGATATTATAATTTTTGGATCATCATTATTCTTATTTACAACCATTACTTTCCTTACAATTGATAATTTTTTATTGGAGCATTTATCCACTTTGAGATCCAATTTCTTTCTATTCTTTTCACTTTTTCTTTCAACATACTGCAAAAATTATTAATAATAATTAAATTATTATTAAATCATTCAAATAAAAAATTGTAAATTATTTAAAATTAGAAGCTTACTTTTATTCGACTTCGTTTTTCTAGTTGATGAGTTTTTTCATATCTAATATTGTGTTTTGATTTTGTCTTGTGGGTCTTTTTTCCAGACTTTATTCCACGCGAAGAAACAAGATGACTTTGATGTACGGATCTAATTTTAGATAACCTTTTTTTATTTTTCTTTTGTATTTTTGGTAATCTTAATGCTCCATGTGCTCTTCTTTTCATTAAAGCTCGTCTTGATGATAATGGTAAATCTAGTGCCACTGTGTTAACATGATTAGATTGTCCTCGATGAGCTTTTGGTATTGAACGTTTAGATTTATCGTGTGGAAGAATAGGAAAATGATTTACTCCAGATTGTCCTTCCATAGAATATTGTTTTACCTCTTTTTTCTTAACTTTTGAAGCATTATGGCCATTAAATTTATTCCCTTGACAATTTAATACAAAGGTACCCACAATTATCAAAATTATAATGATAGATCTAACAATGAAAAAATAATGAATTAATTATAATTAATGAATTCATTGAAATAATTTGAATTCTAACTTAATTATGTTTGATTGCATTTCTGATTCCTGCCATGAGTTTGAAGATTTTGTTATTAAGTCAATCACAAGATATACTTTGAAGACTTCTACCTCTCTGTCTTGTTATAAAAAAGGCTGAGTTTGACAAATTGTGACATGCATGAGAAACCTGAAGTTGTAAGCTTCAATGGATTTTGCTTGTCCTCTGTTCTCATAACGAACAGAAACAAGGAAATTTAAAAAATTCTTATTCCATGTTCTGTGTCAGATGTAAAAGCACATGTCTATAATCTGTAATGTCAGACAAGACTTGGTGCTTAGTTAGTAAATACCACAATAAGTCAAGTAAGTAAAGACAAATAAAGTTGAAATAAACGAATGGGCAATAAGCCAAGACCATATACATTTGTTTCAATAGGAAAAACATTGCATTTATTGGTAAGTAATGAATCATAACCATTAATGTCAACAAAATATATTTTTTTAAATTGAATGGAAATTCAAAAATATACACTATAGATTTGTTTTCAGATTGAATCTGGAGCAATAATCAATAAAGAGAGCTAAATGTCGAGAATTGATATATCTAGAAGAGGTCTATGGTTTTAAAATTATCAATGTCCTGAATGATTGATAATACTTGCTTTCACGGCTGGTATGGTGGATTGTAAATGGTATCCACATGTCGCGATTGTTCGTCTGTCACATCGAATCTTCGACTTGGCAAAGAACCTGGTAAAGTTCGTTGCCCTAGAGGCATCCGTCGTCATCCGGAAATTGTCACGATTATTTCGCTATAACTTGGTTCGATTTTCCCTGAATGTAAAAATGTCTCTCTCAGACGCAGTTAAAGGAAGAGTTTTCCTTAAGAGTCTAAAATAAACTCTCGAGTAGTCATTGATTATTATTAGTCAAACTTTCTATTTAAAAAGCCCATGGGAAGGTTTATGAGCTATAAAACGTTTTACTATCATCATCACCATTCTTTTTGAAGAACATTTTTCCACACTGTATAAGAGTTGGTTTGAAATCTAAAAATTGCTAATGATCAAATAATTAAAATATCCTATAAAAATCGAGTAATTTAATTAGAGACCTTTTGAAGACTCATTTTCAATAGTGGAATTAATATAATTGATACTTTTGATAATATGGTTGATTTGACTGATGTGAAATAAATGATTATATTATAAATCAATTAAACTAAATGGTGATTGTGAGATGTAGATTAAATTGAATACGCGCGAGTGAGAGCGAAAGAGTGAAGTAGAAACGGAGGGCATCGCGACGCTTCGAATCTGGCATTGGTAGCAGTCTCTAGATAGCCGTCGGCTGGCTTCTAACCACCTCGATTTATTCGCGTATTTCTCCTCAAAGTAACCAAGTATCAAAACCCTTAACAATATTGATAAAATACGGTGTTGTTTATCAACTAGTTCAAATCTTTGATCCAATTATCCTGATTATAGTTTGAATTTGAAACTTTTATGAGTGACTTTGTTGATGTACGACAGACATTAGGTACTCATCCAGGCAAGTTAGTGACTTTTTTCTTCATCACCAGCAACAGTAGCAGCTCGTCAACGTTTCTATTTTTATTCACGTGCAAGTGTTGTGCAAGTGTCGAACGAATTTGAAGAGGCATTCGAAAAGCGTGTGGCCCTCACGGTCCATCCAACTCTCCCTCTGTGTCTATAAGACCCATCAAAGACACGAGGTTTGAAAATATTATATTTCCTTCATTAGTGATCATGATGGAGACAAGTATCTTTAAAAAATGATGTATTTGATTTAATAGCAAATGTTTTAAAAATTTATTTTTCTAAAAAAAAAAATAACGATTAAGAAAGTATTCATTAATAATTGAATCCATCAAATAATTGATTCTTTCATTCAACTTTAAATTTCAATCCAATCGTAAATAATTATTTATTTAATCAATAACCGGTATGATAAGAAAAGCAAAACCCTTGTACTCAAGACACTGACATGTAAAAGAAAACATATAAATGTAAGAAAACAAATTTTTGGAGTCACAAATATCCTAAATGCTGCAATTTCTTCGTGTTTATGATAGTGATGTCATTGCAAGCTGTGTTGATATAATAGTAGGGGAATTTGGAGCAACCTACTTCCTGATTTAATAACCCCATTATGTTTAAGATTTTTTTTTTGCCATGTTTCAAAGATTAAATTATCTTGCTAGAGATATATAATCATTTTGTAGATAATTTGTTCAATCGATATTCAATTTAATATTAGAAATAACGTGGGTTCGTGAAATGAAGCTTTTCGTGGAGTTGGATGATGATCTGGTTAACAAATCTCTCAACCAATGTAATTTTCAGTGTCACTTTACAATAAATCAATTCAAAACTACCGTCTGACCCTGAAAACTAGAATTTCTCTATGCTGAAACATTAATCAAGTGATTTGAATCTTGGCATCAAACATATGTTGTCTAACATAATGTACAATCAGTCGGAATTTCAATTAACATTCTTTCTGACCAGTGTTTGATGAAATAAAAATGAAATATGTCTTCAATTGGACTTTCAATAAATTTTTTGATCATTTTAAAGTATTCCAAGTTGTTTAACTAAGTCATAACATCATTTATCAACCTACACACTTTTATCAGTAGTTAATCCGTTGCATCAGGCAGGCAATGTGTTTTGAGTTAGCATATAAATTTAGATGATGAATAAAAGGGATGTGATAGATTTTTAATTATATTTCGAACCTTACTGATGACATTTTAATGGAACATTGAAGAGTTCTTCAAGACAGGAACAAATTGCTATAATGTAATTTTTTGTCTAATTAAATATGAAGGGAGAAGTGACCTAATTAAAAGTGAAATTGTATGAAAATGCGGTCAAGCCCGCGGGTCGTGCAGCCAACCAATCCACTAAGTAGTGCTATCGTTCATGATCGGAAATAGAACTTGATCGAGTATTTGATGTAAAGCATCTTTAGAACTAATTTATCAATCTGAACTCAATCAGCTGTCAATTGATCATTGTTAAATATTTATTTTGTTACAAAATTCTCAAACAATATTACATGAAATGAAAACTAAACAACAATATAAGATAAAAAAAAAGTTTTAAAGAAGAAAAGAATTTTGTTTGATCGATTATTAAAATGAAAATGTGTAACTAGAAAATTATAAAACCGACAAACGATTAATGAATCTTTGGAAAGCTTCCTGAAATACTTGAGAGAAGATACTCTTTAGCATCCACCACTAACTGAATGAAATCAACTAACATCTGCCAAATCTCTGAGGTGGCAGCACGAGCTATTCTTTTGACTTAAAACATTCAATATAGGGAATATCAAAAATTTAAATCAATTTATAATAACTTGTATTTTAATTTCCAAATCAATAATGAATTATTAATGTGAAATTATTATCAGTTGTTTCAGAATAATGACGTAGTATCTGTATCATCATGGCATCAAAGGAATTCATCACTGACTCTAATAAACGAAAAAAAGGTAAGAATACCTTCATATATCTTATATTAATGATTAAAAATTGATTAATTACAAGTTATTCTGATTATTTTTATTGACTAATTTTATTTAATATCAATTAGACTGCACTTTGATGTTAATAACCACCATTATCAAATTCTATATGCAACATTCAATTTTGTTAATACCATAGAGAAAAAATAAAACCTTTAACATTCTTTTAAAGACACTTAACCAGCCTGACATCTTCAGCACACTCAAGCTTTTCATACTTTAGACATGTTTTACATGCTTACATGAATGTTTATTACTAGTAAGTTATTTGTTTTTCAATTAAAAAAAATTATTGAATAGATTTAAAAAATAGTAGTTTATTAAAATAACACTTTGCTTTGCTTAATTTAACCATTTGGAAAGTTTAAAAACCATTGGAAATTAGTGCTCAACCTGAAGAAAAAGTAGATCATTCAAACCCTAGATTGCTATTGAGGGGTTGAATAAAATTAGTCAATGAATATGATCAAGATGGTTAGTTATTAATAGCCTTCCAATCGAAAATTTGTTTGCTTAATTTATAGGAATATAAGAGGAATAAATCACTTATTATTATAATTAATTTAAAAAATCTATTTCAGAAATTACATCAGAACTTAGCCGTGTGCTAACAAGCGGAAGTACCACCATTCGAGAGTCATTTACAGCTCAATTGAGAGAATCTACTATAGGGGTAAGTGTATTCATTATTGTTTGAACCCTTGACTCTTCGCCAACAGCTGAGTAATCACAGCGTGAAAGATGAAAATACTTATTAGTGACTAATGAACGTAATGACGTTCTTTTAGATACCTTATATCATACAATCATTGATGTATTTTTAAAGCAATGATTTTTTTTTGTCGTACTGTGAATTTCTAAAAATAATACCAATGTGAAAAATCAACATTTCTCTTTTGAAACACATTGAAGTGCATTTCCAACATTGATGACATAAAGTCATCGATCACTGACTAGGTAGCAATCCGGTGATTGCCAAAATTTTTCCCTTGACTGAACTTAAGTCAGTAAATATGCTCCTGATATTTGAATACTGAAATGGTTTTCCTCTGATGTTATGACTTATTGGTGGTGTCATTGGAAAAGAAAACAAAAAGAATTAATAGTGCCAAGAAAAATTAAACTTATGATTTGTTTATTCGGTTAATACAAAAGAAAAGACAACATTGTAAATCAGAGACATTTTACGTAACGAAAAATATAAGAATACATCAAAAGACTGCAGATAATGTTGCAATATGTGGAAGAAAAAAAAAACCTGTCACATTTAATCACATACATATTTTTAAAATTGTCTAAGAAACTTTGATGTTAACTATTAATTAAAATTTTTACTCTTAATACCTATTTTTAAAGAAAAAACTTATCTTTTCATATTTTTATAAATAAATCAGCTATTTTTACAAAGAATCAGAATGCAATAATGAAAGCTTGGGATTTATTAAATTTTAATTGGCCATTTTCATCTGAAATTTATTTTAATAACTGCTAAATGTCTAATGTAATAGAACAATGAGTCAGGCATCAGACAAGACTATCAGGCTTCTTCATCTTCAATCAGAATAAATCCAGTCTTGCCTTATTCTTTGGCATTTTGTCAAAATCATACGGAAGAATTACCTCATTGAATTAATTTTATTAACAAAGAAAAAAGCATTTCAGATTAGCAGTCTAAAAATATATTATTTTCATTAACTGACTGTTATGATACATACACTTCAATACCTGATTGTTTTGGGTTGAATGGTAGAAAGCAATAGAATGTACATTGCGATATATTTATATATCTCCTGACCTATTTCGTTGACTTTTCCAATGTCGCTTTGATGTTAATCTCAGAAGAATGTCAAGAGACATTTTTTGAGATTAGTTTTTTGCTTTATAATTTCAATTTTCAATGAAAAAAATATTCTGCAAGAGATTGCAGATTTTTTGTGTCTTCTATGATAAGAATAGAGGAAGAAAATTGTAGCTAAATGGAAAATGAGAATTGAAATAAGAAAATAAATAGTGAGATGAATTAACTTTGGGAAATAAACATTGAATCAAATAAGCAAATAATTAAGTAATATAAATATTTGAATAGAAACTGCATGATCTGGTAATTTTAAATAAACTTTCTTAACAATTTAAAATATTTATCACATGAAATATGAGATACTTCATGGCTTAACACTTTTGTTTTCTAAATAATGCCAAAAAATCACTTAAGCATTTTAATTTATTGAGTACAAAACGGTCAATAAATAAATTATAATTTTACGAAAATTTATGACAAACTTATAAATAAAGCAATTAAATTTGCAACAATATAATGGTTGAATTTATAGTGAAGTGGTTAGTTAGATTTTATAGCTATAACGTTAACATGAAATTAACATAAATATAAATTCCATAATCCCATTAGATTCGTATTAAAAATTTAATGTCTTCACGTAAGTTAACTCGACATAAATTAAATATTATTACCTAAAAACATTTTTGGTGGAGTGAAAATAGTATCAATGCATGCAAAAAAGATTCGTCATTTTTGACAAATTGATATTTTGCCAAAAAATTAAATAATTTTTTGGTCTATCATTTTTTATTATGACTCATGAATATTTTTTTTTCTTTCATTTTTTTTCATTTGCTTGCCACGTGCAAGAGTTTTGTCAGACAGATGTTCACTATTATTATCGTTGATCTGGATCTTAAATCTCAGTTAATTTGCAGTGGAAAAAAACCTGATAAAATTTTGTACAAAGAGTATGAAGATGGAGGCAATGCGTTTACCACAAGAGTTTGTTACTAAAGTCTAAAGATGTATTGGGGAAGTAAGGGTAGCTATTTCTGGTCGAGGGGAGTGAGACTCACTACGCAAACGGCTCTTAGCCACTTCGTATTCCTAGTAGTCTGGCGTTCGCCGCGTATCCTCATACACTTTTCGAACCATATGCGAGCGATTGTGTGATACCGGTATGGATGAAAAAGATCACCGTGTAACAAACAGTTCATTTTTGATAAAAGTGCAAAGAAAAGACTCTTAAAAAAAAACATTAATAAACAAAAAAAAATTATTTAGAAATAATTAAAAACATTATTCATAACGACAAGTATTTTATCACAAGATTTTTAAGAAATGTTTTAAACGACTGATTTTTTATTGCTGATGATATTGAACACTAAGTTGGTGGATGGAAAGATAGTAATGAAGAAAAAAAATAGTGATTAATAAATCGATAAGTTATTTGAAACAATAAATATACAAGTAAATCACCGAATTTATTTCTTACAATTAAATGTACTATCCAAAGACTCTGTTTATAGTTCAACGAGATCCAGAAACATGTGGAGAATCGTGCAAACCCAAAAATAAACGGATTTCCTTGTAGAACATTATGCATAAAGTTGAGTGAACTATCCTGGATAAATTTTGTCAAGACATTATTTAAATACCAATTTTTTGAAAATAATGACTTGGTATTTTTTATGTAAAATTATTTAAACTTAAATAGAGAAGGAGTTCAAGTGTATTACAATGAATAAAATAAGACAGCTTCGTAGTGGAATAAAGAATGTGAACGTCAACTGGACAGATAAACATAGTGAGAATTAGAGCCGAGAATTGGTGCCGAGGTTTTTGTGGTTAAATTGTGCATAAATTGGTGGGTCGAGGTTTATTGCAATTTATGTCTCATGGGCATTGTTCCAAAGCGATAATGAATGAATTCTAAATCATGAAAATTTCTCATAACTAAATACTAAACATGTGTGACAGCATCTCTTATTTATTGTGATAAAATGATAATGAAAATAGCTGGAATATTCAAGTATCAAGACCAAAAACTTTATCCAAAGAACCTTTTCAAAGCAATCAGAATTATTTTACCTATTTTTGTTCATTCAAATACTCTTCATTGGCCAAGTACCAACAGTTATCGTTCAGTAAAGCTTGAAGAATTTTCAAACAGTCGAAGGTGCTCAAAAATAACTAAATACAAATTCTAAAACAATTAATTCTTAAACAAAATTTTATACTTTGCCAAATTATTTCAGTGATGTGAATAATATTCATTATATAAAGATATCGAAACAGTGATGTAATGCAGTGACCAAGTGATAAGATAGGAAGGTATAAATTATAAAAAGATGTCATTCTGCAGAATTACGGGGAGGAGCAGAGGCCTCCCCAAGCCAAATTACTTTCCGTTACTTCCGCCAATCAGTCCTGCAGATGCAAAAAGATTTTGTCGTATTACTGGAAAATCTTATGGTCTTCCAACTCATCATTACATTCCTGTTTTACTTGGCGTTCACAGCCACGATAAATCTAAATGTCGTATCACAACTGCTTCTGGATTGGGTCCTCATCATTACAATGCTGGTTTGGTTCTTGGAGAAAGACGTAAACATGTGATTTTAAAAGACTATCGTTATGTATTCCCTGTTCTTGAAGGAGAAGGTGAACAACAAAAAGCTTTAAGAGATTTATTAAGCACCAAAGAACCATTTGAAGATGAAGAAAATCTAAACTTTGTTTACACTGTAAAAGAAAGACGTTGCAGTTTAGTATTTCCAGCACGTTTAGAAGCTGCAGTGAGAGATGGTGATGTAAAAGACGTGATGTTATCAAGAGACTGTGATACTGTTTTGCTAAGATTGAAGCAAGGAAAAAATGTTTCAGTAGATTTTAAAGATCTCCAAGATTTTGATCATTTATATGATGGACTTGGACCTAGAGAAGATGTACTCAAAGAACGAGAAAGACTGGAAGCTGAAGCAAGAAAACGTAAAAAGAAGAAAGCTAATGGTCTAAATTATGCTAAACGAATATTCGAAGAAAAAGAAAGAGCTGCTGATGAAGAAGAGATGCGAACATCGATGCAGATCAAGCTAAAAAGTATTAAGGAAGACGTTAAAGAAGAAAAAGTTCTCAATTGGAAAAATGTTGATTTGAATCAAGTAAAAACTAGTCGAGCACAATTTGCAATGATTTCTGATAGTTGTAACAACCTTGTACATCCAATTGCTACTTCTTGTGAGTGGAAAACGTTTGAAAGGGACATAGCGAAATTAAAAGGAACTCCAATTGTTGATACACTTCCTAAAGGAATTCAAATAGAACCTCAAACTGTTGATATTGAATCAACAGAAATTGGAGCAGTTACAACACCGATATCAGAAGAAACTGGTGGTCTTGAAGCTATTTCTGTCATCAAACCATTTACTCCTTTGACTGTGGAACCAGATCCTCTAATTCAAGAGGCATTGATTAATTTAAAACCTGCTGAACTTGAAGAAACTGCACATGTTAAAGAAAGATTAATTCATGCTGGAAAAGAAGCATTAGATACTCTACCAATTGTCGAAGAAATCCCTAATATCGTGAAAAATGTTTTAAAAGGAACTAAACATGAAATAAATAAGGTTAAAGGTTTGAAGATTGATATTGAATCTGCTCAACGATTCGTAACAGGAAAAACAATTCAAACACCTAGTGGTCCAGTTTTTGTACCTGGACAAACCTTAGAAACGCCTCAGGGTCCTGCTTTCGTTCCAGGTTTCACAGTTCACACTCCGAATGGCCCTATTCTTATTCCAGGACAAATAGTGAATATTCAAGAAGGAAATCAACAAACTCCCGTGTTCGTTGCTGGACAAACCCTCGAGACAAAATGTGGCACTAAATTCGTTCAGGGGCAAACAATTCATACAGATAAAGGAGCTAAATTTGTAGCTGGACAAACTGTGCTGACTGATGAAAGTCCTAAATTCGTTGCCGGACATGTAGTAACACAAGATCAGTTTGTCCCAGGCCAAACAATTGTTACTGAAGCTGGACCAAGATTTATGCCAGGACAAACTATTACGAATGAGCATGGAGAGCATATATTTATTCCTGGACAGAGTATGAAAGTTAATGAATCTTGGGAGTTTGTACCTGGTCAATGTTTAACATCCTCTATTGGAGAATCTATGTTTGTACCTGGAAAAACAATGCAAACAAATGAAGGTTTACGTTTTGTTGCTGGACAAGACGTCGTTACGAAAACTGGAGAAAATCAATTCGTACCTGGAGTAACAATAGAAACACCAAAAGGACTTGAATTTGTTCCTGGGACAACTTTGGAGACTCCAGATGGTATTAAATTCGTGAGAGGAATGATAATGGATACTAACGAAGGCAAAAAATTCATCCCAGGCATGACAATAGTTGGATCAGATGGTTTTGAATTTGCTGCAGCAAAAGATATTAAAAATGTTACATTCCTCGATGCTGGACCAATTGGTATTCCAGTGGATCCGAAAACTGCAAATGCAGTATCTTTGACACAACAACAAGAAATATTTGGTTACATGGTGCAAACAGAACATGGAGTGGAATTTATTCCAGAATCAATAAAAATAGTTCCTGAAGGAAAACGAATTGTACCAGGACAACTGGTTAGAGGAGGAAAAGATGGACCACGATTTGTCCCGGGAATGATGACCAGTGATGGATTTTTACCAGGACAAATGGTTATGACAGAAAATGGAGAACAATTTGTACCAGGACAAGTAGTAGAAACTAGTACTGGACCAAAATTCGTACCTGGTAGAATGGTAGAAACTCGCACAGGTCAAAAGTTTGTTCCAGGACAGACAGTAGAGACAGCCGATGGTCCGAGATTTGTTCCAGGTCAAATAGTACAGACTAAAGTGGGTCCTACATTTATTCCTGGACAAATAATATCAACAGATGATGAAGGATCACGTTTCGTACCAGGACAAGTAGTAGATACTCCAGATGGACCTCGATTTGTGCCAGGAAGAGTCGTTGAATCTGGGGAATTGGGTATTACTTTTGTGCCGGGACAAATAGTTCAGACTGAGGAAGGACCGAGATTTGTAGCTCCAGATTTGATGGATACTCCTGAAGGAGAAATACAATTCTCAGTTCAAGGATTTGAAGTAACTCCTGAGGAATTAGCTTTACTTCAACCTGGTCATTTGCAATATAATTCTGCATCTCACCATTCTGGTGAAACGAGCATTGATGCGAGAATGTTTAGACAATTATCAGAAGCAGGATTATCAATTGGAAGAAAAGTATCGGAGATTGTTCCGAAAGTAGATGTCGATGTAGATCCAACTGCAGTAGCTTTAGAAAATGCTTTAGTTATAGCAGAAAAACTTGGACTTAAAGGAAATTCAGCTGTAAAAATGGCTCAGATTGTAGCAACTGTAGCACAACTAGCTGATAATATTGTTAAACAACATCTTAAAGAAGAAAAATTAAACTTTGGATCTCTAGTTAACGGACATCCTTTGAATACAGGTTTACCAAATGGGAATGCTCAAAATAGTCATGATGAAGGTGTTTATTGGTTCCACGAAGCTGTGAAAGCAGCAATAGCAGCTGCAGTACTAGCAATAACAGATCATAATGATGAAAATACTGAAGAAAATGAAGATAACAATCGTTCTTACGTTTTATCGTCTATTAGTGAAGCTTTTAATGTTGTTCTCCGTCAAGGTTCAACATCTATTGAGGATGCAGTAAATGAAGTACTAAAAATTCTCTTAGTGCCACAGAAACGTAGTGCACTATGCCAAGGAGCAATTTTAGATATTTTGGAATCGAGTAATAATAAAATTGATATTTTAAAGTCAACAATTGTTGGGCAGTCATTAAAAAATGATATAGTATTAGACAGACTCTCTGCAGTTCTAGAAGAAGAGCATGGAAATGATTTAGTAGGTTCTGCATTTCGTTCAGTATCGAAAGATGATCCAGAATTAGTGTCCAGAGTGTTGGAGAAAGTTTCACAAGAAGTAGCTGGAGTGGCAACTGAAAGAGAAGCTGCTGAGACAGTTCACAAAGCAATCGTACAAGCCGTACGAGAATCTAGTGAGCTCAAAGTGAAAGAGCTTTTGAATGATGAAGGAAATCATGTAAAAGAGCTTATTCTTCAAGCTATTGGATTAGCAAGAGCATTGGGAATGTCATCAACAGCATCTAGCTTACTCGCTGTAATAAGTGATGAAAAGTCCACTCAAGCTTTGGCAGGAGATAAAGTAACATTGGATATTTTAAAACGACTAACAGTAATGCGAAAATTGGCTGAGGAAAAACCTCCGTTCATAACAGCTTTAAGAGAACTTACCAGTGATCCAGAAATGGCTCGAAGTGATCCACACCTTAGGACATTGGTTCGAGAGAGTGCTGCTTTAATGATAGTCCCAGAAGAAGCTCCTCTCCAATCTTCTGTTGATGTTCCGATGAGTCTTCTTCATGCAGAAAATAGTCTTGCTATCGAAGATTTTTTGATAAGGAAAAATCATAAACCCTCGACTATTTTTATGATTTTGAAGCATGGCATACAAGCTGTTGTACCAAGGGAAGCTTCTCGAGCTGTTCTCACTGGTCAAGTTGCCTACACAGTCCTGCATGAAGATGGTATCACACATTTTGAACCTCTACATGTGTTTAATGCTTTAAGATTAAGTAAACCAACAGCACATCGATTTTCTATGTATGCTTGCCCCGTTGCTGGGGAAGAAGACTTTGAGAGTGACTTGACGTCAACATTGACAAGATACGTGTCGATAACTTCCGTTAACAGTCTTGATGGTTTAGTTAATGGACGGTATCACTCATCGCTTGATAGTTGCGGTGTTACCCTCACTAAGTCTGACAGAACGATTGAAAATTCTTTTAGTAGGGAAAATACTCCGAGCTTCCGAAGACTTAGTAGTCTTTATCTAGAAACAGAGAAGGTAATTTTTATTACTTTATATAATATTTATGATTTAGTTAGATGAATGAGATGGCTATTTGTTTTTTCGTCCATTTGTTATGTAGATTTATAATTAATTGTTATTTGATAGTAGGAAGTAAGAAACCACTTGTTAACACAAGTATTAATAGCTTCGCTGAAATAGATCAACCACACCAGGATTGGAAATGTCATCTTAACACATTCGTCAACAAGTCGACGTCTAGTTATAATTGTATTTCCATGAAGTACAAGAGAATGGAAAGTTCCAGAGATTAAGATTTATTCTCTATTTCAATTTTCTAAGAATCAAAAAACTAAGAATATTTATCAAATTACTACGACTCAAATTATTGAATTCTATCTCTAATATATTATTCACTATTCGAAATAACATTTAATATATATTTCCTGACTTATAAATAAATAATATTTTAATATATTCAAAAGATGTTGAAAAAAAATTTTTTTTTCTAGAGTGTGATTGATAACTACATCGTGGTGAAAGACTATGCATCAACAGAAGACAAAACATTTTCAGTCAAAGTTGGAGATATTGTAGAAGCTATTGAATATTCCGAAGACTCAATCAAGTAAGAGAAACTCATTTTTAGTGATTTAAACTTTAAATGAATTTTCTGAAGGACACATTACGTTTTTGACCATTTATTTTTCTCGTCTAGACCTATACTATAAAGACTATTTCCGTGATATTTATTTTAAGCTTTCTAAAAATACAAGCTAATGTAGTCTTTAATGTTGTCTAGAGATAATTCCAAACAAAGTAACCTTGAATGCACATCTAATAATGAATAAAAAATAGCAATTAACAAACTGTAACATTTGATGAACTGTTTTAGAAAATGTAGTAAATGTAATTCTGTGCTTCAATCAACATAAAAACTTGAAACGTTTATAGGTAGATACTAAAATTGTATAGTAATTTTGTGTGATGTTTAAATGATGCTTTCAACCCAGATGTATTACAAAAAAAAACCTAAATGAGAAACTGACATTTCGCGGAATATGTTCTGAAATTACATGAGTTATTCCTGGAGAATTAGTTAAACATGTCGTCACAAGAAAATCATTTTAAAAAGAAGAGATAATTGAAACAGGTGCTTATGTTCATCAAGTTCCATAGAAAATAATACCAAAAAAAATTGTTAAAAGTTTGTCTTAAAAAATTTCTAAAAAATCATCAGAATTAAGATGATTATTACTATGTTGAGAAGACTCTTTGTTTATTTTTGCTTCGTGTATTTTTAAACGTACTACTATATTGTTTATTCTAGTTTTACTCGAGGATGTTGAAAATTAAACATTTTCTTGACTTAATATGAACGCATAAACTAAGAGTATATATGAAAAATATTGATAGACTTGTTAATATTACTCCTGAAATAGTAATAAATAAATGCAAGCTATTTTAAGATACTCCAGTTAGGTTTTGAAGTTCTTCGACCTTTGCATCACCACCACTGTTCAAAACTTTTCCGTATGACTATTTTCAATACACGTTGACAATTATTACGCTCAAATTAGATTTGTTGTGTTTTGCAGTCATGAATTTAAGCTTGCATGGACCTAAATAAAATTCATTAGAATTATTTAAGCTTCAAAGATAAATCACAATAATAATTTAACAATAATAATGTACTCAATGCCAAGCTAATTAGCGCAAAAAAGTCAGAAATAATAATGCAACAACTGGAAATAATTAACAAATGAATTAACAACAATGGATGATAGTATCTCAAGCTGTCAAGTTGATAAACATGGGGAATTCTAGGAAACCAAAAATGGATCCAGATTTAGAGGTTGGTGAAATTGGCGCATGTTTAGACAGCTCAGCAGCAAGACACAAAATATCGGTTCGACCTAAAAGAAGATATACAGATCCTCGATATCGAGTGATCAAAAGATCTAATTCAGATTCTGATCTCCAAAGGTATGTAAACAAAAAACTTGAATAAAAATTTTTCATGACTAACAAATGGGTATGATGAATTGAGATCCAAAGTTCTCGTTTGATGAAATTGAATTTATAAGGCTATAAATCAAATAATTATAAAAGGAGTAAATAATGTAAACAGTGGCATCGACCTTATATGATTCATTTCCTCGAAAATAAATTCACTACAGGCTTTGAGGAATAATAACAGCTGTCGGCAAAATGCCCAGGAATTTGATGAATCCTATAAAACATGAGAGAAAATAAAAATGGACATATTTATGACATATTTTGCATTTTATCCATGCAATTTTTTAAATCGAATTACAGCTGATCGATTTAAGATGGCTATAAAATTCTCAAGTTATTCATTCAGCTCATCATTTTTCGAGTATTTTAAGATGAAAGAATTTTCCACTAATAAAATTTTTTTCTCAACGGATGTTGGATATTCTGCTTAAAAGAATCTCATCTTTAAATATAGTTAGCATTGTACATCTCAAGGAAAAGGGATATTATTGTTTAATCAAAAGTGTAAAATGATTGTGAAGAAGAAAATGTCATCGCATTTGTCATCGTTCAACAGTTGAATCCACGTGCTTGATGCTCGTCACTAGAGTGAAACCTTGAGACATGTCATCTAATAAAAGATAAAATGAAACTATTCCAATATCGACTGTTTCTTGAAATAAATGTAAGTTGAGGTGAGGTTCAAGAACGTAACTTTGTCCACGCAGAAATAGTAGAGAAACGTATTATGCATTACTTTGATTTTGGCAGTGACAGTGAGCACACTTCAATGGACTACAAATCATTTAACAAAGACAATAAAGTCAAAATTCAAATGTTATAGAATTTATGAAGATCGAAATAGGATCTTTATTAGTCATTTAGTAGTCAAATTAAGACCTTAGAGAATAAATATAAAAGTAAATGGGTCTTGGCAAATACATAAAGAAATTAATTAGTAACTTATGAATATTATTAAATTAATTTATTTGGGCAAATATATCTAGCGCTGAATTTTATATTAAAAATAGTCATGAAAATATTTTTAATTGGTTTATTAATTGATATTTATTTTTATTTTCTCTCTAGAGCACGAGTTAGAAAAATTGATGGACAAGAAGGATGGGTTCCTATGTCAATTCTCATGCAGACTGCTCTCAGCGAAGACAGTTCAACCCTAACTGCTCATCGTCCAGAAGATTCTCAATACCGACGAGAGTATGTTCATTTTTTAATTATCATATACTTAATTAAATGCTATCATTGTAATTATTTCATATTTAATTGATTATTGTCTCAATTTATATAGAGCTGTTGTGAAAGAACTCGTTGAAACTGAGGAAGAATTTGGAAGAGACCTTCAACAGGTGGTTGATCGATATTTAAAGCCTCTAGATAATCCTGGAGTACCACGAGCTGTTCGTGATAATAAAGAAATCATCTTTACTAATTTCAAACAAATAGCTGATTTCCATAACACGTAGGTACACACACACGATAATTTGATAACAGTTAATCAACCACTCTCAACCAAACAAATTCAATCAACCTACATTAGAGTCTATACCTCACTTCAAATAATCATTTTGTTATTCCAATATTCTTTTGATGATTTTATCAAACAACATGACACTACAAAACACTCACATACTATCAGTATATTACTTTCTTCTTAGCAATGAAATTGAATATTGCGTAAGTTAAAATGTGCAGTGTTCTTGTTTGTGTTTTTATCAGTGTCTGATTTGTGTCAGTTTTTCATAATTATTTCAGTCCCGCGTTACTTAATTTGAATTTAATCTACTTGGTTTCTATGGCACCTAGAAAAAATTATTTAATCATTTTCGTCACATTTCTTCACTTTTTTGTTCTTCACACCAACAACATTAATAAGGTTGCTTGAAATTGACAATACTTAAGCCCCATTAAGAATTTTTTTTATGAATATTAATCAAAATTAAACTCATTTGCTGGAAATGCTATAATGTTACTACCGATCATTCAGACTGAATACGATTTATGATAATCGTAGCCCTGCTGTTAGGCGTGATTTGAATTTAGCATGATATTAATTCCGGCCTTACTTAGATCGTTTGGCAGGGTACTAATTGAGGGTGTCAAGTACTATGCGGACCAACCACGGATGCTGGGAAAGACATTTTTGAGACTGGTAAGTTCAGTATCAGCACATCAAAATCTATCATTTTGATGAATATTTATATTTATTGGCATGCTTCTTTTGCAGGAGAGAGATTTCGACAAACATGTGGCATATTGTCGAGATGAACCTGCTGCTCAAGAATTCTTGCAAGCTAACAATGAAGTTCGAGATTATTTTGAGGTAATTTCTCCACTTCTTGTTACTTAATATACGCAAGGAATCATGTGAAAGCAATTATTAAAGATTCGTGATGAATTATTCAAATATAATTTGAGATATTCCACGTATGTCTGACTACATAACTGGAGTTTCTACTTTGCCTGTAGCAAATTGTCGGTTTCTTCTGATGATACAAGAATTCAAAGCTTTATCTTAGAAAACTAGATTATTTAAAAGTCTTCTAGTAGAACTCTTCTTTATCTTCAATTAAAGAATGTTTAATTCTATACTATTCCCTTCTTTTGAATTATTAATTAGAATGAAAGTCTTCTACCTATTATTTTTTATTTAAAATATTCAAATTGAATAAAATTTAAAAATTCAAAAGTTAAAATATCTAAGATTATTTTTGCAATGTAAGTTATTTAAGCAAGTCATAAATTAAATTTAAATGTACGAAGAGACGAAAAAATGTGGAAAATATTTATGATATTTTTTTATTTAAAAAAATGCCTGGACTGTAAAGTAAATGAAAATCCTGCAATTACATAATATCACCAGTAAGCGGGCGGCTATCCAGAGCTGAAAATAGTATGGCTTATTTTTAACACTCGGGCATTATTTTCTATCTCTGTTTTCCCTGCGATGTCTCTGGCATTTTTCGTATTCAACAGTAAAAGAAAAAGAAAAACAGCCGTTTATCAATCACCGAACAAAGTAGGTTAAAGATTTATAATTAATCTTATTGTAAAAATCTTTTTATTATAATTATGAATGTACAATTCATGTCTTTGCCTATTGTTTTGAGCACATCAATTATCATCACCAAGTGTTATTGACCTCAATCATGACAATAATCATTTCCAACGTTTAAACAATGTTTAAATATTCCAATCAACTTCTTTAAAAAAATTATTTCTTCAAGAGTTACTGGATATCTTGTTCTTAATAAATCTAAGAATAAGCTTTCCTAATCCATGAGATTTGAAATTCGAAATCTGTTGTAATTATTTAAATGAACTGAATAGTAATGTCAATTTGGATCACTGGAGCTCTAGAAGACATAAGTTGGCGCCTAGATTCTCTCAATCTTTTTTTCTCGCATTTGTTTGTGCGTGGTCAGTCTCTGGCGTCTTCGTCTAAGTATAGACGTAGCCGTATTGGTCTCACCGGACGTCTTTTGACTGCTCCGGTAGTCGTAGTGATTTTGGGAACCACCGACAAGTCTGATGATCCAGTCTACGAACAGCATCGAGCATAGTTCTTTAAATTAACGATTAAAAACATTTCATAAAGTTGAAGTTATTTTTTCTTTTAGAATTACCTTGGATTTATTTTATTTAAAAAAAAAAAAAGGTGTGTAGTGAAGTTGTGAGTGACATGACCGTAACCGCATGGTGCGTCGTTGTTGGTTGACCTCTTCAACGCTCTGTCCACTTATCTGTCTCATGGATACTCGCTACCATTACTTGTGTGTCAACTAAGCACAACTCGCGCCAAAAATAATGCCTGTATTTCGCCAACACGCTTCTCACGTCTCGTATTACAACGGATTGTGGTGGATTATTTCAAATAACTTCTAATTTCTCTTACATTTTCTCCACACGAGTGTACAATACGTTTCATCATCCTCTAGCTTTATTCCCAAAACTACTTTTTTATTAAAGAACTTTTCAAAATCACAGTAATTTATAAGGACTGGAGTAATAATTTTATAGAGATTCATTTTAAACCTAGTAGAACCGAAAATGTGCACCCAGTGTCATATGTCCAAATGTGGTCAGACGTGCGGGAATCTCTGAATTTAACTGACATCCCTTTTCCGATAAGTTCAAGTGCTGAATAATGTTATTATAATTGAAATAAAGATACCGAAAAATTAGTTAGTGATTAGCAATTAGTATTAAATTATTGCTAAACACTTCTGTTTATTTAGGAACTAAGCCAGACCCTCGGAGACGACAAAAGCGTGTCGGAACATTTAAAACTTCCGATACAACGCATCAACGACTACCAGCTTTTACTTAAGGTAAATTTTTTATTTTTTTTTCAACTTCATTTTTTTCATTGTGAATTCATATAATAAAAGTATTTTAGAACAGAAAGATTTAAACTTCATTCAATTTGATGAAAACGATTCAATTATTTAAATAAAATCCAAACAATTGATTTAAATAAAAGGATTATTATTTTTTAAACCTCTTTAAATCAATCATTTGAACATATTATTATTGTTGCTTACGTTAGATGAAGTTGAAATGTATTAAAAATTGTTCCAAAAAACTCTGACTCTGACCTCTATATTTATATTTAAAAACCGGAGTCAGTTGGTAAAAATAACATGCCCTTGATCAAATTTTGTTTTCAGTCATTTAGAGTTTTGGAAATTTTGTTGAGAAGTCATTTATTTGATATTATTTCATAAGTTTTTTACATTTGTTTATTATACTTCTACTTTGTCAATTTTTCTTGTTGGTTTTATAGATTTATTTATTTATTTTTCCTTCAATCCATTCAACATCTTTTAAAAAACATCATCATTTTAATTACACACATTTCAATTCACTTTTCTCTTTATAAAAATGAGTAGGCGTTGTTACGAATTTAGCACACTAAAAACAGGTCATGCTTGTGGTACATCTTTACTTAAATCATAAATATTTGTGAATCATAACTGAATCATAATTTATATTAAAGAATAATCGTATCTTACTTTGTCTCTATTTTGAATATTGAATTTAATGATGAATATAAATAAATGATGTTATTTTATAGGAGCTGGTTAAATATTCGACTCGCCTTGGCGAAAACTGCGACGACCTCCAGAAAGCTCTGGAGTTGATGCTAGGTATTCCTCATCGTGCTACCGATAATAAATTTATCAGTAATATCGAGGGATACAAAGGAAATATCCATAAACTTGGACGATTACTAACACATGTAAATATAAATAAAATTTAATAATTTTATTAAATAATTCAAGGAACTGTTTTTTTAAATATTATTTTTGTTTCAATAGGAATGGTTTACTGTGATCGATAAAGACGGAAAAAGTAAAGAAAGATACTTATTTTTATTTAAAGCACGAATACTCGTTTGTAAAGTAAGACGCATTTCGGAGGATAGATCAGTTTTTGTCTTGAAAGATATAATTCGAGTAAGTAAAATATAAATAATCATAAATATTTCAACAAGACTAGAAATTGAAATGATTAACTCTATTTTAGCTACCAGAAGTAGAAGTCAAAGATTTTCCAACCGATCAACGATCATTTGAATTACATCAGCCAGGAGTAGCAGGCTACCCAATAACACTAGTAGCTCACAAAGATCTCGTTAAAGAATATTGGCTAAAAGAAATCCGACAGCACGCAAGTGACTTGTTGGCACTTGCTGAACATGCTGCTGATGATCTTCAAGTAAGTGAAGAGAAAGTAATTACTGACGACAACAAAGGGACAAAGATTGAACAGCCAAAGCCTACACCTATACAAGCAAAAACACAAATTAAAGAGACTCAACAAGAGGTTGCTAAGAGTGGGGTTCAGGAAGCTAAAGCTGCGGAAAAAAGAAAAGAAAGTCTAACAAAAGTAGAAGAATTAGAGACGAAGAAATCCAAGACTGCTGAAGAAAGCCAAGAAATGTCGGAACGATATTCATCAAGTCGCTACAGTGCTTCTACGAAAATAGTTGAGGGTAAGATAATATAAATGTGTAATGTAGCATTCCATCATGCTGCAGATATTAAATTAAGCCAATTTAATTTCAAAATTATTATTATTAATCAAGTAGAACATTTATTTTTGAAGATTAGCTCTTATTTGACTATTTTAAGTAGCTAATATGAACACAGTTATCAGTAAATTTCACAAATCTATTCTATCATATCATAATCAGTGTTTTAGTATATCTGTATGAAAGCTTCATTGTAAGCAGTGTTTAGTAGAATTTCAATGCTTTGGATGACTGTTGTAACGTTGTTTTTCTCTAATGCATGTAGAATATTCATCAATATCAAGCAGTCGTAATGGCGCTACGTCATATGCAGAAACTGCAACAGCAGTATCTCGCACTGAAAGAAGAGCATCATCTTCATTGCATGGTACAGAAAGACTAGCAGAATCTAGCTCATATCAAACAGTTACCAGTGGAACAACTGCAGGAGATACGAAGGTTGCAAAATTAGCAGTCACTTCTACTGAAACCGGAAAGCCTAAATTTGTTAAAACTATTGAGGGCATTAGCGCTGAACGTAAGTGAATATTTTATAAATATCAGTTGTTACCACCCAACTTTAATGAATTAACTGGTAGATTGATTGATTTATTTAATGAATTAATGAAATGATTATTTTATTGATGTTTTTATTAATATGTCTTCAATATCAGTGTGAATAAATATCACTGATATAGTTAATATTCTTTATTTAATTCATGTTTTAATGTAGATAAATTAGAAAAGTTTCCTCCCTCATAAAAAAGTGCATCAGTAGCACCATATTTGATCAACTTTTCCTGTTCTAGCCATCCGAGCAAAACAGGCAATGATTCACGTAATAGGTAAAGTGAAGAAAACGTAGCACATTCGATATATCATCTACGTTGCTCTAGACTTGGAAAAATATTCATTGTTTTTCATTTACCTAGTAATAGCTTTAGTAAAGTGCTTGTTGTATTTTATGTCATCAATTTCTGTATCTGCTTGAAAACTGTACTTCATATATTAATGTTTCAAGAAGAATTTTTTTTTTTTAACATGGAATTGGCAAACTAAAATTTTCATATAAAATTCATTGAGATTATTCATCAATTGGCTTTTCAAAAATTAATTATTACTATCATTTATCATTGTCATATTACTAGTAGTAATAATCACAGTCAGTACATACATCTTTAAAGTGTAGTTATCAGATCAACTTCATCAGATGTAGCTTCAATTTCATCAACGTCTATCACTCTTTAAAGCTGAAATTATTTTTCTTTCCTACTCTTCATTCTTTTTGATTGATTGTAAGAAAAAATGATGATAATTTATTTGTGTATTATGTAGCCGGTGAAAGTGCTACATTTGAATGCAGACTGGAATCAAGTGGATCCTATCGAATGCATTGGCTGAAAGACAACAAGCCTCTAGATGAATCATATGCAGATAGAGTAAAAATTTCGACGACTGATAATATCTTCAAGTTAGAAATTAATAACATAACTGAAAAAGATTCTGGAATTTACACTGCTCGTGCTGCTAATGGAGATGGAAATGCAACATGTACAGCACAACTTGTAGTTGAAAATCGTAAGACTCTAGAAAACTTTTTTTTTATTTTTAAATCAATATCAATTATTTTAAATAATATTTCCAATTATCATGTAGTCACTGCTGAAGAACGCAAGGCCAAAGATGAATCAAAAGCTCCAGTCTTTTTAGTAAAATTAAAAGATACGGAACTGCTGGAAAATACTTATCTTCGCTTTATGATTAAAGTCAGAGGAAATCCTAATCCTGATGTGAAATTGTATGTATTTAATTGTTTAAATAATAATGATTATAGTTAAATTTATCGTTTATTAAACAATTGTCTATTTCAGCTTCAAAGATGGAGTTTCTATTGATTCAAAACATGAACGAATCAAGATTATAAATGAAAAAGCAGATAAAGGATTCTATGAGCTATTAATTCCTGATATTCAAAAGACAGATGCAGGCAAATATTCTTGTACGGCTACAAATCAATATGGTGAAGCATCATGTGAAGGGACACTGACGATAACAGATGAAAAAACGTTATTTGCGGGTCTTCCGGAAGGAATTTTTGAACCTGGAACTGAGCCACAATTTAAATGGCTTCGTGACGGAAAACCATTTGATCCAGAAGATAGATTTAAAGTTCTATTCCAAGATAATGAAGATACTTTGGCACTAGTATTTCAACATGTAAAGCCTGAGGATGCAGGACTGTACACATGTGTTGCTCAAACGAGTACCGGGAACATCAGTTGCAGCGCTGAATTGACAGTACAAGGAAATGTAAAACAATTACTTAAAGAACCAGCTAAGCCAGTTTTAGGTAGTGAATCTAAACAATCTGAAGTAAGTGCTGGTGGATCTGCAATGTTAGACCTTCAAGTAAAAGGATTCCCCAAGCCAGATATTACTTGGACCAAAGATGGAAAAGAAATTGTTGCTGGAGGTAGAATAAAATATTTATGGGAAGATGAAGAATCTCTATCACTTGTCATTAAAAATGTAACTATTGATGATGCTGGAACTTATGTAGTCAGAGCTAAAAATGAACTTGGAGAAGATACAACATACATTGAATTGATTGTCAAATCAGCACCAAAAATCATTAAAAAAATGACTGATACTTTTGCTTATATTGAAACAGATGCCACGATGACTGTTCAAATACAAGCTTCTCCAGCTCCCGAAGTAAAATGGTATAAAGATGGACAAGTGATAGAAGCTTCTGATCGTATTAAAATCAGCCAAGAAGGAGATCAATATCATTTAACTATCAAAGAATGTAGGTTAGAAGATATTGGATCATATTCAATTATTGCGAAAAATGAAATTAATCAAACATCAGATTTCTGGAGCTTTGATGTTAAGTGTCCACCAAAAATTAAAAAGAAGCTGGGAGAGTCAAGGATTGTTAATGAAGGAGATACACTGACATTACAAATTGAAGTCGAAACACCTCCTGAGCCAACTGTTATTTGGATGAAAGATGAAATTGTAATAAAAGAAGATCATCGTATTGAAATTATTAGTGACGGACCAAGGCAAATATTAAAAATTACTGGAACAATTGACACTGACGCTGCTACTTATAAAGCACAAGTATCGAACAAGGATGGTACCACAGTTGACCAAATCGGAATTGAGGTAATTCTAAGTTAATTTAATATTTAATTTTGTTTCAATTGAATACTGACATAAGTAAAAAAAAATTAAACATTTCCAAAATATTTACATGCAAACATATTAGGTTATACTCACTTGCTCCATTTTAAATGCATTTGCATATTTGATTTGACTTATTACTTTTATAACATAATTTTATTGTTAGATACGTTACAAGAAAAAACAATATCACGAAAGAAAAGTAACATTTTTTAATAAATAATACAAAACTTATCGAACGAAATTTTAATACGCGCCATGTTAACTCAACAAAGCGTTTCTACGAAATTTCCGCGCCATAATTAATTCGCGATTCTTCGATAATCTTCGTCATTGTTCGGAGTTTTTTTATTTTTTTAAGTTTATGGACTTGATGTTCAAAAATTTTCACACTTTTAGGGAATTTTATTATTCGTACTACGGTCTTATTCGTAACAATAGAGTTCTAATTTTCTGAATGTGATGAAAATCTTAATTATGTTATTAATTAACATAGGTAAAATCTGCACCAAGATTCAAAAAAGAGATGGTCGATGTTATTGCCAAAGATGGTCAAACTCAAGCAGAATTCTCCATCGAAGTTGCTGGCTACCCGAGACCTACTCTCCAATGGTACATTAATGACGTCGAAATTACGGAGTCGAAGAAAGAATATTCAAAGGTTCAAGAAGGAGATGTTCATAAATTAATGATTAATAATATCAAAGTTGAACATTCTGGTCGTTACACCTGCAAATTGAAGAATGAATATGGAACCACTTCTAGTAGCTCCAATTTAATTGTCTATTGTAAACCAAAAATCGTTAAAAAGTTTGCTGATCAGAAATTGAAGGAAGGAGAAACATTGAAGCTTGAAGTTCAAATCTCAGGAACTCCAGATCCAACTATAAGGTGGTTCAAAGATGGTCAAGAGGTATCAGCTGATGCCAGAATTAAAATTACAAGAGATAGCAATCGTAAAGAGTCTTATGATCTTACTGTAACCCTCCTGAAAGGATCTGATGGTGGTGCTTATGAAGTTCGAGCTGAAAATGAAATGGGTCAAGTGACTTGCAAGAATAAAGTCATCGTGCTAAGTAAGATATTACAATTAAATTAGTTTAACGATTTTAGTAAGAAACTTAAAATTAATTATTTTAATTACTAACTTCGATATTGAAGAAAGCTTTAATTAGACTGTAATAAAAGTAGTGATGAATAATTAAGATAGTTAATTTTATCATATATCATAATTTAACTGAACAATAATGCGTATGCTAAAACAGGCGATAACCCACTGCTTTTGCTTCTCTAAAGTAAGTACAAAAATATTCTTATTACTCCTAGTAAACAATATTTTTTTTACAAGGGTAATATTTTCCTCATTTTTTATGACTAATTTTTCCATGCCATATTTTTTTTATATCTAATCATAAAGTTTGTCGTTGTTTTTAATAATGAATGCTTGTAATTAATAATCCTATTATCCCAATTATATTGTTGAAAATTAATTGTTAATAGCTAAAACAGAAGAAACTACTGAGCAGGAAGAAGAAGAAGAAGAAAAAGAAGAGAAAGTTGTTGAAGAAGAAGTGTCTGAAGAAAAAGAAGAAGTAGAATCAGGGCCGGAAGGTAAAAATGAATTGATTATCATGTTAATCATATTAACAAATAATTTTTACTTGAAAATTTTTTATATAAAATCAAAGAAGCTTGTAAATAAGTCATTGTTTCATAATAGAGCCGAAACGAATTTGATTAAATTTTGGAATAATAATATAAATTTTTTATTCATTGGATTTGCTGTAATTAATTTAAAGATGTCACAATTTTTTCATAATTCTTTTAAATTTACTTTTTTCTGTAAATATACGAATATTTAATTGTGGCCGATAACCAATAGCTTTGCTTAGAGTTAGATGTAGTGTTCATTACTGAAATTCAGGTCATAATATTCTGGAGAAAAAGAATATCGAGTTAATCAAAGGCAAGGATGGAGATACGATAACTATATCAGTGGCATCTGTAACAGAACATGAAGCTACTATATCAGGTATTATAAATACAAAAAACAACACTCTTTACACTTCAATAAAACTTAATATATAATATCATTTTAATAAATTCAACTAAAAATTACCACACATAAACATATAATATTTTATTTTTTATATTTGTTTAACACAAGCTAATATCGTGCAACACGATATAAGTAATAAAATCATAAAACAAATTTACAACACTGACAATGCAATATATTAATAGCGAATTAATATCTCTATGCCATCTTTATCAACTTTGCTTTATATCATCATCGATAACAAAATAATATCAATTGAATAAATTCGCTATTTAAATAAATATCTGCTATACTTAACAGAATGTTGAGCTTTTTGATAGTATTTTTGCTTTGATTGAGACCTTCTGGGGACTCCCAGTGAAATGGGATCGTGATAGTTAGTCCCTGTGCAGGTCCTGATGAGCGTCACACGATCAGCAAGCTGACAACAACAAAGGTCGAATGCCAGGAGATACATACTGATGAACCTCAAGTTGAAGAAATAGCTTCGTACACTTTTACAATTAAAGAAGAAAATGAAAATATTCCACAAAATGGAGTTTTAGTTGAAGAATATTCTGAAAGCGATGATAAAGCTCGACTATCAGTGAACAGAGGAGTATCAATTGTTTCGGTATCAGATGATGAATCTACGATGAAGGTACTATCACCTGGAATTAGTACTGATGATGTGCCTTACGCTGAAAACTCAGATATGAAATGTAATGGATTTGTGGATGAATTGAATAAAAGTAATAGACATGTAGAAGAAAAAGTCATTGAAGATTATGGGCCAAATCATGCTTTTAAATATACTGAGACTGTTATTGAAGAGTGTTCAGTCAATGATTCTCCAATAATTCCAGTACATCAGAATGGATACGAAAAAGCTCAAAATGCTACAATTGGAGACAGCAAAATAACTCGAGAGTTTTCTAAACTTGAGAGAATTAATTCGATTGAGGCTATTGTGATGGATGTTCAAGTTTCACCACAATCTCCTAGTGCTGAAAATGGTGATATTTCTATTGGAAAATATAAATTCAATCGATCAGAGTCAATTAAAGAACAGAAAGTTGAAGTTGAAGAACTAAACGGTCGTCAAACTCCTAAGTGGTCACGTCAAAGCTCTAGACTAGAAAAAACTCCATCAGTTGAAGAACAGAAAGCTCAAATAAGTAATCATGAATCAATAAATCAAAATGCAGAAATAAATAATGGAAGCCTATCTAGACAAAGCTCTCGATTGAGTCGACTAAGTTCTATGGATTCTACTAAAGTGTCAGTTGATAATACGTCAAGACGAAATTCTCAGCAGGCTGTTCTCAATAATAATAATAGTTATGATGATGAAGATGATGATATTGATGAGAAAACAAAATCTCTTTTAGATAGGATTAAACGACAGCGTAGTGTTCTAGAAGAAATTCTCGATAAACAAGCAGATTTAGATGCTGAAAATGGAGCTTTCGAAGGTAAGATGAAATATCTAATACTTCGTCATTAAGGTTCGTTGAAAATTCTATCTCTATAAAATCTTTTATCACTCAATAAAATTTTAAAATATTCTCATCTTAATCGTATTAACAAATTCAATTAACAAGTTGCAACAATTATTGATACATTTAATCTCACACAATCTAGAATTAAATTTTTTTGTTGAATTTTAATGATCCAATCACCTGTTTATTTGATATAACTTTTTATGTTATATGTTAAAACATAATTATTTTCACTCCATTTTCATTAGTTATTTTTCCTTCCTGCTTGAATTTAATAATGCTTGGCTTGTATGAAACACATTCTTATAAATCAATACTTCCAAGATCCAAGTTCTTCAGAACCAGGTAAGCAATAAATATTTCAATAGGAGTTCTTTAAATTTCTCTTAGTTTTAATAAGTGGAAACAGTCCAATTAAAATTAATTGAAAATTTTTTTTTCTACCCCTGTAATTTTCAATTATTAATGTAAGTATTTTTTGTTCATTAGCTGCTCCAGCAATTGTTGATTCTGATTTCCAAGATCGAACAATATTCGCAACCCAAAGCACTACATTTACCATTCATGCTACTGGTTTACCCCGACCAGATGCTAAATGGTTCAGGGATGGAAGACCTCTAAAGCCTTCAGATAAAGCAAAACCAGGACATACTGGAGAAAAATGGACTCTTACATTTAATAAAGCTTCAGAAACTGATACAGGATTATATCAATTGACGCTTACCAACAAACTTGGAGAAGTAAGCATTGATGCCGTTTTAGAAGTTGCGCCAGAAGGAGAATTAAGAAAACCGACATTCACGAAACCGCTGGGTGATATTGACGTTGAGAAAGATGGAGCTGGTACTTTTGAAGCAGTTCTAACTGCAGACCCCATCCCAGATATCATATGGTAAAATGATGTTAATTAATTCTTTTTTAAGTAATAGTAACAGATAAATTTTATTAAATAAATAAATGAATATTTTAGGTCTTTCGAAGGTGTTGACATTTCCCCTGATGATAAAAGGTTTAAAATGGGTAGAACAACGAAAAAAGTTGAGGACAGTCTCCAAGAGTGTACTTATACCATGACTATATCTGATTGTACGCTCGAAGACGTTGGAAAATACACTTTGAGAGCAGAAAATAAATGGGGTGATGATAGCTCATCTGTAAGTATTAGAAATATTGCGGGAATGTTTGATGAATTATTTAATAATAATCATTATTATTTGCATAATTATTTAGGCTCGGTTAGAACTGTTGGTTCCACCTCAAATTCTTGAATTTAAAGATTTGAATGCAGCTGTGGAAGAATCATGCCAATGGGAAATAATCATCAAGTCAAATCCTAAAGCTGAATTGACGTGGGAAAAAGATGGTGAAATTTTGAGTGATGAAAATCGTTTTGGTTCTGAAGATGATTACAGAAATATGAAATACAGACTAGTGATGAAATGTGTAGAATACGAAGATGCTGGTATTTATAAAGTGACCGCTAAAAATTATTTAGGAGAAGATAGTGGCGAAGCTGAATTAATTCCCTACAGTAAGATGTCAATTTTATTAATTTTTATATATTATCAGATGAATGTCTATAATTAAACTATTAATTAATTTTATAGCTGAGCCTCCAGAGTTTCTTGAAGAGTTATTCAATGTATCAGTTCGTCATGATGCTAGTGTCACATTTAAAGTTGAGGCAAAAGGAATCGCAAGACCAAAAATACAATGGCTTCTCAATGGCGATGAAATTAAAAATGATGAACGTCATACTATCAAGACAGTTGTTGAAGATCATGTATTCAGTACTCTTTCAATTGAACATTTTGATTATTCCGATGAAGGTGAACTTGTTTGTGTTGCTGAGAATCGTGCTGGCAAAGCAAAATCAAAATGTACATCATCGATGATTCGTATGCCTCCAACTTTCAGCGAATTATTACCTAGATCGAAACAGATTGAAGAAGGAGATCCACTTCAACTTAGCATTGAAGTAGATGGAAGTCCTTTCCCAAAAGTTGCTTGGTATAAAGACGGTGAAAAAATTGAACCAAATGATCATATTAAAATTGAAACACAGCCAAATGGTTCTACCAAACTTACTATTGAAAAGTGTACACCAACTGACTGTGGAGCTTACAAAATTATTGCTAAAAATAATAATGGAGAAGACGTATCTCAATGTGCTGTTGCTGTGAAACGTAAGTACTTGATAACTAACTGTTGAATGGTGATAAAAAGATTCAGATCGACTAAAATTTATTTTATTTACAGCTAATCCAAGAAAACCATCCTTCTCTAAACCTCTGGGCGACGTTGAAGTTGTTGTAGGTCAGCCTCTTAAACTTGAAGCTCAAGTTGTAGCTTTTCCAAGCCCTGAAGTTCAGTGGTTCAAGGATGGTTTGCCATTGAGAACAACTCCAGAAGTAGAATTTATTAATGAGCCGAATGGTTTAATGGGACTATCAATTGAAAAAGTGAAACCTGAAGATGCTGGTGTCTATTCTCTCGTGGTGTCCAATAACTTGGGCGAAATAACTGGAACTGCAAACGTACATGTAGAAGAAAAAGAAAAGAAACCAACCTTCTTAGCTACATTACAACCAATGACTGTTGTTGAAGGATTCCCAGCCAAAATGGAAGTTAAAATAATTGGCAAACCACCTCCATTGATTCAATGGACTTACAATGGAACTGAAATTGTTCCTGATGGAAAACATATTAAAATAATTTCACAACCAGATGGAACTCAAGCTCTACTTATTGATAAAGTCACTTTACATGATGCGGGTGAATATGCAGTCACTGCATTAAATACAGAAGGAGAAGAAACTTGCAAAGGAATTTTGAATGTTACTGGAAAAGATAAAACTGATGCTCCAGAGGAAAAACCATCTTTCGTAGGACCTATTCGAGACACAAGCGTTGAAGAAGGTGAACCATTAACCTTTGGAGCTTCTTTCGCTGGAAATCCGATGCCAGATATCTTCTGGACAAAAGATGACGAGCCAGTTGAAGCATCAGATCGAATTCTGTTTATCTGTGATGGTAAAAAAGTTGGCTTGGAAATTAACCCAAGCACAGCAAAGGATGCTGGGGTATACTGCTGTCGTTTAGTAAATCCTTCTGGAGAAGATTCTTCAAAAGCAGTTGCGACAGTTAGAAAAGTATTCCAGAGACCTAACTTCACTCAGAAGTTTACTGATCTCCAACAAGTTCCTGGAAATGATGCTAAGTTTGCTGCAAGAATTACTGGACTTCCAAGGCCTGATGTTACTTGGTACTTCAATGATAAACCGATTTCTAAAGACAACGATAAATTTAAAATCAAAAGAGATGGTGATGTATGCTGCTTATATATCAAAGATTGTTCTCCAGCAGATGCTGGTAGATATAAATGTAGAGCAGTAAATAAAGACGGTGAAGCTTCTTGTGAAGCTCAGTTAACAGTTGCTGATAGAATGTAAGTAATAATTTTTAATCAGTTATAATAAAATTAATTATAATTCTAAACATATGTTTCCAACAGTGACAAACAACAGAAAGTTGAACCACCATCATTCTTAAAGAGAATCGGTGATTGTGAAGTCTACAAAGGAATGACAGCCAAATTCACAGCTTGTGTTACGGGATATCCTGATCCCACTTTTGAATGGTACCGAAATGACGAGCGACTTTGGCCAACAGATCGAATTCGAATGGAAGAAGAGGGTAGTGGTTTGCTGAGACTGATCCTTTTTAATGTTGATGAGCATGACGTTGGAAAATATAGCTTGAGAATTTATAATCCACATGGAGAAGATATTTGTCATGCAGAAATGCGCTATGACAGTAAGTAACAATATGATTAAGAAAGAATTCGTTCTCTTTGAAACGCAAATTAATTTATAATGTTTCTACTTTTACAGCTCTAGAACCTCGAACAAAGAAACCGTTGGCAGATCAATATTCAGAATTCGACAAATACCGAAAATCTGGAATTCCTTTACCTCTAGCAGATAGACCAATCATAAGTCGCATGATGGACCGACATTTGACTCTATCTTGGAAACCTTCGATTCCAATTGGACCTCGTGTTCCTGTTACATATTTGGTAGAAATGTGTGAACTTCCTGATGGCGATTGGTTTACTGCTAGATCTGGAATTCGTAGTTGTGTCTGTGATATTCGTAATCTTGAGCCATTCAGAGACTATAAATTCCGCATTCGTGTGGAAAATAAATACGGAATCAGTGACCCATCACCTTTCGCCCAAACCTACAGATCTAAACTTATGCCTGATCCTCCGAAATTCCATCCATATCTTCCTCCTGGTATTGATTTTCGTCCTGAGACTAGTCCTTACTTCCCTAAAGATTTTGATATCGAAAGGCCACCTCATGACGGGTACGCTCAAGCTCCGAAATTCTTACGACAAGAGCATGACACTCAATATGGTGTGAAGAATCACAATTGCAGTCTTTTCTGGTTTGTCTATGGTTATCCTAAACCAAAGATGACTTATTATTTCAATAATGAACTAATCGAGTCTGGAGGACGTTATGATCAGAGTTACACTCGTAATGGACAAGCAACGCTTTTTATAAATAAAATGTTGGAACGTGATGTTGGAATGTACGAGGCTGTCGCATCAAATGAACATGGAGAAGCACGGCAAAGAGCCAGACTTGAAATCGCTGAATATCCAACGTTTATTCAAAGACCTGAAGAATCATTCATTATGTTAAGAAGAAATGGTCACATTCAAGCGAGAGTTATTGGTGTTCCTTATCCAGAACTTAAATGGTACAAAGATTGGAAACCTTTAGCACCATCGACTAGAATAAAGATTGATTTCTTCGAGCCTGACACTTCAATCTTGACAATCAATGATGCTATAGTAAAAGATGAAGGATTGTATTCAATTAGTGCACGAAATGTGGCGGGATCCATTTCCTGTTCTGTGATGATTCATGTTGAAGAAAATGAACACGAATATGGATATAGAACTTACACCCGTAATAGTGATGTCAAGACGAAAACAAAACCATTCGATGACTTTTATGATCTCGGTGATGAATTGGGACGTGGAACTCAAGGAATTACTTACCATGCGGTAGAAAGAGCAACTGGAAAGAATTATGCTGCTAAGGTAATGCACGGTCGTGGAGAATTGAAACCATTCATGCTTAATGAATTGAATGCAATGAATCATCTGAATCATCGTAAATTACTACGTGTTCATGATGCTTATGAGACTGATAGATCTTTAAGTCTCGTAATGGAGTTAGCCGCAGGTGGAGAGTTGGTTGATAGTTTGACTAAGCAGCCTTTCTATACTGAGTCAGAAATAGCAGGATATATTAGACAAATTTTATTGGGATTGGAACATATGCATAACGAAAGCTGGGCACATCTTAGTTTAACACTTGGAGATTTATTGATATCACATCCTGGAGGAGACGATCTTAAGATTGGAGATTTTGGACTTGCTAGAAGAATATCTTATGGAAAATTAATGACATTGGTTTATGGAATGCCAGAATTTGTTGCACCAGAAGTAGTCAACCACGAAGGTGTATCATATGCAGCAGACATGTGGTCTCTTGGTATTATCACACACATTTTATTGTCTGGAATTTCACCATTCAGAGGTGCTCATGATAGAGAGACTTTATCAAAAGTTAAAAATGGCAACTGGGACTTTGATGATAGATGGTGGATTAATATTTCCAGTGAAGCGAAAGATTTTATTCGTCGACTTTTGGTATATACTATTGATGATAGAATGGACGTTACTACTGCTCTTCGTCATCCTTGGTTCAATATAATTGATAAACCACCAACAGAACCTTTCAAAATCCCATCAGAGAACTTGAAAAACTATTATAAATTGTACAGAGACTGGTATGGTAATGCTTCTTGTCGCAATTGGTATCGCCGACGCAAGTTAAGTAGTGCTTTTGATCATCCTTCAAAAATGGTCTATCCTCCAGGAGAAAAATATACTCCAGAACCTTCAGTTGAACGTAGTTTCACTTCAAGAGATAAACCTGAGCCTAGATCATGGGAAAATAAAATTCCATCTCGCGAACCAATTGATACTGAAATTGGAATTATCAAAAGTGAAAGTCACTATCAAAATGGTCCTGATACTTATCTTCTTCAACTTCGTGATACAGACTTTCCAGTAAGACTTCGAGAATATATGAAAGTAGCTCATAATCGCGGTTTAGGCTTCGCTAGAGTGTATGATGATGATGGCTTTGACTGGGGAACACCAGTAATTCGTGAGAGAAGACGATTTACTGATGTCATGGATGAAGAGATTGATGATGAGCGAAAAGCTCGTATAAATAATTATGGTGCAGCTGATTGTCATACTATTAGACGTCTCCGTCATGAATTAGGTACTAGATTGGATTCGTATGCTGAAGCTGAAGCAATAATGGAAACAAAGAAAGGAGGTCATTTACCTTTCTTCCGAGAAAAACCCCAAATTCTTCAAATCCAATCAGGAAAGTGTGCTCAACTTTCTTGTTACGCTGTTGGTAATCCTAAACCAACACTCCAATGGTTTAAAAATGATTTAGTAATTCAAGAAGGCAAACGGATTAGTATCATTGAAGATACTGAAGGTAGATCAATTGTAAGTTTTAATCCAGCACGAGAGCATGATATTGGAATTTACAAAGTTGTTGCTAGAAATAAGGTTGGACAGACCGTCGCTCGAACACGAGTAGTTTTGGCAACTGTTCCTGGTCTTCCTCAAGCTCCTGAAGTTTGCGGAATCTCCGATACAGAAGTTTTATTACGATGGAAACCACCCAAAGACGATGGAAATTCCGAAGTTCTTTGTTACAACTTACAATATAAAGCTGGTGATTCTATTGATTGGATTGATGCTGCGAGTAATATCGATCACGAATTTTATCTAGTTAAAGATCTTCAACCAAATACAAGCTATCACTTCCGTTTAGCAGCAAGAAATAGAATAGGCTGGAGTGATAAAGGTTTTGAAACAAATCTTATCCAAACAAAACCAGAAGGAACACCTAAAATACCTATTAGCAGAGCGATGAGACATCTTCAACATCTTACAGAATCAGGACACGAAATAATACCTGATGAAGATAAACCTAAACTCAAGTACAATATTGAAGACGAGCCAATTGAATGGACAATTGACTCTCAATTTACTTCGAGGTACTCTTTCATATCAGAAGTTTATAGAGGACAGTTTTCAATGGTAGTAAAAGGAGCTGAAAAAGAAACAGACAAATTAGTTGTAGCTAAAATTTTGGATGCTAGTGCAGAACGACAAGAATTTGTTGGTCAAGAATTCCAAGCATTACGATCACTGAGACATGAAAGAATAGCTCTTTTGGATGCAGCTTATTGGGCTTCTGGATCTCCTGTGGCTGTTTTTATTCTTGAAAAACTTCAGGGTTCAGATGTACTTACTTACCTAGCTAGTCGACCAGAATATACTGAAAACTGTGTAGCTACAATAATCACAGAAGTCTTAGATGCATTACAATATCTTCACTGGCGTGGCTACTGTCATTTAGATATTCAACCAGACAATGTTGTTATGGCTTCATTGCGATCAGCACATGTTAAATTAGTAGACTTTGGCTCAGCTCACAAAGTGTCCAAATTAGGTACTGAAGTACCTCAAAAGCTTGGCCATCATGAATATAGAGCTCCAGAAGTTCTAAATGAAGAATTGTCATATCCCCAAACAGACATTTGGAGTCTTGCTGTTTTAACGTATGTTCTTCTTTCTGGTGTGTCACCATTTAGAGGGAATGATGACAATGAAACGAGACAAAATATATCATTTGTAAGATACAGGTTTGAATATTTATACAAAGAAATCAGCCATGAAGCTACCAGATTCCTTATGTTATTATTCAAGAGAACACCTAGGTAAGAATATGTTCAGTAAAATGAAAAAAATTAATTTGTACATGATAAGTGAATAATTGTTTCTTTCTTTCAGCAAACGACCCACAGCAGAAGAATGTCATGAACATAGATGGCTTCTACCCACAGAATTCATGATTAAAAAACGGGAAAGAGCGTCATTCCCTGGTAGCAGATTACAAGCTTACAATCAAGAATATCATGAAGAAAAGGCTAAATTAGCTGCAAAGAATGACAATTTATTGCAGGCATTTGGAAATATTCGACAACTTAATCGATCATACAGTACTCAAGATGAATTAATTACATCTATCGACACTAATATTGATAATGCAGAATAATTTCTTTAAATAAGTTGGTCATTGAAAATCTTTACGTATTGCATAATTTTTTCAATTTATCAACAACATCAATATGCATCAATGATAGATATATTCAGTTATTGAATTGAAAATGCACGAATTTATATTTTTTTTGTTAATGTACTCATTTGTTGAAAATTTTAATTTCTTCAAAGTATTAAGTTAAGATGATGTACGTTATTGTCTATTTCGTATTTATTTAAAACCGAACTTTGTTAACTTAATATTATTTGAAAAATTTGTCACTCAGATGTTAGATCATAATGACAATAACAATTAAAAAAAATGACTGTGAAATTAAATGGAGATGATTTATATAATCTACATATAATCTATATACTATTGAAATATTTTCTTTATTTACAAATGTTTTGGGAGTTACAGAATTTGTGAAAAAAAAATAAAGCAAATGTATATATTTAATGTTTTGAATATTTTCTTGTTATACATAACATGAGCATTGAAAAATAGAAAATAAAGGAAGAAAAATTTTATTTAATTGTTATAATTTTAAGTAGATACGTGTAAGAAGACTAGTAGCAAAATATTCTATATAAAATAAAGTAATTTGCGCGGTTTTTAGAAAGTGTAATTTTTTAATTTTCAAGTACGATTGTAATGAAAATGCATCGATCGACAATTAATTGTACAGTTCAATTCTTGAGAGACAGCACAAAAAAATTTTATCTTGAATCATCTTTTCGCATACTGCGTTACATATTCGTGTACTTTACTTCTAAATAATTCTTTATCCTTCAAGAATAATTCAGCTGCGTCTCTATTTAAAGGATCATCAAAATTCAAAAGATCCTGTTATGAAAATATACATTTAATTTTGACTTGAAATAACATACTATTTATATCAGAATTATCTTTTCATACTTACAGTAAAAAGTGAATTCAAACCCCACACAATATCTTTAAGTTTTCGTGTTGGAGCCCATCCCATACCATCAATACTGCTCTGTCTCAAAATGGATAAACATACTTCTCCATCTAAATTAATATTTGGATGCCAAAGTTTTGTCAAACATTTTACTTTGGGTGGCTAAAGAATATGTAAATAATTAGACTATAACATATTAAATTGAATGTGTTGACAAAAAAAGATTTAATACCGTCATATTGTACTCTTCTGGTATATGAATATTAAAGTAAAATTTTCCTCCTAACCAATAGCTTTCATCAGGTACAATAATTAGTGTAAATTCATGCAAACGATGAGGATCATCAAATTGGACTTGACAAGTACTTGGAAGTGTTTGCTCCATTTCTTGGACCTAAAAAAATTGTATCTTATCAGTATATCAGTCGAAATAACATTGAATAATTGAAGAAATAATAGATATTAATATTTACCTCTTTTACTAGTAATTTATCTCGAATAGAAACTCTTCTATACTCTCGGTTTGTTGAATGAGGTTCTTCTCCATTTTTCTTTAATTTCCCTTTTAGTGTAATCATTTTGTTCAATTTTTTATTTAAACAAAAATCATAATATCACAAATACAACCCGTTACTTGTACACTATTCTTGAATAGAAAAATAATGAATGAATTTGTTCAGTTTAAGGTTAACTTGACGAAATGCCACCAATAAAATTCTATTGAAACTAAAATTTATATAATCATCTGTACAGGAATTAGATAAATCAATTTTCACTTGTACAATTTAATAATAACATCAACAAACAAACACATTAATGTTGTTTGTTTTGCATAAGTTACATTTAATGTTTATTACTTGGAGACTATCAACAAGATCAACGACAGCTTTCTGTGTAATATCTAGTAGTAAATTTCTTGTTTAACTCGGAATTATTCGTTAATTATGTGATACTATAAATTATTTTTGCATTTGAAAACAGGGATATAAAATCACTGAATTCTAAGAAAAAAACGTTACTGTTATTACACGTTAGAGGAGCCGTGATAACAATCAAAATGATGATTACCAAGGATGTAATTTAGAATGTTTGATCATTTGTACTTTTTTATTCAAAAAATATATATTTATATTCTTGAAAATCACATAATGAATAATCAATGGATTGATAAATAATTAATCAAACTGTCAATCACTGTAAATATACGACAAAAATAAAAAATAATTTTTAATTTTCTGTTAGTGCCAAAATGCTTCAGTTTAGCGTCCAGTACATAGCATCACCAACGGAGTCTTTTAAAATTACTTATCAAAAATATTGGTTGATAAAATTGAGTCTAATTACTCTTTTATCACCGGAAGATAAAAAATTGCTAGTCGATAAATTATTTCAAGCGCCAGTGGTTTTCATTCTTGAACGATTCAAGTTTAAATATCCATCGACACGATTAAATATTTAGATATAGATTAAATTTATCTACTTTTTATTATCAATAAATAAACAAGAACCATTATAATCAGCTAATTGACGCAATTAAGTCAATAAAAGCATAATACTTTTTGGAGTAATTGTAAACTCGGATTTTTTTTAATCAATTTAATAGCACGATACTGATTACAAAGCCCAACCACATTGGGAATTCCTGAATAATATTTTTTTCCAAGTTTAATGATTCATTCATGCAGAAAAAAATGTTGGTGTCTGCGGACGATAGTAGAACGCATTTTCAAGCACATTAAGAGCGAACGAATTGCTTCGTATAGCTAGTCTCGTGTTACGTCTGGACTGGCTCAAGAAACAACATACTACACATCGGGTGATACGTACAAAAATTCATGATTATTTTGTCTGGAATAATAACCACCTGTTGCTTATTAATTTTAATTTTTCCACCATTGGAAGACAATTTTATCGATTTTATATATAAAAAAAAATCATTGTCAATTATCTCGTTATATAAAAAAAAAACATCATGATGATTATTATAAAGTTACTGAAAACATTGCTAATAAAAACACCCGTTGTATAAATAATCGTGCTTATAGTAATCACCTTATTACCATTGTATAATGTAAACATTAGGTAGCAATGTGTAAACTGTCATTATTATTAACTCAGAAGTGTAATGGGAGATTCAAGAAGGTGCAGGAAGGAGAAAAAATATACTGACGAGAGAAAAAAGAAAAAAAAAAAGAATGTAAATGTAAAATAAAACAAAAATGAAAAAAAGATACAAAAACACAACACAATGGAGCGGCTTGTCGCAACAATATTTTGCCCTGACTCGTTTAAACAGCGATTAGATCGAGTCGTGAGGATCGTCGCTGCAATTTATTCTACTCCCCTGTGTATGCAGTGCGCTCTCGATTCTTCGAGAAACCAATAAAATCCGGACGTTTCGGTCACTCTGTTCTCATCACTTTCTTTGTTTTTTACATGTTAAGACATGAATACATACATAATCTTTGTTCTACACAATCTAATTTTATTTTTTAGCATTTCTCTTTTTGTTTATCTTACAGATGATATTTTTTTTTTCACCACATATGAAGAGTGTGAAACTACAAATGCTTATAGTTGTAATGGAGGCGACTTAAACAATTAGTAAAGAAATTAGTCACGGGCCGTGGGCAAGTCCAAACGTGAAATTCGAGGTCCATTAATAAAAGAATCCCATTCATAACCACCTTGAGAGTCATAAATCTCTCGCCTCATCACCGCACCTCTAAAACTTCCCTTTTTCTACAAAATTCCATCTACATGTGAGACACATCATCGTGCGGTACCTTTAAACTTAAATAGATGAATAAGGTTGGGAAAAAATATTAACCCAAATACAATTGAAAATGAAAAGCTGTAATATGTCTTTTCCTCGAAACCACCAAATAATAAGTTTATTGATTATTTATATTCTAAATTAACCGTCGATTCTTATTAACCATTTTGATGATGAATCCGCCCTCGCACCCTCATTCTTCTTCTCAGTAAAGATGCAATCCGCACACCCCGTTAAGTCTCTCGAAGATGGAGAAGAAGAATATCGTGAGAGCTCAAAGGGTAAAGAGAGTGAATGCCTGAGAGAGTTAAGGATAAGGTGAAACAAACGAGAGCAAGAGAATAAAAGCTATTGGACTCCATCTGAGTAACTCAGGGGTCCGAGGGGATAGAGGAGAGAGCGACATTCCAGAAGGCGGCGGCGGTGGTTCTCGTGGGAAACCAAAAGAGTGAGAGAGTAAAGAAGGATCGAACACTCTCTTGTTGAGAGTCTGGCTCTCCTCTTGTATCGAGCTTCGTTCTTCCTCCGCAATTCTAGCTCGTGATTTCGCTTCTACTCTCTAATAGTTTGCAACATCCCAAATTATCTGGACTACTTCAAGATATTATGTCGTTGAATACTTAGCATCTCCCAATAGTATTCTTATCAAATGAATGTCAAATTTTTTTCCTTCATCCTTTAAAAAGCTTATGTCTATTACCTGTGAAATAAAATTAGATGATGATTGTTTAAATTTGAATGTTGAATAAAGATTATACGCTTAAAATAATTCTCAACTAGTCAAACATAAAAGAAAAAGTCTATATACCTCAAGAACTCCAGTAGAATCTGCGCAGCAATGAAATTCCCTGCATCGTCTCGACTTTACGACTTTCACGCCAAGATCGCACAATTAATCCGACACGTTATTAGCTACGGTTCCGGACGTGTGACGCATTCGTGCGTACGACTATACGTAGTATGTCTTTTATATTCTTCCTCTTTTACAAAGATTCAATGCATTTCGCGTGTTTAAACTTGATTCTACCAGCAACCGTTTTACCATACGTTATTTCAACGACGAACAAGCAATATATGAATCATTATCATTCTCATAAATAAAAAGTCTTATGTCAATGATAAATAAAACTTAATACGATGTAATTCCGGTTTTCATTTCATACTATAACATATACTCTGATAAATTTGCGTGTGAATATTACTGTTAAAGAAGCTTCATAATTGATCAAGACTTTAATTTATTATTCAAGAATAAATGGAGTTGAATTCATTAAAGTTACTCCAAAAATTCAATCTTATTAGACAAGTTATTATCTAGTATTCATTACCTAATGATATTATATATTTTTTAAAACAATATCAATTACTACTAGTAGTTGATGGTTAAATTTATCTCTACACTATGTACTTAAGGAGACTATCATGCTAACAACAGTATCTAAATGAGTATTTACATTGAAAATTCAAGACACTGAAGAAGTTTAAACATTTAGCTGATTAGAAAAAATACTTTTTCTATTCTTTTGGTAGTAATATTACTAATATCTATTGTTAATACATTTCTAAAAGAATTGTAATTTATTTGTGATATTCCTTTTTATGTTAAAAAATATTTTTTTTTTAGTAATATGATTATTATCATTTTATAGAAATCTGCTCATAGCATACGATATTACTAAAATATTTCTTTTAATATTTATAATAAAAAAGATTATTTGCCATTGCATCATGTAGCATCATCACCAACATTGCTTTTATTATTTTAATTCAAAAAATAATTTTCCTTACATTTTTTTCAATGTGATTCAATCAATTTCAAACTTGACGTTGAATCTGAAAACTAAAGAATATTTAATTGTTTTTTTTTTTCATAGTTTAAACAATTTGTTCATTTTTAAAATAATGTTATTCTATTGGTTAAGTTACCTTAGGATATGTTAGAAAATTTTCTTAATTTTAAAAAGAGCTTTTTGCAAATTTTAAATTTTATTTATATACACTCTTGATATGTTGTCTTTTTCTTAACATCCAATGCATCGAGCCCAGCGTGTAATTCGAGTGTCAACGTATAAAACCCAAGCTCGAAACCGTCAGGCGTGAGGATTCTTACCCTCTTATCGCATGCAGAGCCGCTTTCTCACGTGATCAGACCCGAGATCTTCTTCCCCTTGGCCTCTCGACTCTCCGCATCTTTACATCCATCGAGACTCCTGATTTTAACTTGGAGAATTCGTCGGCATTGGCTTTTATAAGTTGCTTTTTCAGCAAATATATACTTTTTAGATTCAAAAATATCGATGAAACTATTTGGTCGATAATCACATATATCTGTAACAGATGATTATATTGATGAATCGCAAAAATGAAAAAATAATTCTTTTTTAAACTAAAAGAACGGTAAGTTATCTTTTTTGATGAATTTGTCCCTTCAGACAACACACAGAATATGAGTGAAAGAGAAAGAGGCAGTGAGAACTGAGAAGGAAGAGGTAAATTCAAGATGGGAAACACAGAGTGAAGAAGGTGGAGAGTTAATTGAATCTGAGCAGCGTATAAGTGGAATGGCCTATTCCTTTAGCTCTCCAAAACTTTATAGTTCTTTTTCTTCATATATATACCATATATTGTTCCTCTTTTCCTGTGCCTTTCTCTTCTCCCTCTGGCTCTCTCTTTGCGGTACATGGTGGAGAGAATGGACTAGGGAGGATCGCGGGAGTCAAGGTGGATGTTGCGAATCGAGCACAAGGAGCTATCATACAAAGTGGAGAAAGAAGAGACCATTCCTTTGTCTCTGCGTGTAAAGGACTTATAGATCATACTAAACCGTTTATGTGTAGTTGTGATTGACTTTGTGATTTATAAAAACATCTATAAATTCTTCCAAGTTGTAGCTAATTTTTTTTTTTGTATTCCGAATAAACATTAGAATTTGATGGTAACAGTGCCATCAAACATCATCGAAACAAGATTCAGTGTCTCGTTATTTGCGTACCCGAAAATAGCTGGTTCTGTTTCCCAGAGGGACAACGATGTGAGCGAGCGTGCGGGAGAGAGAATGTCGAATGTAGTGTGTGCGGAGAGCGTATAACCGCAAAACCAGTTCGCTTGGTGAGTAAACAAAAAACGAGGAGAAACGAACGACGTGCGCGCTGGACCTGTGTGATGCAGCGCGTAGAAAGCGCGTTGAACATGAGACGTTTTGTGCATAGTCTCTATTCTCTTGATGATTTTCTATACTTTGTTGACGAATCGATTGCCTCCTGTATGGTATCTGTTTCCAGAAACATCCTAGTAATTTTTTCCTGAAATAGAAAACGTTTGTTAGAAGTTTGAAGATATGCATGGTGACTAGTAAATTTTCTATTTTAAACATTATAAACGGTTGATTGGCGTAAAAAAAAAAAGGAAGAGAGTATTTTATGTAGGAAAAAGTTAAAAACAGCTGGGTGGAAGCTCATTATTTGATCTCAAGTATGTAATGACGTTGCATATGACATGCAATAAAATGTCGTGGTTAGCTGTAGTGTTTTATATATGCAACGATTAACTCTTATGTGATGGCACTACTATCAGTAGTAGAATAAGCATATGTAGAGGTATTAGTACACATGTATGGATACAGAATGTATATAAAGTCTGATGCGGCGTTAAAGTGAAATTGAAAAAAAGAACCGCAAAATGAAGAGAAACGATAATGACGATAAGTCTTGCCGACTGAAGAGGATAAGAGAAAAAAAAGAAGCGCCACGAAATTTTTACAACCGTGAAATACCGGAAATTCGATCCGGGGCCTGATTGGAGAAAACAAAACTTATGATACGTGCCACTCGTGCCGACAGAAGAATAAAGATAAAAAAATGAAAGGTATTCGATAAGGTACGCGTCATAGTGGAAAAGTGAATGAGCATATTAGAGTGACGAACACACTAGTCTCTTATAATGAGACGAGTGAGAGAACTAGGTGTAGGGAGAGCCCGTCCTCCCCTTAATTGACAAATTGGAATCTTATTAGAAGCTCGTGATGCTGTAGGGGCTCACAGGTCCAGGCGGGTTCGTGTCAAGGCGACGGAAATGGAGGGAGAAGTATAAGCGAGAGACCTGTCGCTTTCTCTCACTCTGTTTCTCACTCACCTGCAGTCAACTTTCTTTCTCTTTCACCAAGGTACAAGGTGGCCAGTAGTGGGGAATAATACCAAGATCCCCGACACTAACAGGTTGTAGAGTGGCTCGCGAGCAAAGCTACCACGAGAAGTATTTTAGTCTTGCTGGCAGGCCGGCCGGTAAGCGAATGCCACCCAGGAAGCATTCGCGCGTGCGCGATCTGTGTGGCCTCGGCTAAGATCGACCACCAGGACGAACCGATCATACTCGAATATCTACGTAAACACCCGAGTATTCCCGAACGGGACATGTGCTTGACCACCCGGTAGAGCGCGCGCGTGCCGCGTCCTGTGTGGTCTGCTCCTGAGCTCTGCTTCTGAGCTCTGCTTCTGAGACCTGCTCAGCTACGCGCACGTTCACTATACCCTCTTTTCTTCACTCGCTCTTCTTCTTTACCACGTTGTTCTTTCTTTCGCATTCTTTTTCTTTCTCCTCTATCTTATTCTCTCATTCGTACTCTTGCCACGACCACGTGTTAACTTACGAGTCATGGATCCCTTCACCCCTTATCTTACATTTCTCTTCTTTATTTCTGCATGTGTCGGGTACTCGGATTAATAAGCTGAGTGTCGGGAATTACGATTTGCATGATTACAGACAACGATGTATGTGTCGAGTTACACATCAAGGCGAAATATATATCCTTCATTTGCGTATATTCGCTCATACACACTGGAGATTGAAAAAAAAAAATTTTTTTTTAAATCAAGTGCATGAAAAAAACAATAATAAGTAAAAGAGCATGTGTGAGACCGCGGAATGAGGTTTGCGCGATGATTGGCCCGGGCCATAAACTGTATTTTTGCATGTAAAATGTAAATGGCTCCTCGTGCCGCAGAGAGAACCAAGTTCAAAGAGCCGCCAGTTGTTAAAGAGCCTACTCGATCTCTCGTTCGAACGATCTTCTTTCTTTTTTACTCTCTTCAAGTTCATGTATACACGCATACATATAGAAATTTCTAAATGGACATAAAATACTCTTCAAGTATATTGCAAATGTTTATTGAAAATTAAAATAAATTAAACAATAAAAAAAGAAGATGCATTTTCTTCTTTTCTCCTTTCTTTTTGTTTTTTAAATTAATAATATCAATATTTAATAGTAAAAGTTTTACCTCAAAAGTGTTTAAAATGTAAATTAATAATTCATGACTCAGTATTTGATGTTCTTCTAAAAGGAGGGATATCACTTTTCGTGTAACCATTGAGGTCTAAAGATCTCAAAACGATCTTTGTCCACCTCATTCTTAAACACCGGCTGTCTATATACCTATCTCATCTGACGGTGGCATGCAGCGCTAAATCTATTTCATATATTTCAAACCTTTTCTAGACCTTTCACAATATTTGGCTTCGGCATCCTGCGAGAACAGACGCCGCCGCCGACGACGATGTGGTCGGTCTTCTACCGATTGGATGGCGAAGGCTTTGAATCTTCACAGTGATGGATGATAGGTAGCCTCTATATGCTCCACGTACGGTGCTGGTGTATTTCTTCATGGACCGTCGACACCAGGAACGTGATCGGTGTACTTCTGAAAGTTTAAAAATAGATGAAATAAAGAAACCAAGAGGAATATTTTTGATGTGAAAATAGAGTGAAAGAGTTGGTGATATAGATGATAAATGAATCAAGAATGAAGGAAAAGTCTAAAAAAGTTAGATATCAATGGAGACGATAGATAGAAGGAAGAAGGAAGAAAGCACCCAATTGGTACCCGTTAAAGAGCCATACCTGAAGAACCCAGAAGAGAGTCCCGGGCCCATTCCACCGTGTTCGTGCAGGTATATAAATTCTGGTGCTATTATTGGGGTTTGTGCCTTCTCACAGGACCCCTCTGGGCCCCCATGTCGGTCTCTTTGAGACCACTCTTTCCGCCTCTCTCCGCCAGTTTGACTTTCCTCTTTCCTCCCGTAGCATGGTTTGCCGCTACTTCTGCTGGTGTGTGCGCTCAGAGCTGCTGTTGTACGTCGATGTTCGTCTCTCAGTCGCTTCTACCGCCGTCTCTTCCAATGCCGCCGCCTTGTTTGTTTTCCCTCACATCCGCGCGTTTGCTAAACGCACCTCAAATTACGTGGCCAATGATAAATATTTGAGTCGTCCATTATGCTTTCGTGCGTTACCAGTCTCTCGACGCCGTCACTGGTCATCATCATATGGGTGTGTGGATGAGATTGAACCCCCTACTTGAATCGAGTTACCTGCAATCTTCAAGATCCTTAGCAATCTCCGTTACATTTATATTGTTGTTTTTGTTTTGTTATCTTGAGCCATTTAAAGTCAAGTTATAAAAGCTCATTTTCAGGCTATTGATCTTTTTATAATACCTTTAGAATGAATAAATTCTTATTAGTCAAGGTAAATTGTCTGCAAGTAAATTTCATAACAAGAGCTTTCTACCTTGTAACAATATCAATATATGTATTCATATATTTTATATACTTTTTTAGTGGATAATTGAATATAAGGTGATTTGCATATTATGTTATAAGCTCATCATCATTTATGACGAGATTATGGATGATTCAAGAATCAATTCAGAAAAGTCATCTTATTACCATTCAAGATCACTTGAGAAATTGATAAAAATTCAATCGATAACAGTTTCATATACGCGCATAGATATTACTACTATCATACATTGTATAGTATTACAAATATAGCTGATCAGGATAAGAATGGAATTGTAACACCAAGATAAGACTTGATTATCAGCCAAGTAGGAACACCAATTTGCGTCAACGACCCGCACAATACTTTGACAGTCTTGCTATACTACAAGGGAGTATCTTATCTTGATGTACTAACTGGGAGTAAAAGAGCGCGTGACAGAAGCGAAAATGGTAAGTTTATATCAGTCGTCAGTCGTATGTCTTCACGGCCAGTCGAGGGAAGTTCTTCATCGGCCAAGTTTTTCATTATTCAACTTGATCAATAACAAGCGAGTATTTGTGATTGAAACTCTGCAGTCATTTCTATCAGGTTGCATTGAAAGAACCTTTAGTGTGCGAGTAAGAATAGGAAGACCGGACGTGAAGGAAGGACCAGAGCGTGAGCAAGAAGAAACAAGTCGACGCACACGCGAGGTCGAAAGCAACTCAAGAGTAGGGATCGAGAGGATCCAGAGGAAGGGAATGAGCGAGAGGAGTTGAAGGAAGCAAAGAAGGGTGATTTCGCGAGTGTCAGAGTGAAAGAGAGCAGCTCGTGGAGCTTTCCTCTAGGGTCCTCGCACCTGTCCTCGTTTAGTTGGACCACCGGACACGCCTACGACCAATCCACGAGCACCCTCAAACATGACGTCACCGGTCCTAGAAGCTGGTGGGAGACCGCGAGACTGATCACAGTTGCGGGGACCACTAGGAAGCGCGGGTGGGGATTCTAGGCCCAGCCTGGCTCGGCCCGGTCTAAGCTTATGCTTTGAGTTTGCTGTCCAAACGTGATTGCTGTCTGCCAAAGCGTGCATTTCCCACCACCAGTCCGTGAGGAAAACGTCAATTGTATTTATATGTCGTGTTCGACCGGTATATCTACGTCAATTATTATCGTCATAATTATTATCTAATAATCGCGTAAACAGTGATTGGTGGGGTGACAGTTAATTGTTTTAAGGGTGATGTGGTGATGTTGTCAGGAGGGGTAATTTTCGTGACTACAATTACAAGTGTTATTAACCGGAAGTGTATTATTATTCGTCGTTGAAGATACGAGAGAGAGTGTTGAATGTTTGATACATCGGGGTGTGATGCCCTGGTTATGGTTAGTCGTGAGTGAGGCTAGAGGCAAAAGGTTGTCGTTTTCGACACCTTGGAGTTCATATCAATTGAGTCAACTTTGTCGTTGGCCGAAAGTGGTAACCGCACCCACGTGATTATGGTGCACCAAAGAGGCTCGGCGCGGCCGGTCTCATACCTGCGGCAACATCATCAACGAAAAAGGCCACCACCAAGAATACTCCTTGTTATCTTGCTAACTCTTTGGCTGCCGGCGCTAGATACTCCCGGTGTTTTAGCTTGTGGTCCTGGAAGGGGTGGCGGACGGCGGCCTATTTTACGAAAGCTCACACCCCTTGTTTTTAAACAACACGTGCCTAATGTTAGTGAAAATACTTTACCTGCTAGTGGACTCCCTGAGGGTCGTGTGTCACGACACGATTCCAGGTTCAGAAATCTGGTACCTAATTACAATGCTGACATTATCTTCAAAGATGAAGAAGGGACCGGAGCCGACAGACTCATGACCCAGGTGATGAATCCATTTCACTCAATGATTCACTCTTTAAAACACACTTTAGTTAACTTATGTGTTTACTGACTTGACTACATCATGAGCAAGATGCGTGGGTTTAAAGCTTATCTGTTTATACTGCCGCTCGTTAGCATTTTATTCATAGTGCATTTATTGCTGTTTATACGTTACTTTGCACCTTGCTCGACTACTGAATTACTAATCTTTTGTATTCCAATTTGTGTAGATTACTTTACAACTCATTCCATCATTAAAAAAAAAATCATTTCAATCCTGTGAAAAATATTTTCATTATTCAAATATCTCATTTTCGTTTGTTTACTTTTATAATGAATTATTTGATCAATATTTTTTTAAATCACTTCAAGTCTTTTCACGTCGTTACAACTATATATTCTAAATGATATTGACACAATAAGAGTATGACAACATGAATTTAATGGGAGGGAAAATTTATCACTCCAAAAGACATAATATAAAACGTGAACTTTAACCATTTGTATGTTTGTAAATTCAAACACTCCTTTAAATCTTATTTCACTTAACATTTAATTTCCTTTCTTTCACAATCACCTAAACACTTTTATTAAACATTAAACACATTACTCATAAGATCATATATATGATACCATAACAACAAACAGTTGGAAGAAAAACTTACACGCTCTAAGTGATTGTGGGTAGGTTTATGACAGCTATAACTAGTGTTTAATTTGGCACATTAAAAATGCACCAATTACAGCTAATAAAATTTTGATGATTTATCTTTTCCATTATGCTCCCTTATAAGACGATTTTTATACATTTTTAGAAATAATCTTTGACAGATTACCTTTTTTACTCTATTAAATGTATCTTCTCAAAATGATTTCTAAGTTTTTTTTGTTATTAAATTCTATTTATTATCTTGAAATTATTTTTCAAAAAATCAACTATTTTTTTTTTATCTTAAAGCATAGACAAAAAAGTAAAATTTATTAGATTTGATTATCTTATTACTTACTCTTGTCTTATGGAATTTAAATTTTATTTCCAACATTTTCTCTTTTTTCGTCGCCGACGGCGTTTTAAATCGCGAGATATGCTTTTCTATCTTCTTTACCAGTACAATAAAGATCTTAAGAAACAGGTGCGGCTTGAAATAAAATCAGTGAACAGACACATTACTATAGAAAGTAATTTCCTTTAATTTTTCATCTTTGTTCTTATTTTCAATAATTCAATAATTTATCGATTAAATTTATTACTTTCCTGAAAAAAAAATAAATAAATAAAATAGATGTAAATAGTAAACAAAACAATTATATGTATTTAAGGTATTCAATTTAACATTTTTTATACTTACATTAACATTAGAAAGATCCCATACTTATGCATAAGAATACTTGGAATATATTAGTTGTCATCGTCACTTTTTACGTCAATCATTCTAGAGTACTACTTGACTCTCTCTTTTTTATTTTTATATATCAGGTTGACTTTTAAAATCGTTGACAAATTGATTAACATTCATCGGAAATAAAATCAAAGATTCGTCCTGATGGTGTTATTGAGCAAATATGTGTAGTTTTAACAGCAAATTTTGATTGAGAAAATATTTTAACTTAATGCTTTGTCAAATTGTCTATGAGGATAAAGTAAAGAGACAGACACGTTTTAGAGTAATATTCTCGGTAAACAAACCCAGAAACAATATTTACAGGATCTCTTGGCGACCTGTCTCATCTTTAGGAAATATATGTTCCTAGAAAATGACTATATCAACGTGTATACATTCTCCTTTTCCATGTAATTTTAAGTTAAGTAGACTTCTCGAAATAATAATTATAATATTCATCTATATTTTCCTTGTGTATACTTGGATGATTTAAAAGTGTACTCATGTCAATTTAAAAAATCATTTTAGTAAATAACAGATGTTTAAAAAATGGACTGTGATATCATCACTTCCTGTAATACGTATGAGTTACGTTTAATAAAAGTGAAAATAAGAAAATAAGGTGGAAAATATTGAGAGGGGAAATAAAAAAAAGGGAAGAGTACGATGAAGCCACTCATCTTTCCAAGGACTATAAAGCATCAGGTTCTCGCCTGACGACTCGACGACTCTAGAATGACGTCAGTGACTCCTTTGTCTTGAAGGAGGGTCCCGATCGATGCCCCATCGATGACTTTTTTTATAACAGGGATATCTTATACCTTATAATACACAGTATAAGTGACTAGACATGGAAGAGAAGTCGAGACAAGATGAATTGTATCCCATATAGCAAAGGTACGATAACGAGATGGCGATTGGTGTCATCGACTGGTGCTTTTGTCTTATTTCTTTTACTCTGATATTCTTATTCCCTCGTTCTTTCTCGAGGTCGTAAGCGCACACACGGTATTACGTGTTGCCACGTGCGACTATCGAGTTTCCTTGCGTGATGCGTGCAGCACACCCAAGTCACTTGCAAGACGATTGCTGGTCACTCGATCAATTTATTCCACTTATTTAGATATTGACATCACTTACAGACTTCTGAAACACATTAATAATTTTAATGATGTTCTTATCTTTCATGTATCCATAAAGAAAAACCAATTTAAACTTACGAATTCTTATTGCAATTATTTCCTCGTTGATTATCATAATGAACACTTTAGCGATAAGCTCAATAAGTATATTCTCATTTATTTTCATTTTTTATCAAGAAAATACTGATAGTTTATAAGATAATTTTGCTAAAGATTATTTTTATTTGATTTCAAAATTTTACATCCATAAAAATGTTCTCTTTCTATATCGATAGTTGACTTCTTTGTCTGGATGATACTGGATATCTCGACTTATGATGTATAGAGCAAATTATGCAGAACCTTGGAATGAAAATTGTACGTTTTCTATTGTTGTATAATTTTTAAAAAATTAAGTGGAATTTGGTGAAGCTATCGCGTGCTTTGCAAAGTGTGCAAAAACCAAGGCGTTGGAGGCCGAAGACGTGAGTCGAATCACTTGTGAAGGGTAAAGAAAGAGAGAAACAGCTCGAATGTCAGAGTTACTTATGGTCAGCTGTCCGTGGCGTGTTACTAATGAGCGGGGGATTAACGCTGTTGGGCCTCTGTAGTAGATGTTGAACCCCCGTACGATCACCAGGGAGTATCGTCCATGTATTTTGCTTCTTCAGAGTATTCTCTATCTCTTGTACGTTTTACAATCATATACGTCCGTTATTCAGTAGGTAATTCATCAGTCATCACATGTCATACCTTTACAATGTTCTGACTCCATTACACAGTTCTCCACCTTGTCACATTTATTCTTAGATTATTTTTTTACAATATAACTCGATCACGCCTGTGAGAATTGATTTAAATTGGTTGAATGAACGATGAGGAATGAGGTCTGCTAATGATTTTTCAAGGAGTCCTTTTGAGTGACGTCCATAAGAAGCAGGTATATTAAAACGAGTGGCAATATAGTTGATCGTCCTCCCTTTGTCTATAGAATTTCTCTTCACCATGCCGCCGCTAATTAAGGCCGCTCAAGAGGGATGGCCGTTCGAGTTTTTAGGGCGAAAACGGTTTTACACCGCGTTAGGATCCAAACTAGTTATCTGCGCCTTCATTCTCTCCGCTTCTCCTTGCTTTTATCTTTTCTCTATTCTTTTTATTATTCACTTGCGTTCTTTTTTGTCCTTCCCTTAAGACAATTTTTTGCCTCTTCATTTTGTCTCCATCATCAAAAAAATATCTTACACCACGTTATACTAAATTTCCCGAGGCTGTGCACGCAGTGATACGTGCATGAAGATGGAAACCGCAAGGCCAGGGGTCCCTATCTACTTTGGCATTTCTCTCTTGCAAAGCTTCGATTATGCGAGAACTGAAGAAGAAGGCAGAAGAGAAATGTAATCTGGTTGGTTGAGACTCATCGAGAAAAAGGATGAAGGAAGGGCCGAAGGCCCTATAGCCGCCGCCATAATGCACGGTGAGAAGTGCGCATAAGGTCAAACAGGTCAAAAGAACGTCATGGCCGACCTTTTCTCTTCTTCTTCTTCTTCTTCTGCTTCTTCTTCCTGATGCTCACAGTATATTATATTTCATCTTCGAGCTGCTATCGCATCTTGTGTCCTTTAGCCTCATTTATTCCATAAAGATAGCGAGAATTTTTGAACAAAATATTCCGCTCATTTATTTCCCACGATCAGCTTTTGGGAAGACATACAACTTTTGCTAATAAGTTTTTTATTTATTTCATCGATTAAAAATAGTCGACGAGTTTGCTTTATCATGAGGAATAAATAAAATTGGAAAAAAAAGAAATAACCACTATGAACTAGGGCGACAGGGTTCAGCAAGTGGTTGCTGTCTCTTGTTGTAAAGTGATCTTCGCGACCACTTCCTTCCTCCATAGCCGACGGGATCCAATGACCAGTTTGAGGTCGACAATGACCGACGTGGGAAAGGAACGTCACTGATGATTCTTAATTTTTTTCTTTTTTCACTGTGTACTATTTTTTCTCTCACTCTTATACATATTATCCTTTACCCTTATGTATCAATAATTTTCTCCCTTCTATTATTATTCAGGGTTCATATTATCTTGTGCTCTGTACTTTCTTCTTCTCTTGTCCTGACTCTTGTCCAAACACAGTAACTCACGTTGAAGAATTTATAGGTTTGCTTCAGAGTCCGTTGTCTTTTACGCACATATGTCATGACAAACATTATCTCTTTACACTGAGCCTAATGTCAATGAATAGAATTTAAACTGTCAAAGAGAAAGAAAATTTTATCATCAAATACTATAACCGTTTCCTTTTGTAAATTAATTTTTAAACAAATTAATAATTATCAAAAATGTTAACTTACTTCAAAATCATAGATATGAACATATCCTGTTCCAATATCCATCAGAATACTTAGTACTCCAAGTTGTATTAAAAATAACTTGCATGAAAAATTTGTTTCTTCGCTACTTAAATACAACTGCAGATTCTAAGTTGATATAAATAAATAACTGTATAATTCATGTGGCGACATTCCATTGTGCATTGTCCTGTAGCCAGAGTGTAGGTACAGAGCAAGCCTCGTTAATGCATCACATTCAAAGTAATGCACCCCAGTTTCTCTTTGGCAAAGTAACTAAATCACGATCAAGTTGGTAAGATATATTAAAAATATCAATCTTTCATAATTATAGAAATAGTATGGAGTATGATTCATACGGAAATAAATTATTGCTCCGTTATAGTCGTGGTGACTGTCTGAAAAAAATCCAAGGAAAATAGTATATTTTGCAATGAATATTCCAAGGATACTTTTATTCAAATAAATTCAATTAATTTCCATAGCACGAGAACAATGGCTTACGTGGCGGTTGTATTGCCGTGAAGATCGATCCTCAGTTGGGGCGTAGGTACAATGGAGGCAGGGCGCCATGCCGGCAGAAGCAGAGGAGAAAACAAGAGAGAGCAAACCTGCTATTCAAGGGGGCAAGTAGTTATATGTATATATATATATATATATAAAAATATATGTGTATACATATATATACTCGAAGCTCTTCTTGAGGGCCAGATGTATTATAGATATGACGCTATATAACCCTTTCACGGCAACCTGAGATTGTTTCTTCTGTAGTAACTCTTTCGCTCCAGTACGTATACAGACAGCTTATTTCTTCTCTTCATACTTGTTGAATCTTTTTACTCAGCATCAACATCAGCTATGTATTAAATACCAATTTAGAAAACCTCGTTACCTTTGAAGAATCTATACATTCATCGGATACATTCTCTAGCCTTGTTTCAGCATTACTTTATTGTTATCTAATTGCAGAGCATTCCAAATGATTTGTTATAATGCCAAGCATTCAAAGTTCTTCTGTTCTGGAATTTTTAATTCATCAAGTTAAGTAAAATGTTCTATTCTTTATATAATAGTCAATAATTCATTTTAAAGGACGAATTTTCTTCAAAAATTTTAATTTATACTTACATCTGGTCCATTTCCAAATCTTGTTTCATCATCATTATGCTATTAAGTAATTGCTGTACATTCCAGCTAATTTGTCATAAAGTTCTGACTTTTGGTGGAGTTAAATTTAATGAAGTTAAGGAAAAAAGATAAATAGTTTTCAAAAATTCTCAACGTTTTCTAAAAACCAAGAGTACTTTTCGGAGTACAAGTGGTCAGTTTACATGCCCATAAGATCCTTGGAATTTGGTCTGAGTTGGTGGTAGTTGCAGCATCAGAGGACTTGTTGACTAAAGAGCTACGATTTGCACGGGGTAAAAAAACCTGGCTGGTAAAGATTCCGTCGTGGCCTTGTTATTTATCGTCCTAATTTAAAACTTCGACGTTAAGTGGACGCGACGGAATGCAGTGAAGACTGAATGTGTATACAGAAGATGTAGAATAAGAAGGAGAACGACGTGAAGGCTAAACCATCGGTATCCTCGCGACGTACCGCGCGTTCTCCGGGCCCACCGAGCACCATAGTAATTAATTTAACTTCTTGCCCCGACTATGGCGGCTGCTAATGGTTTTCTTGTACCTTTGACGTCTTTCGTCGCCTTTCGGACCACCAATTTAGCGATAAGATCCTATATACTTTTTATCTTATAATTTCTCTCTGTCAAGTTATTCTATAAAATAAAAATCACAGAAAAATTATTTAAGCATTTTCAATTCATCTGCCACCTTAATAATAGCAATATTTGTTGTAAATTATTACTTATGTGAGTGTTGATGAGACCCCATATTAGATACTTGCGGCTTACATGTTAAAGACGGCTTGAGAGAAAAGTGCGTGCGGATGAGTACAAACGTAATCGGTTGGTGTTGTTCAGACTGTGGGGCGTTAACAAGCCAGACAAATATCGATCTGAAAGAAAGAAAAAAAAATATATATAGAAAATTTTTAAGAGAAAGAAGAAAAGTGGATGAAATAAATAAATATGAATACATAAAAGAGATAAAAAAATAATATATAGTTGATTTTTTTTCAATACAAAGTGCCAACTTCTTAGTCTTCCTTCTTCTCTTTTATTAAATATCTCATGTTATACACCTTCTCATTCTTCTTTGCGTGTTGCTTCTCTTCTTATTTAAAGTCTCCGAGTTAAAGCCTCCGTTTTGACTTTACTTAGAAGCCGCTCGCAACACTGGAGCAACGACCCGAATGCCTTTTAAATGCCGACACTGATCTCTCTTTGAAGTTGAGCAAATTACCACTTTCAATGTCAATTTATGAAGGATCCTTTTTTCTTATCTCAATGATTTTAAAAATGGCATTCTATCTATTGGCATACAAAAAAATCATCAAATGATGTGAAATAAATATAGATTAAAAGAAAGGAATAAAGGTGATTAAATAAGGGATGAGTGAGAAAAGAAAAGAGAAAAAGATGTAGAGTAGTTTGTAAGTAAACTGGCAAGTTGTTTATTTTAATCGCGCTTCCAAGCGGCCTCTGAGATTGTTTCGTCTCGCGTGGTCGATGTTTAGCTTGCCGTTTAATCGCCGTTAACGAGCGGTTATCGTTCCCGTCAGTAGAAACACGAAGATGCTAACGAGCCGATTGGCCGGAAACTATCTCTGAGCTATCTCACGTTAAGCTTGCATCTTTCGATTTTTTTTTATGCCTTCACCTTGCTCCTGATCTTGTTCACGATCAATTTTCTCTCATCGTCAAATTATCTGTATTACTGATGATAGAAAATCATTTTGTCAGCAGTTCCAGTAATTGAGATGATATCATTGATCAATAAAAATTATTAACATTTGCATGGAGCTTGAAAATTCAAATTATTACAAGTGTTATATAAATTTGTAAATGATAACAAGATAGCACACTCGCTTACCAGATGTTCTCTTATTTTTTTTTTCCTTTTTAATATTATGTGCTGTTTGTATTTATCCAATGCTATCAACTCCATTCCATCGTATTTATTTTAATTTATTTAATATCTCCACCTATCGTGTTGATAAATATTTTATACTTTTTATTAGCTTTCAAGTAATCAATAGTTTCTCACACTGTGGAGGTGGTCAAGCTGCAAAATAGATTTGGGGAAAAAAATATCTAACGGAAATAGTGAGATTAGGAAACATCCAATATCTTATTGATAATTTTACATACTTCCGAATTATTTATCTACTTGATATTTACTCAATTGATAAATGCATCAAAAATATTGTCTAGAATAAAAAGATATCCTTCAGAGTTATAAAAAAAAATTTTTCGTCATCTTCATCAATCTTTTTTGCCTTGTTCATATTTCAATTTATTATCATTTCTTTTAAATGCTTGTTATGAGGTTGAATAGAAAAATATTACATTGTAAAGCTGAAAAAAAGAATGATTCCTAACAAAAAAGAAAAAAAAAATGATTAAAAAAAATGAAAAAGTTATCTGTCCAAATAGTTACATGATAAATCACTGAGTATGTTCTAAAAGCAGTTGAAAGGTGTCGATTAGCTACGGAGTAAACAATTGACAGCAAAATATTACTACGCAATAGAAGAGCCACAATGAGATTACCAGACAACTGACCTGGTCTATACCTTTATTTAATTCGTCCTTCCTTCCGTTTCTTTATTTTTCCTTTGCCATGTCACTTTCTCACTCACTTCAACACTTGATGTTTATGGTAACAGTAGCACCCCGTTGAGAGTTTTTGGAAGCTGTAGAGGAAATACCTCCAACCCGCGACTAATCGACACTTCTGTTAATATTTTGAATGTCTTTTCTAAGTCTCCAACATGTTCCACATACCAACTTGCATATTGCTGCGGATTCTAAATAATTTTAAAAAGAATCTGGTCATTCTAGGGATAGATCCAGGCGTGAATAATCTTCAGTTGGTATATCTAATCGTACAGCACAAATATTTAAAGCCCAGACTGAAAGCTATTTTGCTCGAATTTCCCAATATATGCATCCGACTTTAAAGTCAAGATTTTCTCATTGATTATATATCCACATGTACATATTTTATACACATGTATGTATCGAAACTACTTTAAAAGAATCCTAGATTTTTATCACCAACTGTCGTCTTTTATTCTCTCTCGTTGATTCATGAGGATTTTCATTGTTGTGCTTCTTTTTTAAACGGTTTCAGATAACATCAAAAAATTTTTTGTTGACACATGAAATATATTTACCTTTCATCGAAACACAAATAATCAATTTTATCATTATCTAATTACCACTATAATCATTTCTATCCGACTAACCTTACATTATACGAATACATTTTACGCTTGACATCAAAAGAAAACACATTTGAAATAACATTAAAACGGTTGATCGCTACTTAAACCCATTATGTCTCTTGAAAGAAAAAGCACGTAACATATCTAGAAAATAATTAAATTAATATTCATTACTAATAAATATTTTTTAATACTGAAGTTAATGATCTTACCTGATATTTTAATTCATTTATTTGATTAAATTCGTTGCAAAATCTTCGATGCATTTAAAATTCAAATTCCTATCTAGCTTATTAGTTTGAATATTAATTAATACACTCAAATAATTACCCTGATAGCTAGGAATAATTAATTTGTCATCAATTTAATCTCATACGTTGACGACTTTTATCAACTATCATTATTGGAGTCCATTATGGCTCCAATTAGACGCCATCTATGTGGCGACATTTGTTGAACTAATTTTATGTTTTCAAAACGTTGAAAAATTTTGTTTACATTTTATTCCATCAAATCAACTGTAAATACTAATGCAAAAAATGATTCAAAGCATGAATTCTTATAATAATTTAACTTTGGAGTGAAATTTAAATGTAATGATTTTTGTCAATTATGAATCATCAAATTTATTGGTTAGGGTTTGTTCTCTAACAAAAAAATCCAATTTAAAAAAAAACATCGAGTATCTAGTAAAATTCTTCGAGACAATCGTGAGATCTTAACTTTCAAATCCATTCTCTTCTTGACTTTTTCATTTAAACGTTGAGTAAAACAGAGTGTCTATACGAAGATTCCTCGCTCGCGCGCAATTATGCACGCCGTTTGCCCGTAGAAGAGTGGACCTAACTACCGTGCGACACGCTTGTAGGCAAACAGAGACCCTTATTTCTCTCTTGACCTCCTCTCTTTTTCCATCACCTTTTTCTCCTTTTATTTTTATCATCATTTTATTTTTATTCTCTTTCTCTTCTTTAGCATGATCTTCTCCTCGAGTTTCCAAGTCCCGCTGCGCGATTCTTGCACGCTCAAGAACTTTCCAACACCCGAAATATTTGTGCTTGGCGATTAGTTACGCGCCTGAACTGACTGGATTATTCACGCTCGAGGTTTTAAACAGCATCACATAAATGGATTGTCATTCCTTATATACATACACATATGGATACATAAATCCAAAAATTTTTTCCAAAAATTCCATTCAGGCAAATTCGATTTCTGAAAAATTTCACAAAGAGAATAAATAAAAAACCGTGGAATATGTCCATCATCAAAACCCATTGAAAGGAGCTGCCTCGCAAATGCATTAATATGTAAAATATTTATTTGGAAAAAATAAAAAATTTATAAATAGATTTTTATATTAATGCATTTGAACAGTCAACAGGTCGAAAAACACTTACATTAGGAGTCTCAGTAATATGGAGACGAGGTTGTATTCGTCATCATCGTGTTACGATCCTCGTAAGATTTTACAAGCAGTCATATAACCAAGTCCCCTAGCTTTATTATTGTTGCATCCTTGTCGAAAAATGTATAAGGTTGTCTCACTCTTCAACATTATACCTTGTTTCTTTCTTCTCGTCATTGTGCTATTGCATTATTTCAAAATCTATTTTTGCAGTCTCCATCATCATCATGCTATATAACAAATTGGCTTATAAATTCATCCTAGTTACTTGGGTTTTTAGTAGGAAGGAAGAAACTCATGTCAATAGAAAAAAAAAAATCACTCATCATCCATCAATGTATTCCCATGTCGTTGATCACAATCAAGCTATTATTCAAGCCATTCTCTGTTGATCAGCTAAACCCACATGGGACAATCAAATGTGACCAATGAATTCGTCAACTGTGACAAGAAAATTGAAATATTTTTCATGTTTGCCTGGCATTTATCAAAGAAGTCATTATTTTTCTTGGATACGATAAACAAACAAGTAAATTCGTCATAAAATAAAATATAATAGTTGCATGTGTTTGATAATTTTTTTATGGACTTGAGGTCGAGGGGGTCGAACGAGTTGCGAGGGTAGATGGTGATTCGTGATAGGAGCTACTTAACTTAACCCTTGCATCTTGAGGTCGAGAAAGCAAGTAAGAGAGAGTGTTTCGTGCTCACAAGGACCGGTGAGTCCAGGGGCCACACACCAAGAAAGACTAATAGCCAAGGAGATAACGCTCTTAAACACTTTGCCCGGCCAATGCTTCTTCGCAACTTCTCTTTCCATCTTTCTTTCTCATCTGTGCTCACATTCAACGCAACTTTACTCTTGTCCTTGTCTTTTACCTCATCCTACTCTAGTGGTTTGTGCTTGGACGTGCTACCAAAGAACGATAAGACAGCTTCTCCCAAAACCCGTGGCTTCCACTCACATCCAACCGGTGTGCATTCTGCTGTCTTTTCTTCCTTTTCCTCTTCTTATGGACACTATTCTCATTCACGATATCGGGGAAGATTAATAATCAGGTATCTACTTCAAGTTCTGGTACCCCAGGGAACAAACAACAAGAGGAAGCCAGAGGTTATCAACTAAATCTCTTCCTCTGTCTCTTCTTTTTATTCTTCACGATGATGCTGATGATGATGATCACCATCATCATCATCTGCTTATTTCTCCTCCTGTTTTGCTCCAAGTGGTTTTAAATAATTCTTCAAGTATTGTATCGAAAACATCAGTAGGTAATTTATCCTTTCAGACAAATCTGGGACTTTGATGATCTCCTTCCGGTGATGCGGAAGCCTTGGACTCGAGTTATGAGTCGATTACGAGGGTTTAATGTATGGACTCTTCATCATTTAGTTGACCAGACATTCTTGATAACTCGTGTGGGCAATATAACTTGTTTGGCCACCTTTATTCTACTTCAGTGTTGTGTCTTTTAGTCATCCATACAAATTAATCATCCAACGTAACACTCAAAATTTAATCCAACACCGTTATTTAGATAAAAATTATTACAGTTATAAAAAAATCTAATAAAAATACCTGATTATTAATCATCATAAATTTAAATTATTCCAAACTTCAATAAAAAAAAAACAAACTATTTCTAAAAAGCTAATTACAATAATATTTCTAATTTAAAAACTCCAGATATATAAGCAAAATATTCATGTTTTGTTTCTTTATAACGATAAATGTTTAAAGTTTAAAAAACAAAGTGAATAAAATTTCAATAGAATCATTTATTGATTGTTTAATATCCGCTCAATATTTCAATAATCATGATTCGATAGCCATGTTCATACTCATAACACATAAGAATTCTGTGTCGTTTCTTTTATTTCATACATTATATATTATACAAGATGTTTGGTTCTTTCTCACCTTCATTCAACTCTCCATTTCACTTTTGCGATCTCGAAACAACGATTGCAGCATGGTGATTGATGTATTCATGTAAGTTATACATACATACATCTACAAATGTATTATAGGCAGTTCGATAAGTCTTGTGGTTCCAGAGTAAACTTGATAAGCCTCCCTATAAAAGTGAGACATAATAATACTATAATATTATATCAGAATTCACACAGTACAACTATTTAAAGTCTAAACCAATAACATTGATATATATTTATATGTATGACACTTTTTGTGACATACCATTTAAAATCGAGGTCAACGAATTTTTTTGACAAATGACTCAGCTTTTAAATACATTTATCGATAATATATGATATGATGTATATAATAATCATCAAAAATATCCCAAATTGTATAAATCACAAGTGAAAAAGTTAATAACAAGCATCTTTAACCTTCTGTGATTTTTCAAGTGTTCTTTTTCTCACCTTTAATCTTCTAGTCTTGATCAATTAGCGTTAATTAGCATCACAAGGATATATCTTTGGCACTTCTGATTGATTTACTGAATATATACACCTGAAATATGTGAGCAAAAAAGTCTAGATTAATAATTACATACACATAGTAATTTAAAAGCAGATAAATTTGAATAAAAAAATTTCATCCTTATGCTGTTGGTGCTGCACCTGGATAGATGAGAATAATTTTTTGTTTCAAGTTATTGATAAAAATTCATGTTGTCTGCACCCTGGATACATTCCACTTTAGTTCTTCGGCAAGATTTGGAGGTAGAGGAAAGAGATAAAATCTTTGATCCTTGAACGGCCTCGTGAAAGGTAGAAGAGTTTGGCAAGATGGTACGAAGTAAGGTCTAGAAGTTAGACAAGAGAAAGAGAAGAAGAGCGAGCGTGGGTGGATTGTGTGCGAAGATTCAAGCTAATCTGACCACTTTGGAGGGTCCGAGTCTACCCGGGTAGCCGTGTTTTGCCCAGGGATCGTGTTAAGGGGATTTACATTCATTTTGGATCCTAATAACCCGATCCTTGGATCCCGGAGCGTGATTTGGAACACGATACTCATCGCTCGTGCAACCCTTCACATTCTCTGCACTCAACGAGTTATACTCTCATTTAAAATCTATCATTTCCATACCCTTATGCTTATTTTCTTCCCTTCATTTTACATTCTCCTATCCTAATATCATGTATAATAATAAACGATACATACATTGATTGATCAGCATGATAATCAGTAATGCCTGAAGAATAAAAATAAACAAGATTATGTGATGGCATTGATTAAATCATAAATAGATGTAGTGAAAATAGTAATGTCAAGTGAAACATCAAATTGATATCGACGAGGTGCAGTCAAGTGTATCGACTTTCGCGATCGACCTTGACGAATCGAGTCTTACACGCTCACACCTGCGGCACTTACCACGCTTCGAGTGAGAGAACTGGTCTGCCGGGTGTGTACATTCATGCGAACAGAGAGTCTAGAGTGAAAGAGAGAAGAGTTGGATAAGAGAAAGAGCCAAGGGCGACGAGCCATCATTCGATTTGAGTCGACAGGACGTCATCACCCAAGTCCACCCTACTTGTCCTCATCATCAGTTTCGCGTTCATGACGGGTGCACGCGAGAGAAGGCAAAACAACACGGGCCCTCAGAAGGACATCTGAGAGATGTGTTAAATATATAAAAGTTGATAGAAGTTTGATGAGTAGAGAGAGAGGTAGAAGAATGTGTCTCTTATAGCCGTTAATCCGTTCCCACAGACAAAAGAGGATTCGTGGCATGTCGAGTCTGATATTTCTCATCGCTCTCACTCCTCCCAGGTAATAAGGATGTAACCCGAGACACTGAGACACCTTCTTGGTCTTCCAGGAAAGCTCGTCATCGCCAGAGACACGAGACATTTGGCGAAGGAGACGCTACGCTGAATGAAAAATCGAAGATAACCTTTTTTTTTTTTGCTATCTCCCGTTGTACATCCTGACGTTTGTCCTACAGAGGCTTCTCTTAAATGTCCAACAATAAATCTTATGACATTATACTCGCCCTCGCATGAGATTTATCGTCCCAGTCGTCGTGATTCATTGGCACGACGAGGCGTCAGCCTCGCGGAAAGCTTATGGAAATGATGATTGAGATTGGGAATTAAGAATATCTAGACTTTGGGAATGATATAAATATATAAATATTGATGATGATGAGTGTATATTTAATAAGTTGGAAAAAATATTTACTCACATTGGATGAGAAAAATATCTCCTTGTTTCAGTTGATATTAAAACTATGAAAATGATAAAATATTGAACACCAACTATAAATATCATAGTATATTTTTTTTCGAATCATATTTCTTAGCTGGAGAGACCACAAATTTAAATCTTGACAGCTACACAACGGTACGATTTTTGTTTCAGTGTATGTATGCATAAAAGTACCAACTCGTGAGATAGGTCATCCTTTAGGTCTTCACTTAGACCCTTGATTGTTTTATTTTATTTTTACCTTCACCCAAGTATCCAAGAGCTTGGCAAACACTTGATAGTCGACTACTCACAACTACTGAACGCATCCATTGTTGCTGCGTCATCTTCTTGTTCTCCAGAATCTCATCGCCTGCGTAATCAACAAAATGAATTAATATTCTTGTACATAGTCTCGGTTAAAAATGAAGGTACATGCAAAAATAAATGCTTTCTTGTTGGCTCCTGTTGGTGTGTTTCTGAATGAATCTTAGGAATCAGCTGATGCTGGAAAGAGTGAATGAAGAGAAAGAGTGGAAAAGAAGAAGAGGAAGGAACAAACTGTCCTCAGGATGGTAAATTCAGGATTCAGGGATAGAGAAGAAGTGAGAAAGAAGCCGGAAGAGAGAGGGAATAAGGTGGTTAGAGAAGGGGCAGCGGGGAAAAGATGAAGGCGGGGCTCTGAGATGCCCCGCGAGCACAGATCTTACCCTCTCTCCTTCAGCATCTTTCATCGCTATAACCATGGATCATGGTCTTGACCCAACCCCCTCGCACGCCTGATCCGGCCCACCTTCTTCCAATTTCACATCATCTTCTTTACTACCACGCGATCATCTTCACGCCGGTTCCCTTCAAAAATATATACACCAATTGGTATACATCATTTTGTAACCGAACTGTAATTGGGTTCGAAAAATTCATTTAAAGTAATCGTTTCCGTAAAATATTTCCATCTTATTTATTATCACATGCAGCTACATCCTACCACTAACTTATATGAATATGAATTATTTTATACAACAAAGTCATTCGTTACCTTGTTAATTAATCATCATTATCATGATAATTGCAAGGATTTAAATGATAGCTGATTGAAGAACAATATCCAAGCTAAAATAAATTTATAAACACTAATAGAATTAATACAGCAAATTATTTTTGAAGTGTTTAAATGACTAAATTGAATGGTTGAAGATAATAAGCCCTCGTTGGAGTACCGGACGAGATGTGAAAGAAAAAAAAATGGCGATCGTGCAAGCGAGAAAGGAAGTAATACAGGTTTCATCCTCCGCGACGTACATTATATAGTTGGCGGTCCGATGTAAGCCCACGATAATGCATGGTTAGACTGTATGGCTCGAGTAGGCGTCGTTTGCGATACGTGCATGATTGACACGTTGTAATTAGCTGTAGGCTTTATAGCTGCCCCTTTCTCACTCTCTCAAAACACAACGAGGAAAGAATAAAATTGAAATAAAAATAAATAAATGAAAAAGAAAGATGAAAGAAAGACGATTCTAAAGGATGTTTCATCTTCTCAACATATAAAATGCCATTCCCACATACGAAAGTGCGCGACGGGACTCCCTCTGGGATCTTTCCTCATGAATATATCTTCCTTCTCTTTTTCTATAATCTTACTTTTGCTGTACCCTCCCATTCCCTTATTCTTGTCAAGAGACTTACGAGGAGGTGGACAAGATGAACAAGGACTTACTACGTGTTTTCATTGTCTTCTGCAATGGCGTTGAATCTTCTTCTTCTTCTTCTTCTTCTTGCTTCTAATTCTCTCTTTGATCTCTAAACAATTGGACAATAATCATAATAATGTTTTTACATATTTACTTGTCTTTTTAAACATTTTAACCTACTAATCTTTAATCCTTACCTTCCTTTTTACTTCTGTCTGCTGATCATTTCAATTAACTTCACTTTCGATTGTTCAATGATTTTTTCTCTTTCATCTGATATTTTTTTTAGTCATTGTCAGTACATCTGTAAATGTTAGAGATTGTACAACTCTCAGACAAAATGTTTGTAAATAGATGTAAAGTTTTGGGAGGGGCTTGGTAGACACCCGCTGAGTTACCATGGAACCCCATCGGGAGCAATACGAATCCAGTCGGTTTGTGCCATTCTTTCTTTTCTTTACGAATACTCCGACCTTTTATCTCTCCGTTCACCGTTGTGTTTTGTAGCCAGTCCAAAATAGTATTTAACCGTGTCTTCTTCCTATATTTTTTTTTAAATTTCAATTTTCATGGTATTTGCATTTTTTTTACTCCAAAAAGTTGGATTTCTGCATTCTTTATGGTGAGAAAAGTCTTTGACCTCCAATAGAATTTCCATGACTCTGAAAAAGATATTATTTCTAATAAGAACATATTTTAATAATCAATTTGAATGATGCTTATAATAGACTAAAGTTATGAAATCAGGACATTAATTATCTAGTAAATGTAAACCGTTAAATACAGTGATTGATCAAAGGAGCAGTAGTACTGAAGATTATGTTAATCAGTAGCAATATTTAGCATTAATCCATATATGCTATACTTATCAATATAATCCTTTCTCTGACATCACACCCAAGCTTGCCCAGCATAAGAGGAAAGATTGCAAACGATAGGATGTAGCAATTAATAACCATCATTGTGAGTTGAATATGGCCGACATCTGCGCCCACGTAGATGCAGTCAAAGACATGTATGGCCATGATGTATTTGTGTGATATGTAGTATTACTGCAAAAGTCTATAAATATTCTTGAAGCGAATCACACTCAGGGGAATTAACGTCGGTATCAAGAAAATGAAATTAAACGAGTGACAGTTCAAGATTGCTTGAAGAAGAAACCAATGTCACTGGTTGTCAGAGGCTAATCGTTTCGCCCTGGGCTGTCCATTCATTGATCCCTGGTTCTAACCCCCAGGGAGAGATGGATGTTTACTCGTCAGTCACTTGTAACTCTATCCCCAACTTTCCCAACTGACCTACTTTTCCAGTAGTTCACCTACTTTAATTACAGAAGCTTTTACTTTGTTTTGTTACAAGAAGTAATTACAGAAATTAATTGACTTGTAAAACTACCTTAGCAACTTCAATAGTCAGATTCATGATATGATATTTCACTGAATAATTACAAGAAATTTGTGTATCGTTTGAGAAGATACTCTTTAGATCTAATAAAAGTTTGAATGATTTAAAAAAAACACTATTTTCAATTATGGTTTACTTACAATCACTTATTGTTGGACTCCATTTAATATTTAATTATGATTGTATCATAATGACATGTTATCACCTTATTAAAAGACATCAAAGTTAAACGATACCTTCTAGATGATTAGGTCTAGGAGGTTCAAAATTTTTCCAAGTCTGTGTAAAAAAATTGCTCACCAAAGATCAATGTCATGTTTCATCATCATCATCAACATATAATCTAGTAAACTGATATTGATTCTGCCAAAAGACCTGCTCAAGTATTATATTACTCTAGTAGGAATAAAGATTAGATGAAACTTTTCTTTTGGTTTAAATAATTATTCAATATTTTGAAATCAATAAATTAATAATAGATAAGGAATGTTGTTGAATTCCTCAGATAGAAATATACACAATTCTTCAAATTATTATGAAAGAACATAAACAGAATGTATCATGAACAGAAGTAAAATTGAAAATAGAAACTGTTTGATGACTTCTTCATAAACATTTGAATAGAAATTTTTTATGAGAAAATCTTCACTTTGTATTCACCTATAAATTTATCATTGTCTCATAAGATGAACATTCACTGTGATGAAAATAAGATGAACCTTTGGTTAATAATTTTTTTCTACACAGGTAGCTACTGATTTATGTTTTTTCAAATACAATACTATGTGGTATTACTTAATAGACTTTGTTTGAAAAAATGTGCTGACACTTTTCATAGAAAAAACCACTCAAGAATTTTTCCATAACAAAACAAAGAATTTATTTTTTCAATTAAATAACATTCATTCTTACCTTTATTGCAAAAAAGTATCACTTTTATTATTGAGAAAAAATGCCACAAAACCAGTCAATGACCAAAAGAACTAATTAACTTGACCGATTAAATGGTGAACAAATTCCGATCCACTAATTTTTGAGTTAATTGCCGAATAACTAAAATAACAAGTGAAATTTCAACTAATTTACTTTAAGAGAGAAAGGTGTAAAAAATTGCTTTCATTTTTTGCTAAAAAAGTAATAGACAGTTTTTGTACATTAAATCAAGTTAAAAGGAAAGCGCAGAGTCATGAGATAGAAAAAAAATTAGTGCATTGACAATAATCTATGTAGCGTAAACGTCCGAGAGTGAGGTTAGGAAGGCAGAATGCACAACAATTGAACAAAAGATTTCGGCAAGAGTCAAGGGGTTTTTCCGTTGGCTTCTCGCGCCTCTAGATTAGTGAGTCCCCTCCACGCGAAAGTCACCGGAATAAGTCTCTTTTTTTCTGTTTTCTATTGCTTGGAAGATCTTGTTTCGGTATTCTTTTACTCTTCAGGTAAAGATCCAAAGATTCAAAGTGACAAGAAGGAAAAATATTTGGACGATAGTCACAACACATATAAAAGCCCGGCTTTCTTCCATCTTGTATTTATACTCTTGTTTGCCCTCAATTCGTTATGGGCCTCTGAGTCTTTTTTGACCTTTCATGCTGTCAGAACGGTCAAAACAAGCATTTATTTTTCTCGTTCTCTTTACAATTTACCTGTCTTTTTTCACTAAATTATTCTGTTTTATCTCCACTTAAAAAGATAAATAATCTTATCATCATTTATTTCAGTACATAATAATAACTGATTTCTAACCTATAATATTTTTATGTTTGCTTTGTTTTGCAGAGGTGCAAAGAGAGACTGAATACCTTGGCGATATCTGTAATGAACCAATGGCCAGGTGTAAAACTAAGAGTAACTGAGGGCTGGGATGAGGAAGGAAAACATGCTCTTGACTCTCTTCACTACGAAGGAAGAGCTGTTGATGTTACGACGAGTGATCGTGATCGCTCTAAATATGGAATGCTTGCAAGACTTGCTATTGAAGCTGGCTTCGACTGGGTCTACTACGAATCTCGATCTCATATTCACTGTTCAGTTAAGTCAGGTGGGTATTCAACTGTCAAATATTTGTCCTAGAAATACATTTTTCAACTGTCATTTAATATTTACATACTTTTTCACATTCTTTCATGAGTCACAGTTTTATTAAAATATCTCAAGATTGCTCCGAAAATGGTTTTAAGTAATAAAATGGATAAATATTTTACCACAAAATCTACACTGACAAAGCAAGCGGAAACTTTGTCAACTAAAAATTGATCGTGAGAAAAGAAATGAGTGAGAAGTTTTAGGAAGAAGCTTGGCACTGAACATTAAATTCCTGATTTAGTGGAAAGCGGAAGGTTCAAATGTAAAGAAAAACGAGACATAAAATATTTGAAAGAAAGAATATTACATAAATTTGGTGTGTTGATGAAATAAAAGACGTCTTTCGGTACTACTAACACTTCGGCATCATATTAATCTCAAAGTCTTATTATATCCTGTTAATTTGTCAATAGTTTACGAATATGAATTTAAAATGTGATACTTGGAAGCGTGGCATGTAACAACATTAGAGTGACTAAAAGAACGTTTATCTCTCTACTCAATTTCATTTACATGACTATCTTTTGTTAATTCTTTTACTACTTACAAACATTTAATTGTTCAGTATTTTGCATTTGATTTATTCAACATGTTTACGATAAAATTGTTAAATCTTTTTTATCAGCAAAATCAAAGAGAGAGAGAATGTGATAGCAAAAGTGAAATTGATAAGGAGACAGTTTAATTTCCTGTACGAGAGTTCTCGTGTGAGAAATCACACTAGTCTACTTTTCAATTTCTTTATCTGATTACCACCATTGATCTTCCAAATAAATTTTTTTGCGATTTAACTGATAGGAATGCTTAGATAAGCAATACAGCAATACAAATTTTGTTTTAAAAAAATCAAGTAGAGTAAAGACATTGATTGATTTTGATATTTTGCAATAAGTAATCACAAAAGGGGAAGAACAAGAGAGAAAGTGAACTTGAGATAAAGGGACTATTCAATTTCCTGTAGACTCTTGTGGGAACCAATTTCTGACAAGTTATTTCACATTGCGATATCCAGTATCATCTTATCATCATTATTGATATTTTTTAAATAATATTCAAACTTTAATTGATATGAATGTCAGAAGAAGCAGTAGAATCAAGAATTTAACATAAAAACAGTTTGATGATTAAATAAAATACAATCATATCAACTGGTTCTAATAACTACGCAATATATAAAATAAAATGAAGTTTTTTGCTTTCTTTAAGAGTCCTTATCAAAGTTAACTTTACTTGGCGGTGTCTTTGATGATTTGAGAACCACTGAATTCGCGAATCAATCGTCTGTTGAGCAAAATGTTTTCTGATGACGATCAAGGTATTCTCTCCTTTAACGACATTCCCTCGAAAAAGTTGTCTGCAATCATAAAAATATAAATACACTATTACTATCAGTAACAAATTATCGAAACTACTTTAGATACTCTTCTGATAAGTTTAATCGTCTGAAATATCATTAACTCCACCAGAAAAATTTTAATATCATTCCTTTCATTCCATACAAATTTCAAATAAATTTCCGTTCAATAAATTTAACTATAATGAATATGAGAGAATGTGAAAAAGAATTTCTTTTTAATAATTTAACGAAAAAAAAAAAAAAATAATAAAAATAGTCAATGGTCCTTTTGTGACGTTCAAGAGTAGGCCGATTAATAAGTCTCTATAGTGCTCCGATTTCAAAATAAATATGTTGAACGTGATGGTTTTGGGTCTCCGAAAGCTGCCGCATTGAATTAATCCAACATATTCTTCTCACGCCAAACGAGAAATTGATACGATTTTAGTACACGCGTCGATCTTTTTTTTTTACACTCACTTTCTATTATACACACGTGCGATCTCATATTATTATTATTATTATTATTATTATTATTATTATTATCATCATCATCATTGCCATCACTGCCATCACTGTTGTCATTTTTTTTTTTAGATTGAAGTTTATAATATTTCTTTTAAAATTATAATTTGCATCGTTCCTTACTAACTTGGATACTAAAGATACCTATTTGCTGATTCATATTTATTATAAATATAATTTAAAATAAAATAATCAATAAAAAAGTAATAAAACTTGAAAACTCAGCTAAAATTGAAATCCATTTTCCAAGTCTGAAATTTCATAAATTAAACATTCTTATGATTCATTCAATTATATTTTTAAACTTTTCTCATAATAAAAAAAAAGCGAGAAAAAATTGATTTGAATGGAAATTTCTAAGCTGTAGGATGAAAGACCTGATGACGGTGCAAGAATCCAAACCACGCATTGCCCTGAGTTGCTATTAATAACTTCTTGTTCGCGGGCTATCGCTTTCTTCGGCGTTAAAATGATTAGGACAAACTATTTTTTGTTATCATGATAATCATCCTAAACCTTAAATTATATTAATAACCATAGAATCCCCACGAAGTCTTGTCTCCTGTTCTTCAGATGAGATTCAACCTCATCCGACACATAAGCCATAACGGGGATCCAATTACCTGATCGGTTAGCTTGATATTGTACGATCATCTTCCACCTTTTTTTTATCTTTATCGTCTAAAAATCTCTGTAATACAAATACACTTATTTAATAATATTAATAAATCATTTTCATTTTTTTCAGAATCTTCCTCAGTCGGTAAATCTGGAGGATGTTTCCCAGGCAAAAGCTTGATCAGGACATCAGAAGGACATCAGAAACCTTTGTCAGATCTTCGCATTGGAGAACGTATTGCAGCATTAAACTCTGATGGGAATGTCGTTTATAGTGAGGTCATTGCATTCTTGGACAGAGCACCTGAAGAAAGACGTCAGTTTGTTAAACTCATCACTGCTTCTGGAAAATATTTAACACTTACACCAGCTCATCTAGTTCCTGTAGAGTCTGATGATCAAGAATCAAGTAGAATAACTTTTGCTGCAAGAGTCAAAGTTGGAGATAGAATTTTAGTACAAGATCCAGACACAACAAATGTTGAAAGCTTTAGACTGAGATGGGATCAAGTAATAGAAGCTAAATTGGTCCTTGAAGAAGGAGTTTTTGCGCCACTTACAAGGGAAGGTACAGTTGTGGTTGATGATGTTGTTGCTTCCTGCTATGCTATTGTTGACAGTCAAACTTTGGCTCATTATGCTTGGATGCCATTCAGAATTGTTTGGAGTATTCAGTCAGGTTTTGAAAGCATTAAGAAATTTTTCTGGTCAGACACAACACAAGAAACAGCTGAAGATTTCATCAGTAGTAATGAAATTAACGGTGTTGTTCAAGAGAAAACATATCAACCTCTGGGTGTTCATTGGTATGCGTCATTCCTTTATTCAATCGCATCTAACATCCTGCCGTCATCACTACTCTACTGATGAATGGAATGAAACATCAAAAATTCTGTTGAAATCATAAACAAAGTGTTGATACCAGTGTTATGACACACAGTGTTTTAGTGTTCAAGTTGTAATAAACAATAAATAAATTAACTACTTAATGATAATAATCATAATAATTTAAAATTAGATAATAAATAAAAATAAAAACAGGTATTTAATGGATTGCGTCCAAGACGATGAAATGACTTAAAAGACTCTTCGTGTTTTCACGAGTTTTATTGATAACGAAATTATAAGATAATTATATTTTAATATTTAATTAAACTACAAAAAGTCGTGTAGATTCAAGTCGTAGACAAAGTTGGCCAGTGCTATTATCTTTATTTACTTAATTATTAATTAATTATTCTCGTGCTTAATAAATTTTCTAATATCATTAGAAAAAATGTAACTCGAGCGGCATCCTTGTAAATAATTTTATAATTGTAAACAAAATTAATTATTTTATATTATTATAATTATTTTTAATATAACTATAATAATAACTATTCGATTATTATTATTACTTGTAAGCAATTTTCTTTGAACGCCCCCAGAATCTTTCATATTTATGAGCGTAATTAACTGTACTATATAATTGATTACATTTTATTTGTGTTTATAAATAAAAATAAATGTAATTAAATTAATTGTGTATGGCTCTATCCTCGCCGTACTGTTAATGATAATTGATAAAAGACTTTCTTCATTTTTTCCTTTTTTTTTTCTCCTCATTGCTGTAACGCTTATTTTTTTTTATTTTATTATTAATTAAGTATAACGAATTATTTGTAAAATGCTTAAGTTATATGAAATACCATATACTTTTATATATTGAATTATTATATTTGTCAAATTATCTATTTTTAATTAATTAATATTATTTGTACGTAGCGAACAAATTATAAATTATGTATATAAAAACTGAAGCAAGAAAAAGTAGATACTATGCTATAAATTCAAATTATGGTCTTTCTTATTTAGATTTTATTTTTTTTACCCTTCAATTTCCTTGTCAATCCTTGTCAGAGCATCTCTCGTAATTCAATAATCAATTCATTGATCATACAATTTTATGCCAACAAGTATTCAACTTTTATTTTTTATTTCTCGACTATTCCAGCAATATCTGCTTGATGCATCTAAACTAGCTGTTGAAGTAAAGAATCAATTGATAACATCAATATAAAATGAGAGAACTATTCATTCTTATGTAATAAAATGTTTCAAGTACTGGAATTGAAATGATTATCACCTAAAGATTTATATTTTTAAAGTAATATTTTATTCAAATCACTTAGACTCCAGAAATAGCTTAATTATTCTACAACTTTATATTAATTTTTTTGTAAAGCAAAAGAAAAAGATCTTATTAAATTAACTGGCTGCTATTGGAGCTTTAAAACAGGGTTGATGTTTTTGGAGTAATCCGGCCAGAAAATCATCGAGATCGAGCTGAAGACCATGTCAGGAATGTCAGAGATTTTGAAGGACCATTATCAGAAAGGTAAAGCCTTAGACTATAATATCCTTACCAGGCAATCCTATCTCTGATGGAAATCGCCAATCGACCAAAATTTATCAAAATCCATCAGAACATATAGACATTGTTTAAATTTAATATATGCCAAAGCTTGATAAACAGAATTTTTGAAAATTCTATAGAAAAATGATTAAATCTGATGAATTTTCAGATCTTTTGTCAAATGCTGATAAAAATAAACGTTCATGATACCTGATGGAGTATGACCAAAGGTTTCAAATCTTGGTCAAATATTGATGAATTTTGTTACAAAATATACAAACTTTGATAAAATTTTTGACATTATTTAATAGATTTCATTATTGTTATTATTTTTTATCCAACTGATAATGGTGATGCTTATGCAGAGTTGAAAGGTTATTTCATGTATCTACTTAAACTTCAATAGTAATATAAATGATTTACTTGAATATAAAAAAAATTCTTTAGGTTTTTCACCAAGGTCTCATATTAAATATAAAATAGTTCAACAAAGCACACTCCATCAGATCTAACCTAACTTTGATGATAATTCAACATGTTCTGAAATTTTTCTGCTTGGGATAATTACAAGTATAATCTGACAAAAGTGGTTTGTAATACTTATCAGATACAAATGATTGATTTACTTAATATAACATAATCATAAAAATAATTTATAGCTCAATTATTAAATCAATAAACCTAAAAAATGAAAATATTTCTATCCCACTTGTTGCATGAACATCAGATCTAAGAAATGCCTTGTCACATCAATAAACCCGATTGAAAATATCTCGAACTTTCTGGTGTAATTTTTTATTAGTGATTTATGTGAGCCATTCACATTCGATCCAAGTATAAAAAGACATAAATAAATAGTAAGTCGAAAAACTATCTAAAATCTTTATTGGTAGTAGTCGAAAGAGGAAAAAAAGAGATTCATACTCTAATCCAGTGTCTTCCGGTTTTTTTTTTTCATTTTTTCTTTTTCTTACATAATTGAGAATGTAAGGAAAAGAGCGATGAGAAGCCATTTATATCTCCGGTCATAAATTCAAGTCGTACATTACAAGACAATGGTTTCAACTGCCTCGACAACAAAAATTATTCAAATGACCCGCCGTGTGACCGCAATAAATCCAACAAATAATTACATACACATACGTAGTCTCGATTTGATTATACAATTTCCAATATTATATCAAAAACTAACTCAAGGAAAATAAAAAATCAACAGCAAAAAAAAACCAGATGCTATTTTGTCAATGACTGACAAAAAATACAATCCAACACGTGCGACTGAAGATGCTGTTTTCAATCTATCCTTTTATGTCAAGACAGATATTTGAAAAGAGCGGCTTTTCCGAGGATTCTTTAAGTGGTCTATAAACTACCGATGTGGTCACAACGGGGGTTTCCGTTGCCCACATTGATGTTCGCCTTCTGTCATTGGCTTTTCGTCTATTGTCGCGGTAAACGAGGTAACAGAGAGGAGACATGGGCTTGGCGACAACCTTTGTCGGACCGACAAATGCTTACACACCTTCACGTAACTTTAGTATACTATCCTTCAATCATCATTTTTCTCTTTCTCTCTTTCAACATTCATTTTATCTCTAGGACCCTACTCGTTTTTTTCTCCTCCTTTCAATTCTTATAAGGCGCACGCGTTTAAATGGGCTTTTAAAATCTATCAATGGCAGATGCATCTTTTCTCCTACTCATCAAAATCTGTTTTGACATCATTTCAAACCTCTCCTGACTCTTTATGTAATAACTCCAAAACGTGACGCAGCAATAAAATTATTATATCCAATTAGATACTTCACTATATTATTTTTTTTTTTTATACTGCCAGACAGAATATTGACATCAATCCCTTAATTACAAATTTATATTTGTGTTAATTAACTTGATTTTCGACAGATTTATTTTTAGGACATGAATTTCATCATAATCGACAGCACATGATTTTCAATAACGAGGTGTCAGTTTGATTGCTCCAAAACCACTTTGACTGATGCTTCTATCATCAATATGACATTTTCGGAGTAATTAAACCATCAGTGATATTAATTGCATTCAATTACTATATTAAAGTAATTTATGGATAATTATAAAATTAATCATTTTTATTAACATTATTAGGATCCATGGAAAAAAGTTGTTCAATAAATGTGAACACTTTTTTAATTTGATTCCTTTGGAGTTTGATTGACTGGTCAACAATTAACTATTGCTATACAATAGCACTTTCATTTCATTCAACTCATTCAGGATATATTTATTCATATTTTGATAGGTGACATGTAAAAATATTTATTCTTCTATTTGCCTTGAGGTCAATTCTGACCAGATCAATATTTACAGTGCTACTGGATGGGAATAATAATATTAATTTAAAAAAAAAAATCATTTTTTATTGGAAAAAATTGAACTAAATTTTGATAAAAGAACCTGTCTTTCATTGGCTCTCAAAGCACATGTCTATGTAACTGTAACAACATTGTGATGAAAATAATATGTGTTAGGATATAAGTGTTTGGGTGGTATCGAATGGTTTAACAATAAATATTAAATTATCCATTATTTGTAGACTTAAAAGGAAGAAACGATATCCTCTGAGCCTAGACAAAAGCCAACTAACACGATACGGGTGTGTTCCAAATCCTATGTACATCTGTCACATTTCGCCTGACCCAATACGAAAAGCCTTTCAGCTGTCCACATAGAACTCGATCGACAAAGCTGTATCATTCCGAAGAGAATTGCATGGATTCTACAGAAACTGATTCCAGGTGCATTTATGTCGATGGAAAATAATATTCTGTTGCTATGACAGATCGATGAGGTATTCCTAGAAAGGTTTTAATTTCTGTTTTGTTTAGAATTTCTTGAATTGAATTAGTAAATACTCATTGACTATCAGGACCAAGTCAATCATTCAAAGAAATATTTTAGTATTCAACCAATGAATATTAACTGTTTTAATTAATTTAAAAAGAAGGTAATAAATATATTGTATTAGACCAATTGGATAAACATCTGATGCTGATGAAGAAAGTTGGTCTTGATAAAAAAATTATTCTGCTGTGGTGGTCATCTGTGATCAAGTTTTCCTGCTTTTTTACAATGAAGCAGTGGAAATTTATTATTTAAAACTTGAGATAGAGAATAAAAATAAAATCCGTAGAATTGGAAGTACTAAGAAAGTTTAAATTGCATTTGTAGAAAAGTATTTAAGATTTTTATTATAAATATATTTTTTTTAAATCACTATCTTAAACAATAAGAAGTGATTCCCTGGATTAACTCTTCACATATAACATGCTCCAATGTCAACCCAAAAATTAATTCAAAAAACTCATGATTAATAATGAAAAGTATGAATAATTTTAATTTAATTCATTAATTTAAAAACATTATAGCTTCTGGGTTGCAACAAATTAGGAACATAACTGAAAATTATTTGCTGATTATTAGTGTCAAGTCTATCATTGGATGAATCGATATTTTTATTGGAACTGATGGCCAATCAATAATCAATCAGTTGTTGTTTGATTTTTAAATAAATAATTCAATTAATTAATTTATCAATTGATAGACGTCCTTTTAATTAATGAAATAAGAATGACAATTACACTATTCTATTTTGAAAAAAAATATAAAGAAATGTTGAGATAAAATTAGAAATATTTAAAATGAATTTTTGGACGAATGTAGACTTAGATTTCAAGGAATGCATCATCCAACGTAAAAAGGTAAAATGATTGTAGACTTGTAAATATAATGCAGCTGTATAAACTCGAATGGGTTTAAGTAAACTTGCATAACAAATAAAAATATCAAATAGAAGCAACAATGAACAGAATCCAATTCAAGAAATATATAATATTTCTTGTATAATAAGATTTTTAAATAATAAAATCATCTTTTAGAAAGTGTATTGCGTAGATAGAGTAGACTGATTTCTCTTCCAATGTTCTCTAAGGTTTATTTATGAATTATTTTTCACTGGAAAAAAATTTTCACCTAAAAAATTTTCCTCTATAACTCACCACAA